CACGCAGCTCGAACAGAACTCTCCTAGTTTTGTTTAACCTCCCTTCTTCCTATCAGAGTCTCATTTCCCTCAGAAGTAAGAAGCATGTCTAATAGTTACGGGTTTTAGCTTCATTCTGACAACGAACAGAAGAGCTGCCACTCCCTGTCATCAGATACCCAGACCATATTCAGGTTGTCCTGGTTTTTTCTGTACATTTGGGTTTTAAATCGATTCAAGGTCTCTTAACATTTAAAAAGAAACTATTCTAATGGAAAATTGAAATATAGAAGAAGTTAATAAATAGCACAAGGAACTCCTATCACCAGACTAAAGCAATTACCAACTTTTGGCCGGATGTGTTTCTCTGTGGCCTCCCGTTTCCCTCAGTTTTTTTAAATCAAATTTCAGACCCAGCATTTTATTCTTAACTCTGTCAGCATCTACCCCCCACCCCGGGGAAGCCTGGGGGTGCCCTGGGAGGAGGTGTCCTGTGCCCTGTCCCTCGCCCTGTGGAGTTGTGCCGCCTCGATTCTGGAGGTTAACTTGGATTTGGGAATGAAGGAAAAAAACAGAAAAGCTGGTGAAATTGGTTTAAATGCCTCACGCAAAACTCCTCTCTCCAAATGCTGCTTTATCTGGAGGTGAGGTGTGGAACCCATTTGGCCAAGCAGGTCAGCAGACTCCTGCCCCTGGGGCACAGGATACCATCAGGGCTGCTGCTTCCTCAGGCAGTCAAGTGCATCAGGAGCCCTGGTGGTTGGTGTCTTGGCCGCCTGCCCTTCAGTGGGCTGAGCCCGACTGTTCTTTCTTGGCTGCTCTGTGGAGGGTGCACTTCGTGATCTGATCGCTGATCACAGAAAGGCTTCTGGAGCCCTTTGCAGTGGTCTCGCTAGTGCTCTTTTCCACCCCGGCACTTGCACACCAGAGTGGAGAGTGAATGGGTGGACGTCACCTTCCTTGTCTGTGCAGAACCAGAACCCAAATTATACTCTGATACAGTGGAGAGGACTGTACTCTTGCTGGCTGTGAAGCTGCTTGAAGCCGCTGCTGGACGTATCATTTGCTTTTACGTTACATTTCTGTGGAAAATGTTTCCTAAACAGGTGAAAGCTAGTGGCAGATGTGGGTCACAAAGAACAGAAGTGAGGCTCTCAGCAGGTCCTGTCTTAGTGGATTAGACTGATCAGGATGCTGAGTCAGCGTGGCCAGTACTTAGTTGTGACTTTGGCCCTGTAGGAGAGAAGGAGCCTAGGCCACGTAATCGATGGTGGGCTTCCTGGAGGCTCTGGGGGACTGAGGACAGTGAAGAGAGCAGCAGAGGCGTCACATGTAAGTGAAACCTTCAGTGTTCATTCGTCTTTGTCATCGAAGGAATATGAATGACATGTCCAGCCTTTGGAAAAAAGAGGAAAGTATGACCAGTAATTCTAACAAAAATGCTGTTCTTATGTTTTGGTCTTAAAATAGCTAAAATTATTACACACACATTTGTTTTTCATTTCACATATAATGAGCATTTTTCGGGGTTTTTATGCTGTCTTCGTTATTGTTATTAGTGATATTTAATAGTTCATCCAGTAAAAAGTTAATATCAATTAGTTTGCTTTTTTTTTTAACTGAAAAATGGAGGAAAAATTGTGAGTGCTTTTTGGTTTAAGGCCCAGATAACTGGTTAACTTACATATATACATATTATATACATATATATATAATTTTTCTTTTCCCCTTATCCATCCATATATATATGATAATGTGAAAAATCAGAACTGCCCACTATTCCTGTGTTTCTCCAAAAATAACCATTAACATTTTCTCATGTATGTAGAAAAAAGATTGCTTACTTATAGATGTGTATTCTTTTTATAGACACAAAAGGAGAAGTTTCATCATTTATGTACATTCCTGTTACCCCATTTATTTCATTTGCTGTCTCTTCACAGAAGAGCATTTGGGGTGAACTTTCAGTTTGTGGGAGCTCAGAGTTGTTCTGCTTCCTGTCAGTTTGCTCTGCATGTGTGTGCATGCTCCTTGCTGTCCTTGGGGTGCCGGCTTCTCTTTGGGGGACCCCTGACTGCCTGGTCCTTTCATGCACATCCTGTGAGGCCAGTTCGGTGTCCATTAGCCCGGGAAGGAGGAGGCCCTGGATGGTGCCAGGTCAGAGTGAACCCCAGGGCCCCTGGGTGCCCCTTCATCAGGGAAAGTCCCTCTACAGAAACTTCTTCAACATGCAGAATATAGAATGTGGTTGAATTTTGTTTTAAATGTCTGCCAATAGATTTCTCTTTCTCACCAGACTGTGAGATAAAAAATTTTGGACCTTTCTGGACTCTTATTTTTATTGGTAGTAGCCTGGTCGCTTAGTTGGTTAAAGAATCTTCCTACAACGCCAGAGACCCAGGTTTTATCCCTGGGTGGGGAAGATTCCCTTGGAGAAGGAAATGGCGACCCACTCCAGTATTCTTGCCTGGAAAATCCAATGGACAGAGGAGCCTGGCAGGCTGCAGTCCACAAGGTCACAAAGAGTGGGACATTACTGAGCACCTTTTCTTTAAATATTAACAAATATGAATTTTGGGTCTCTTGAGATTTAACTGTGGCCACTGATCATAGACCGAGTTGTAATCAAAAGGCAATATTAATAATTTAATGATGAAAGAAATAGATCTGGTTTTCTTCTCTTTGCTTGTGGCTGAAGGTTGAAGTCAGCAAGTACTGTTACTGCTTCTGAAATTTTGTGAGGTAACTGAGTTGGAGTTTGTCATTTTAAAGATACTTAGGTTTTCAATAAATTAATTTCTCTAGTTTGAAGCAATACATCTGGATGATTATCATGTATATATTCTTTTATAATATGTAAAAAAATCATCTAGTTACAAGAAATATTTAATTTTAAGATCTCAAGAGCGATTCCACCTAATACTAGAATTTGGGTCTTGACCTGTTTATCTTGATCCTAGGAGTTTATTGGTTTTTTCTTACTTTAAAAACTAGCTCAGCTTTTTAGTGTTTAAACTAAGATCAGAACGTATGGTTTATTGATTAAAACTCACCATTTAGTTCAGTGTACCTCATGATAATGTTAGCTGTTTTCTTCATGCAGATTTTAGAAGGATTGAAGGAAGTCGCTTATCCACAGACTAAGAACAGTTCTTTACTGATGGGGGCGGGGGTGTTACTGGGGCAAAACTACCCCCGACTCAGCAGACTGTTCCTTATAATAATAACTGATCACGTGTGAATGCACGTGCTCAGGAGGGTGGGGTGTGCAGCACAGTTTGGAAGCTCAGGGGCGCATCAGCACAGCTTTCTATTTTAAAATGATTTCGTGTTCTCTTGGCCCTGTTATTTCACACATTAATATTCATCAGCTGCAGTCCTTTGAGTTTATATGTGAAGACGAGAGAATCAGCCCAGTTATCGTGGAGGGTAACTTCAGCCGGGCTCTGCTTGTCCAGGGAGATGCCGGGGGTCTGCGAGAGTGAAACTTACAGCACCCCCTTGAAGCAACGCCTCTCTTGTCACTGGGCTTGCCTCCCCTGCCTTTGACTGACCGAGATGCTTCAGCCCCACGTCCTGGCCCTACCCGTTAGTGCTTTCCTGGCAGTGGCGTGGACCTCCTTTTAGGGTCAGTGCTAGGGCCTTTCTCTCTGTGGAAGCCCAGCACTTCTGTGCTTCCTGCGCGGTGCCCCCAGCAGCCAGAGAGATTTGTTCCGTGAATAGACCAGGGCTGCAGGGTCAGGTGAAGGCAGCAACCAGGATGTAACATGTGCTTTTCAAAGATGCTTTTTACTGGGGAAAGTATTCTTATTTTTCTCAATAAATATGCATCAATACAAACCATATCACAATTACTTTGAATGCTTTTGTGAGGAAAAAGAAAGTCTAAAGACTATCTAGATTGGGAACTAACAACTGTATTTCTTGGGTCATCCAGATAATTTCCCCCAGATGTGCTCCAGTCTCAAGAAAATAAAGGACCACTGTTAATTAAATATCTGGTGTATATTATAATAACCCTGTGACTTTCACACAAAATCTAGGATGGAAGAATCTTCCCCTCTGTATTTGCATAGGAAATTAAGGCCCTTGAAATATGCTATGCTTGCAGGTGGGAGCTAATTGTGTTCTTAAGTGATTAAAAGATGTTTGTAATTGTTTCTTTGGCTTTGTGATATGTTGGTCACAGTTAGGATGTACTTAACAGCTATGTTCTTGGTCAGAAATGCAACCCCCAACTGTGGCATTCCCCTGGGAAAATATAGCTCTTGTTTAACAGGTAATTTTGTTTTGACAGTAATTTCAAGAATAATGTCTCATGAGCCTAGGGGTGGGGCTGGGACAGGAGTGGGCAGCAGGGTTGCTTGTACCAAGCCCTCTTGGGCCTTTGCCTGGAAGGTCTGTGGTGTTGCTTCTGAGTCTCCTGGGATCCCAGAGCCCATTTTGGTGGGAGAGTAAGTTCTGAATCAAAGGCCTGCTGGACACCAAGCTGAGTCCTTCTGGGATTGTTGTGTGACCTGCTGATGTCCTCTGGGCAGTCATGGGTTCAGGGTCATCAACATGCCTTTGAGGTGCTAGGCTGCCAAGTGGCCACTGTGCCCCATCCTGAACTAACTGCCCCGAGTTTTCACGTGAGAGCTGTTCTAAATATCACTCTTAGGTTCTTGAGTTTATAGTGAGGTCCAGATCCTCCATGAAAACTGCTTCTAGACAGACTTTCTCTCTTTCAGCCCACCACCACCTTCTGCAGTGTCTGCTGGACACTGTCATTTTTTGAGCCTCATGTACTACAGTAGTTACACTCTGTTGACCCAGCCCTTGTGGGCATTTTACATGTTCTGATGAAGGCTAAAGAAAAGTTCTCTGACTTGTAATGAAACCACAGCTCTCAAAATTTCAATTCCCTTTTCTCACCAGCTTCGTTAAGTGACTCAGTCATTGTTTATTCATTTTGGTACTTGTTTTTCTCTTTCAGATCTCAGATTCTTTGAGGTGGCTTTGAAGAGCACTGACATTAGAAGATGAGTGAACTTGACCAGTTACGGCAGGAGGCCGAACAGCTTAAAAACCAAATTAGAGTACGTAAACTACCTGTGTGCTTCATTTTGTTCATCATTTGAATTTCAGGTGTGATGTTACCATTTTAAGGAAAGTTGGGTTTCAGAATGGCTATTCCTTGTTTTGGATTGAAATTGAATCTTAATTGGCCCAGGATGTAGAAACTATAGATCCAGATGTTTGGCCTAGTACCTTATTTTCAGGATTTTTTCCTTGTATATTATTACTTGAATAAACATAGAATGTTTTCATAGAAATTATAGACATCTTTCAGAGCCTCTTTTCTTAACCTTGGGAATTAGCTTTGGGACCTTCTTTTGGTCACCATACAGAGTGTGGTGTCTGTTTGCCCACTGTGACCTCTGAGTTGAGGGCAGGAAACTTGTTTAAGAAAGCAAGAGTGTCAACAACAACAATAGAGGTATTCTAGGTGTGGGTGATTTGTTCTTGAGTGCTCTTTAGGGAGGGTTTTGACTGTTAGAACAGAGACACTGACTTGAAGATAAAAATGGCTGGGTCCTGTCCAGCTGCCTGTTGGAAAGAAGGACAATTGCAGAGTTGTCCAGAACCTCCTCACCACTCCTCCATGCAGTCTGCTGGTGGGTTTGCAGAGGCGTGCTGCAAAGCCATGGGTATTTCAAGGGGGAACCTAATTATTTCCTTTTAAATGACCAGTTATATGCTCCAAAGGCCTGATGGTAATTGGAAGGAAAGACCAGTGTCATTTTAGCCAGCTTCTTAACTGAGCTTGAGAAAAGATAAGGAGATTATCTGAGATATGCACCAAAGAGGAGACAGAAGAGATCCTTCGACTGTGGGCAGAGTTGCTCTGAATTCAGCCAGAGGCCACCACCATTCTACCTGTCAGAGTGTACTCAGAGATTAGAGTCAGTCATCCTTGCAGGAGCCTCCCAAAGCCACTTATGCCAAGCCTGGAACCTAGGCAACAGGTGCAGGCAAAAAGGCCATGACCTGTCCTATGTGGGTCTCCAGAGTTTGTTATTAACCCCTTTGCGTCAGTCCTCAGTAAGAGTCTTCCTGCCCTGTGTTGTTTGAGCCAATAAAATGAGACCAAGTTTGATTCAGAAAAAAAAAAAGAATTTCCAGTCTCAACATTTAAAAGATACAGTGTAGCTCAGTAAGAATAAGGAAGACTTAGCAGATTTGTTTAATACGTCCAGCCACACTCTGGAATATAGAAATCAGAACTTTGATTTTCTGACAAGAAGTTGTTGTTCATAAATAGTGGGTTCAGATCTATTTGTAGCAAATAAAGTTTGTATAGGTTAAAAAAAAAATCCAAATATTGTGGGAAAAAAATAAAGGTTTTGGAAAGTGAGTGTTGCATCTCAACCCATTTTCTGTGAAGCACATGCCGCCCTCCTCACAGGGAACAGGTTTGTCCTGTGAGCCACATATGGACTTGAAATCAGTACAGGGAAACCAGTAGGATTAATTTTTACCAACTGTATCTAAACCAATGTATATAAAAGATTACCATATTGACACGTAATTAATAAGTACATTTATTGCATTACGTTCTGTTGGTGCTCAGTCTTGCCAATTCAGTGTCTCTGGCACAAAACTGCCTCACTGTGCACCTCTGGCATCTCCGTGGCGTCCCCTTCCAATGGACCGTCCCCAGGAGAGCCGACGAGCTGAACAGCCCTGCCTTTGAAGCCCTGCTGGTTTATTTTTCTTTGCACAAAACAGAATTGGCTGTACACCAAACAGGAATGGAAGACTTTCTCTAACAAAGGAAAACCTTTTTTCCTGCTTGCCCAAGAAACACATACTTGTTAAAGAAAGCAGACACAGTGAGTCCAACAGATGGTGGATGACACTAGGAGGGTCTCTTTTTCCTAGCTTGGTATTTCAGCTGAAAGACCCCAAGGCACCATCTCATCTGACCTGTGGTAGTGTCTGTGAGGAATGCTTACTGAAACGTCTTAGATATGCGAGCTTCTGACAGATGAAGAGCTCCAGGGCTAACCCTGCCTGTGAGCACCCCAGGCCATGTGGCATTTGCAGGTACTGCAGTTACTGTGGCCTGAGTGGACGGCCTCACCATGTGCTGTCCTGTGCCAGTGGGACATCCACCCAGATACAGCCTAACCGACTGCGGGCCTGGGTGTGCTCCTCTGTGGAGGGGCAGGGTGGTGACTTTTCTCAGCACCGACTGACAGGAGCCTTGGCTAAACAATAAGGCATTGTGAACAAAGCCCCAGGCCATTTAGTTGGAATTGAGTCTGAAGAGTGCTGGACAGCGCTGTCAGTCTTAAGCAGCTGCAGAGATGGCTCCCATGAGAAGTCTCTCTCCACAGTGTAGATGCTTGTCCTGAGGAGTGCTGCAGACTTTTACACCAGCACTTGTGGGTCCAGTGTTTAGTTTCTAAAATGATTTTTTTCTGTTCTCTTGTGTCACCACAGTCTGCTATGGACGTTACAAAATCCATTTTAATCTCTGGACACTAACCAGGGCAAAGCTGCTTATGGTCTTGGTTTGCTTTTTCTTTTAAAATAATTCTTGTCTAGAGTCCCGACCAGGGCCTTCCCTGGTGTCTGGTAGTCAGGACTCTAGGCTTTCACTGTGGTGGTCTGGGTTCAGTCCCTGGTCAGGGAACTAAGATCCCACAGGCCACATATGACATGGTCAAAAACTTTTTAAAATTCTTGTTATTTTTTAAAATTGAAAGCCATGTATAACATCAGTAAGAACAGTATTCAGAATTTAATACTGAACTTAGGGACCGTAACAAAACCACCCATGGGAGACCTGCTTGGGATCGCCCTTCTGCCTGGTCCTGACACCAGAGTAGGTGCTGGCACAGAAATACTCAATTATATAATTTTCCTGTTTTAATTGTGTAATTAAATATGCAGAATTAACTGAGCAGAATGGCTTCTAATAGGATAATTTAAGTTGAATTTGGAATCTAGCTATTTTGTACATTTATAATAGCAATCTCTTTGAATATATCTCCATGTTCTAGGTTGATAAATACTACCACCAGCTTCATGAAGTAAAAATAATTAGCAGTGAGGTTGTTTGCCCCTGGAGAAGGTCTCCTGGACGCCTTCAGGAGTGTTCACATGAGCCTTCAGATGTGTATCAGTGAGCGCGGGTGGGCAGATGGCTACACAATGGCAGAGTTTTATGAGAAATTGTCAGTTTCCTTTGAAATTATTCCTACACCCAATTTTCTTCTTAGGCCCCACTCCTACATTCAGAGTCTTATCGTTTCAAAGCCAGTGTCTCATTTCCCTTCATAATGTATGGCTTTCTGTTTGTAAAAGTCATATCCAGATTTGAGATTTCCACATTTATTTTCTAGCAGCTTGGATCGCTTAGGAACAAGGACATCTTCATTAGCTTGAGGAACATCCTTTTGTATTACATTTCTCGCCTGCTTCACAAAGTATTTTCACAGATAAGAAAGCAAGCAGCAGGATGTGACCAGCCAGAGATTTGGTTGCCTTGACTCCAGACCCTTTGCTCCTTTCCATAGAGGTCAGCATCAGGATTGTTTGGCTTGAAAACACAGTCCTGAGTTAATGCATTCTAGAAGAAAGGTTCCCTGGGCTGGCCATTCACTGCTTTCTAGACATTGTTTCTCTGGGCCCCACGACTCAGGACGCCAGTGCAGTGCTGTGGGAAGGTGCTGGAGGCTGCGGGCAGGAGTGTGGGCACGGGGGTGTTGTGCATTAGGGGGGTGATATGCAGGCTGAGACATGTCCATGTGTGGCTGGTTCTGTGTCCAGCATGCCCTGGGCTCAAGGCAGGGTGGGGAGGCTCTTGGTAGAAGCTCTGAGACTGCTTCCCTTGTGTAGCCCAGCTGGTAAAGAATCCACCTGCAGTGCAGGACACCCTGATTCCTGAGTCAGGAAGGTCCCCTGGAGAAGGCATATGCTACTCACTTCAGTATTTCCTGGGCTTCCCTGGTGGCTCAGCTGGTAAAGAATCTTCCTGTATCACAGGAGACCTGGGTTCGATCCCTGGATTGGAAGATCACTTGCAGAAAGGAACGACTATCCACTCTAGTATTCTGGCCTGGAGAATTCTATGGACTGTATATCCATGGGGTCACAAAGAGTTGGACATGACTGAGCGACTTTCACTTTGATTGAAGCTGCGGCCTGGGTCTGGGGGAGCCTGTACTGGGAGCAGCACTAATGTCTCATTGTCCTTGTCATTTCCCAGGATGCTCGGAAGGCGTGTGCAGACGCGACTCTCTCTCAGGTAAGGACCATTGATGCAGTCACTGATTTGCTATAGAGGCTGGTGCTTGTGGGGCCTGCTCTGGGCCTCAGAAGGAGCTGCTCTGACTTTGTGCACAGCAAGGGTGGGGCCCCTGTTTGAAGGTTCTCATTTGCAGGTCCTTGTCAATGCTGGGCATAGGCTGTGGTGAGTTTTAGATAAAAAATAAATATCTCTCTAGCCTTAAGTAATTATGTCCTCTTACAGAGGTCAGAGTCCTAAATATTTTTACAGTTTCAATATGGATGTTTTGAAGTTCCTTTCCCTAATTAGGTCTGCCTTAGAACCTTAATTTCTAAGGTTCAGTTTGGCACATTCTCAGAGATTTAAACCTGAGTTATGACCCATGGCTCCACTCCTAGGTATGCACCCAGAGAAACTAGAGCTGATGCTCAGACCAGCCCGTGTCCGAATGCTCCTGGAGGCACTGCTCCCAGCAGCTGTGTGCCCTCGGGGTATGAGATCAGGGCCAGGCACAGCCTGTCCACACAGTGGGACTTACTCAGCCATAGAAGGGTGAACCTTGAGACATGTGTGCTCAGTGAGAGGAGGTCACGTCGTGTGATTCTGTGTACATGAACTGTCCAGAACAGGTCACCCTGTAGAGACAGAAAATAAATTCATGCTTGCCCAGGGTTGAGGAGGAGGCTGTAGGGAGTGACTGCTAGTGGATGAAGGGCTTCCTCTAGGGGTAATGATGAAGACGGTTTGAAACCAGGTACCACTAATAGTGGAACAATGTTGTGAATATACTAAGTATTGCTAAATTATATCCTTTCAGATGGTGAATTTCACCTCATTGAAAAAAAACTTTTTGTCTCAAACACTGAACAGAAATGTGAAAGAAAAATTATATTCCTTCTGTTGAAGATGATTACATTCTTTACATCATCTCAATGCTTTAGAAGCTATCGTTTATGGGGTAAACAATAAGTTAAAAGTTAGAATGCCGGGATCACCTACATTTGAATTCTTAGATGTACTTTGGACTCTACGTTTTTTAAAGCCCACTCTTGTTACACACTTACTCCATTTGTAAACCCAGAGTCATGAACATCAGGTTCTTGTGTGTTGGGTGAACAGTAGGTGTGCACATGCAATTTTGTGCCTTAAACGCCAGAGTGCAGAAGAAATGACCACTGTTGTCCAGCTCAGCACACACAGCACCAAGCAGTCTGTGTTCCTGGAGCCCTGTTAGATGATGAGCCCTGTTAGGAGGAAGAGCAGCCTTCCGGGGCTGAACAGAGGCAGGAGGAGCTGGACTTGGATGGCCAGTTAGCGTGCTGATAGGGGTGGGGGGAGGAGGCTCTGGGCCAGCACTAAGCTGCTGCACCTGGGGTGGGGCCTCATGATGGAGCAAGGCTGACTTGCTGCACGATGGGCTGACTGGCAGGAGCCAGGCAGGCACAGCCATCCAGGGCAGTGGTGTCACTGAGCAGGGTGGGCATGAAGGAAACTTTGGTGGAGGGGGGTGGCAGGGGGAGAGTGTGCCTCCCATGGAGTTAATTCTTGGTAACTTTTATTTTTAAGATCACAAACAACATTGACCCTGTGGGAAGAATCCAGATGCGCACCAGGAGGACACTGAGGGGACACTTGGCCAAGATCTATGCCATGCACTGGGGCACCGACTCCAGGTGTGTGGGCGGGAACATGGGCGTTCATTGCGGGGGGGGGCAGAGCTCACAGGCTGGGATTGGTAAAGAGAAAACTGGGCACTGCTGTCAGACGTGTAGCAGGCAGGACAGCTGGCCACGCTGCCATTCCCTTGTCACCACCCTCCCCTCACCTTTGTCTTCCCAGCTCCATGGCACAGTGCCTGTGCCACTTGGGCGGGGGGGGGGGGCAGTACCTGTCCTCTGTGTCCCCTGGGGGGGGTGACCTGTTCCCTCTGTGTCACCTTGAGGTTGTGACCTGTCCTCTCTGTGTCACCGGGGGGGCTGACCTGTCCCCTCTGTGCCATCTTGAGGGGTGACCTGCCCACTGTGCCGTGGCTCTTCTTTCCAGCCCGTTCCTTGTGGCCTCATGGCCACACCCTCTCGTGGTTTTGGTGACCTGGTTCAGGGATCAGAAGCCAGTCCATGTGGTGTCGGGAGAGTTAAAACAGTGATGCGAGTGTCCTGAGGGCTGCACTGGGGCACAGAGCATGTACATGAGAGGTATTGTCTTTGCCTCTCCCTGGCCTGCCCGCCCCACCCCCTTTTCTCTAGCGATCCCTCTGTTCCTTGAATTCTGCCTGTGTTCATACCTCTTTCTAAATGACTAGTCACCATTGCTCTCTGGGCCTCCTTCCCCTTCCTCGTCCTGTTTCCCTTCACCTGAAGCGTTGCTGAAATGAAATCCATCCAGCTCCTTCTGTCTTCCTGTTGGAGAGTACTGGGTAATCTTTCTCCACTTTTCCTCCCAAATAATTAAAGAAGAAGCCATGTGATGTTGTGACTGTAATGTGTTTTTTCAAATAACTAACATGTTATACTTTAAAGATTAGATGCTTTTCTCTGAGTTGCATTTTTTTCATGTTTTAATTGTCAGAGAGGAATTTTCTGCTGGTATTTTTTTCTTTGTTCGTGAAATTGGCTGCTTTAGTGTGTCAACAGCTATAGAACAAAAGATTCTATTTTTAGTTTGTTCTGTACAGTATCCCATATAATTCCAAATGCAAATGAGAGCTAACTTAGATCCTGTTAATGATGGAGAAGAGGAAAAAAGGAAAATTGCCCTTACTAATCCATCCATCTTAGATTCTATTCTCAAAAAGTAGACGGTAATCATATAGTGTCTTACCTTTGGGGTCTTTCCTGATCTTTGGGAACATCAGTGTCCTGGTTAGACAGGAAGTTGGATGGACAGTGATGTGTCACTTGTGTCCTGAGAGGTGACTGAGAGCTGTGTTTGAAGAACTATGGCAAGTGTGTGGCCAGAGCTGTGACGATGAAGAGATGGCCTTAGGGAGCAGGGAGCCTGTAGATCATGCAGGTGTCCTGAGTACATCCTCAAGGCTCTGCATGCCCTCTGGTTCGAACACAAACTGTGCTCGGGAATCCAGTGGTGGAAGGTGCAAACATGAGGATGCAGCAGCACCAGTTCAGGGTCCTGGTGCCCACGGAGCAGGGTGAGGCAGAGTACTGGGGAGGCTGCTGGGCACCACCTGGCTTGTTCACTTTCTTGGACGGTGTAGGGTAAATGGACGTGTGTTGTATAGCTGCTCTTCAAATGGCAATTACTGGTATAATGTCCTTACACGAGGGCTGTCTTATAAACCAGGAAAACAAAAAATGATACCAAGGAGAATTCCTGCTATCCAGAGCCCTTTGGAGATTTTTTTCCCCTAGATAGCCATGTTTTCTGGAGACTAAAATTTTCTTCTTTAACATCAGAAATTTTTTTTTTTTAATGTTTTGGATGTACATTTTGTTTATGGAATCTTCATAGACATCAAAGTTTAATATACAACTTCTTTTCATGACTCAAGGTTAATGAGTCATAAGAATAATTTGGGAATACCAGTTATTTTATTATGTTTGTGTGGTTCATGGATATTCTCAGACTATCGCAGTGGTTAGCTGGTTGTATTTTAAAACTATAGGAGAGGGACTTGCCTGGTGGTCCAGTAGGTAAGACTCCACGTTCCCAGTGCAGGGGCCTGTATTTGATTCCTGGTTGGGGAACTAGATCCCACATGCCAAAACTAAGAGTTCACATGCCCCAACGAAGCTTGGAGATCCTGCATGCCATAGCTAAGACCCAGCACAGCCAAATAAATACTTTAAAAACAAGTGAATAAATTTAGAAAATTTTCAGGGAGAGATAAAGCTCTAGGAGGTGCCTACAGTGAGGCTTATGGGTGTGCTTGTGTCAGTACATATTATATGTGCATTTATGATATGTTTATCAATATATTGTAATTTTTATACATAAAGTCTGCTTTTTATAATGTTTGAGAGTCTCTTTCAATCATGTGAATTAATGTTAAACCTTTTCTCCCTTTTCTAAAATCTGCCAAAGTGATACAATTGAGAGGGAAACACTGCTAATCCATCCAGGTCTGTGAGTGTGCAGGAAGGGGGAGGCCTTGGGACCTGGACTGGGGCTTTGGGCCTTCTAGCTCTGCCTGTGCTCCGAGGAGGTGGGAGACAGGAGGAGCCAGGTCCTCATGGCAGTCCTCTTGGGGATTAAGAGGTGTGTCTTCTCTCACCTTCTTGGGGATCAGGGCTGCTTAAAGGTTCTCCATCCCTGGGCACGTCAGCAAATATTAAGCTTTCTGATGAGGAGACCTTTGTAGAGGTGACCTTTCCAGGGGATGAGCTTCTTTACGTTGGCTCTGATGTTCCAGCCAACCTGTACTTAGAGGGGCCTGAAAGTAATAGAGCCGCCAAGTGACCCTTGATCTGATACACAGGGTCTTTCAAGTGCCTGATGTATTTATAACTACACCTCAAGGCAGGGATTTGCTCTAAGAAATTGCATTCCCAAAATAATGAAGTTGGAGCCTGCACTGGAATTAGTGTTGTCATGCAGAGCCGAACATCTGTGTATTCCTGCCAGCCTCCACGTGATGGAGTCTGTGCATCAGAACATAAGGTCACTTGTCAGAGTGACTCAAGTGATAATACCTCCAGGTTTGAGCAGTTCAAGAAGCCAAATGCACTTGTGTCTGAAATGGTTGAGACCATGTTTTGATGCAGTCTCTGAAACAGCAGACCCTTCTCCTTGTCCACCCCACTGACATAGGTCTCTCCATGGGTACCTTCTCGCCCATCCCGGAGCAGCGTCGCCTGTAGGGCAGAGTCCCCAGGGTGTCCAGGAGGGGCTGGTTCCTCGAGTACTTGTGTTTGCAGTTCGTTTGCCTATTGGTCATGCTTTCCTTTGTCAATATCCTTGTACCTCTCTGCAAATGCAGACAAAGCTCCTCTTCAACACACAGGGTCCACACTTAGCCCAACTGACCAGAGCAAGAAACTTGGCACAAAAAATGCTCATTAGGCTCTTCTGTGGGACAGGCACAGCTGTGCTTTAGATTGGCATCTCTTTTCAAGGCAGGTGGGAAGGCAGTTCTTCATGGTTCTAGGAGACCTGGATTCCCTTTTTGGTGAGAAAATGGCTTATAAATTCTGAGTATCTAAAAACTTATTAGTCCTTTATGTTTATGCTTTTTATGTGTCAGAATGGAACATAAAATTATATACTAAATATTTCCTACCACCTTTGACTCATGAAAGATCTGTGGGCATCAGATTTGATGTATGGTGACCAGAAACCCTGAGAGAGCAGCTCTAGGCAACCAGTGTGTCTTGTCTGAATAGCTGAGGGGCTGCGGCTGGGGCTGCACCTGAAGACAGGCACCATCAGGCCTGCACTCTTACCTGTGAAGGTGTTTTCTTTTCATGCTTTCAGAGTTGGTATAACAATTAGAACTTTGCTGGGGATTATCTCAAGCAAATGTAACATTGAAGTATGTGTTAGTTGTCTTGAGAATTTAGTTTTCATTTGCTGTCTTTGGGGAGGCTCCTGTGTTGCTGACAGTTTTGCTTTTCTCTTTGCTCCAGGCTTCTAGTCAGTGCCTCACAGGATGGTAAACTTATTATCTGGGACAGCTACACCACAAACAAGGTAGGCACTGCAGACCATGCCCTGAAGACCAGCCCAGGCAAAGGCAGGTGTTTAAACTCTGGGTTCACTTATGCACAGTTTGTAAAGGAGAGGGCAGAGGAGCACAGGGGTGTCGCTTTTAAAGTAAAGTTGTGGGCCAAATGGAAACCTGGTCACATAGCTGGCACGTGTGGCCTGTGCTGCCAGGCTGCACTCTTATGCCATGGTTGGTTTTCCTGCAAAGCAGGTGGAGGGAGGGCCTCCTCCATGTTTTTAGGAGCCAGGAATCCAATTTTAGCTCATGGGAAATCTCATGTTTTATTTAAAAATGCAGAGATATAGCTTTCCATTAGTGACTGGTTTTCACAAGAAATAATCTGAAAGATACTGTACTTTAAAGTATAAATTATTTTAAAAATTTAATCCAGGATTGTTCAATCCATACTGAATGAAAAAAGTATTGTCATTGGTCTAAATGTGTGTAACAGACAAAATTCAATTATATTTTGCTGGAGAATACCAAATGTGTTTAAAAAGATTGCGGTACTTTTAAATCTCAGACACAGGGAGGTGTGTGGTAGGATTAATTATAGTAATGTCTAGTTTGATTACTTCACTAAAAATACTTGAGTTTGTGAATTAATTTTATAGTCATTTTGATAGGCCAATGAAATGTTTTCCTCTTAATATGTAATTTCAACTTGGGGGCTTTGCTGGTATTCCTGAAGTGCCTGCCTGACTGTAATAAATCTGCATTTGGGATTCTCTGATGGGCCAGTGGTTATGACTCCACATTTTCACTGCCAAGGGCCAGGGTTTGATCTCTGGTCAGGAAACTAATCCTAAAAGTCAAGCAGTGCAGCAGTTAAAATAAAAACTCTACATTAAATTGTTGTGCAGCACTGAATTTCTAATTAAATTTTACCTTCATTTGGCCACCCATAAAAATTATTTTTAAACTAATTTTGGCCAGTGTCTTGCTGTGTCACCTCTGGGGCAGTGACAGTTGAAGACAAGAAGCAGGATCACGATGTCAGTAGGTGATGTGTCTGACGTGCGTGCTCACATCATGTGTGTTCTGCCTTTCAGGTCCATGCCATCCCTCTGCGCTCCTCGTGGGTCATGACATGCGCTTATGCCCCTTCTGGGAACTACGTGGCCTGCGGAGGCCTGGATAACATCTGCTCCATTTACAATCTGAAAACTCGTGAAGGGAATGTACGTGTGAGTCGTGAGCTGGCTGGACACACAGGTACACATTCTCATCAATAAAGTCACAGTTATGTGTGCTGTAGCCAGGCATTAGTTTTGTGCTGTGGACACTTGTCTCTTCTCAGTAGTTGTTTTATGAGATTGGCTACAGTAATGGCCGGAGATACTCTGAAAGTGAAATCAAAGACAGGCCTTGATATACTTTTACCAGTTGGAAGCCTTTTGGTTTAAGTCACTATAGTGTCTGGTTTTCAAGGATCCTGGGTACTTGGGTCACTGTGTAGTAGCTGGTGGACAACTTCTTTCCATATCAGCATGACATAATTCATTCTCTTGAGCACTTTTCCACAATGGTTTCCTAATCTAAACATGCATGTTACACATACCTGTCTCCACATGTGCACACATATGCACACCCTGACTCCCAAGTACACACAACTGTCTCCATGTGTGCACACACATGCACCCTGACTCCATGTACATACACCTGTGTCCACTTGTGCACACACACACGTACCCTGATTACTGACCAGCACTCATGCTGCACAGGGCAGAACATTCCTACCGGCGCAGGTCTCCTGAATGGAGCCTGCTGGAACTGTTAGATGGTGGGTTGTTTTGCCAAGTTCAATTTACCTGTGACAGTTATTATTTATTACAAAAGACATAACTTTTCTGGAAAAGAAGGTTTCAGCCCAGTATTTTACTTCTCTTGCTATATTCTTTTTCAAAACTACACCCTCTGCTCATGTACTTCACATGCAACCAGAGAATTATCATAGTTACTGGTATCCTTTTGACTTCATTCAGGCAGTCTGTTAAATTGATTCTGGCCGGTTAATTGTATATCTTTAAACTTTTAAAGATACACTGCCTGTATTGCACTGATTTTTGTCCTGTGTCATTTCCTGCCTTTTGTTGGCTTTGGGTTTGCTTCCTTCTTAACTCTCTAGCTTCTTATTAAGGTGGAACCTTAGGCCTTCCTTCTTTTTCAAATTGAGCCTTTAAAGCTGTAAACTCCCCTTTAAGTGTGGCTTTAGCTATGTTGTCATTCAGTGGGAAACATTTTTAACACCATTTTGATAACCTGTTGTGGTTTCTGATTAAATGCAGTTATGTTCAGAAACAATGTTCTGTATTGGTTGAGTTTTTCTCATTTGTGGAGGTTCACTTCCTGAGGAGCAGGCGGTCTGACAAGGACATGCTGCATGTGCTCAGGAGGCCAGGCTGTGGGGCAGTTCTCAGCGTGTTTGTCAGAGCAGGATTTTGACACTATTCACATTTTCTGTGTCTTTAGTTTCTAAGTTGCTGAGGTGGGATGGATTTCTCTCTTTCTCCCTTCATTCTGGAAATTTCTGCGTCGTGTATTCTGACTTCTTTCAGTGGAAGCAGTTATGTTCGTGACCGTCATTTCTTCCTGATGAACTGACCCTCTTCCTGTCTCAGAACCTCTGCTGGAAAGTGGGCTTTATCTGATGTTCTTGCAGTCATTCCAGCCTTCTTAGGCTGTTTGCATGGTGTATTTCTTCCGTCTGTGTAACTGTTTATAAACACAGTCCCTTGTCTACTGTACATGTCTCTGCCTCTAATTGTGTGAGCTTCGTGTCTGCTTCCTGCATTGCGGATGCACTGGGTTTATGATGACCTCTCCTTTCCCGCCTTCTTTTGGGTTACCTGATTGTTCAGAGTAATATTTTATAGTTTTATCTGTTGGCTTTTGGTTACCTCTTTGAATTATATTTTAGGGTTTATGTAGGGATTACAGCGTACGTTCATAATTCTTAAGGTTCGGCCAGGTATGTTGTATCCATTTATGTGAAAGACAAGAGTCTTGTAGCCATAAATGTCCCATTTCCTGCCCTTCCTCATCCTTTACAAAGTTGTCTTTTTCTAGGTCTTGCATCCTTGTGTGTTATAAGCCCCCAATATATTGTTACACTTTTTCCTTTAAACATTCTTAGCCATTTGAAGAAAATTGAATAGTCTTTTACATTTACTCAAGTCTGTACCATTTCTGGTGCTCATTTCTTCCTGAAGACATGCGCTTTCTCCTGGGTGCCCTTCAGCCTGAGGGGCTTGCTTTAGTGCTTCTTACAGTTGGTGTGGATCTCACCAAGGAATTCTGTCTATCCTCACCTGAAAATACTGACTATCCTTCATCTCTGAAGAATATTTTTGCTGATATATTTAATTTGGGGTTGGTATTATTTTCTTTTAGCATTTTAAAGATTTTTCTTTATTTTTCAGCTGTTTGACTGACATGCCTTGGAGTGATTTTCTTTGTTTATTGTGCTTTAACACCTTGACTTCGTAAAGTTCTGTCTTTCACTACATTGGGGAAATTTTAGAGGTCCACTTTCTGTTCTTGGTGCTCTCTTCTTTCACGCGTTCACGTCATCTCTTAGATTCCATCTCCCGCTTCCGCAGAGCCGTCCTCTAGGGCATGTGACTTCTGTCACCTCCACGGTGTTGTTAAGACCACCCAGCAAGCCATTTAAGTCAGATGTTCACTTCAGTTCTAGAATTTATTTGCTTTTTAAAAAACAGTTCTTGTTTCTCTGCTAAGATTTCCTGTCTTTTTTTATTTATAACGAGCATAGTTAGGATCCTTTGAGCAGTTCCAAGAGCTGCCTTTAAAATTCTTGTCTGCCAGTTCTAGCAGTCAGTCCCTTGAGGTTGGTCTTGGTGGCTCATTCCTCTTGAATGTAGATGACATTTTCCTGCTTGTTGGTGCATCTAGTGATTTGACTTGCATCCTGGGCTTTTGCGGCTGTTGTGTTGTGCAGACCACTCTCCTGGAATCCTGCTGTGTGGTCCTGTGGGGAGCAGCCATGCTGTGTAGGTTCAGCTGTCTTGCCTGTGTGTGGTTTGGACAGATGTGGGGGAGTTGGTGCGTGATTTTTTTTTAGGGCCTTGTATGGCTTTCTCCTTTCTAGATTTTCTTCTTTCACTTTCTGGCTGTGGTTGCCCAGAACCCTTTACTGGCTGCTCAGGAAAGTTGGGCCACAGATGTGCTGTCTGAGGTGTGGCTGCGTGGTTGTGGCTGTCACAGGAGGGGACCTGCCTGCAGGCACAGCACCTGAAAAATAAGGTCCCCCAGTGCCTCCAAGTGCAGGTTCCCCTTCAGTTTGTCTGCTGCTGCTTCCAGTGTTTGTAGGAGTTTGTTTTTATATTTGTCCAGTGCTCATAGTAGTTTTCTGTGGGAAGGTTACTCCTGGGGGTGGAACCCAGCCTGGCCTGCTTGCCCCATCCTTGTGAACAGGGCTTCTGTCCAGTGAGCACCCTTCATAAGCCACTTTGCTTCCAGCATCAGCGAACTTTCAACACTTAAAAAACATTCTTACTGTTTATCAATCTCTTATATCCAGTTCAGTGTATGGACTTCCATTTTTTAATTAAATCTTTTACATTTTTTAGCACTTGTTTGCTGAAAGAAAAAATAAAACTAGTATTAGAATGCATTAGAAATTGTGTTTCCTTCATGCATTGTGAACTGTTACTTCTTGAGAGCTGAGTGGTGTGTTTTAAACATTCTACATCTTAAGGGTATTTGTAACTTTTCAGACATGATGCTTCAGGTCAATAAAGGTTAACGTTGGATGAGCTTCACTTAGCCTCCCTTTAGTCAGGCAAGGGTGTGAAAGGTCAGTGGACTCAGCAGATTTGAGCACGTGTGGTCTGTCTCGTCTCTGTCGTTCCTAACTTCATCTGAGGGCATTGGTACCCCTCATTCGGGCATCTCAGGCCTGAGCATTAACTGAGGACTCTCTGTTAAGCTGGGGTTGGGACATTTTCTCGAAGGATCTTAGAACTCAGTTGCAATAAAACCCATCTGGGTGCTATTGTCAGCAGACCCTCATGCTTGGTTGTGTCTGCACAGTCGTGGTGGGAATCAAGCTTGTGCAGCCTCAGGAAGGAGGCTCCTGTGATCAGTTTCGTGTTGTTATTGTTTCCATGAGATACAGGGCCCACTGGGAGCAAGCCGAGGTTCCTTCTCTTGAGTTGGCCTCCCAGGCTGTGGGAATGCTTGCGGAGCTGAGGGAGCACCTGTCAGACGGTGCTCTGTCCTCTGGTGTCTCATCTTTCCTCTAAGTTGTCTGTCCTGCAGAGTGCAAGGTGCCCTCTGGAAATGGCTCAGGGACTGAGCTTCCAGCCTTGAGATGGAGTATTTGTTGTTGTTGTGACTACATTACATACAGAATAACCTTTAGAGTGCTGTTTTGGCAAAAAGGCATTAGATCGTGTATTTGAGAAATCAGTAATGCCCTGAAAGTGTCGCCTTCTTCCCTGAACCTCCCATCCCCGTGCAGACATGGTGTCTTCCTGGGATCACCTGGTCAGGAGTTTAGCCAGAACTTCCTTGGGGCCGTGATGGCCTGCCCCTCCTGAGGTGGCTAGCGCTTCATGTTTGTGGGCTGGGCTGGGCTGTCCTTGCTGTCCGGGGCCCCCAGCCTGTTCTTTTTTCCTTGATAGGAGCCAGCAGGCTGGGCTGTAGGAGGAAAGAGGGCCTGTCCTGCTTCATTCCAGGCCTCCTCCCTCTGGGCTGTGGCCTGCTCGTCCCTGCAGCAGGCCATCCCACTGCCACTTGTGGTCTCAAAGAGGCCCTGGCACACCCCCACTTGGTGCCATGTTTGTCTGACCCTCTGGGGCTCTGGAAAGGCACCAGTGCCTGGGCCAGCCACCTTTCTGCTAAGGACACACACAGGGACACACGTGCACATACAAACCGTGGGGAAGAGGTCCTACTGAGGGCACACAGGCACACTCACGTGCACACACCCACACTCTTGGGAAAGGGGTTCTACTTAGGGTGCACACAAATGCACAAACACACACACCCATGAGGAAGGGGTTCTGATGAGGGCGCACACATACAGGTGCACATAAACTCATATACACCTACGAGGAAGGGATTTTGTTAAGGGCATGCACACATACACACACGCACACAGGATGGGAAGGGGTTCTGCTGAGGGCACCTACACGCACACATCTCCACAGGCAAGGGGTTCTGGTGAGGGCACACATAGCCTGCCTGGTTCCTAAGGATCCAACAGCTGATGTGTGCTGACCTTCTGGGCCCTGAAGAGGCCAGAGCTCGTTGCTGGTGCTCGAAGGCCACGGCCGTAACATTCAGCTGCTGGTTCTCGGGGCAGGAAGCTCATGGGCTCCGTGTGACCACCACCTGCAGGAAATGGACAGAGGTCATCTTTGAGGGTGTGTTTCTTTGTGTCATTGACCTAGGAGTGTCTGTGTCTGACCCTGTGTGCAATGCTGGTGGAGCTGGGGTCTCCACAGTGCTGTTTCCAGTCGGCTGTGCTCACCAGTCAGACAGAGTAGTGCTAGAGGCTCCAGGACTGGGTCCTGGAAGACTGGCTTGTATGAGGGTGGCAGTGTGCCAGGAAGTGAGTGCTGTTCTTGGAGAGGAGGAGCTTGGGGACCTTGGGAGGAACCCCTGGGGGAGGCTGAGGGTGGCAGCCATGTGGTCCCCGATGTCCTGTGGACATGATGTGGGCTCTAGGGAGCACTTGACCACATGTCCTTGTCTAGGCACAGAACTGATATTCTGAAACTGTCGTCTCTGTTTCTTCTATGGGAGACAGTGAGGTAATATGTTAGGTATAGGCTTTGTTTTCCCAACAACCTTATGCTTTCCACATCAGCAGCTGTCAGTGGGTTCCTCCTCTCTTGGTGTGTATTTTGTCTTTGGTTTTACTGAGTGACACAGCATCACACGTGGCTCTGTGTGGCCTGGGAAGACTTGGTAGGAGCCCGGCCGGCTGGGGTCAGGGGCTGCCCTGACACTGTCCCTGGGCCTCCCGGGTGGGGTGCTCACTCCGTATGTGCAGTCCTCAGAGTCATTTGTGCTAAGATAACAGAGATGGTGGTGAACAGGGCTTATTCAGGAGAAATCAAATATAGGCTCTACAGAATGGATCTTCTTTGTGTTTGCCCTTCCTTATTCCAAAAGGGGATGCAGGCTGGGGCCTCTCATGCTGGTGGGGGGTGCGGAACTGCGTGACACACAGCAGTTTCCACGCTGACCACGCACTTGTCCCACAGAAAACAAGTCTGCCCCCAGCCCTGCACCCCAGTCTCTTGCCCCTGCAGACCCTCCATCCTGGCTCCTCCTGCCATGTCAAGGGCCGGCAGGACATGTGTGTGCTCAGAGCGCCTCCTTCCTCCTGGTGCCCAGTCCTGTGGCTCTGCTCTTGCCCGCAGTGCCTGCAGTCTGTGTGACTTTGTTCCTCTTTCCAGCACACAGGGCAGGGCCAGAGGTGGTGGACATGGCGTTTGCCTCACCTTGCCTGGGCCTTCCCACTGTGGTCACTCTATTTACAAGATGTAGAGTCAGGTGCTGAGGCCATTGTTGGGTCTGTTTTCCAGGTTACCTGTCCTGCTGCCGTTTTCTGGATGACAATCAGATCGTTACCAGCTCTGGAGACACCACCTGGTGAGTGTCAGGGCACTCAACCTGTCTCACACTGCCCTCCCCGCCGCACAGCTGAGCCACAGGGAAGCCCTCAGCTAAGCTACCGTGACTGGACGCGGCCCCAGGGCTTCAGACACAGGTGCCGAGAGGCGGACCAGTTCATGGTGCTCTGTGTAGATGGGAAGGTTCAGTTTTGAACAACTAAGAACAGATTTTGAAACTAGAACTCTGCGTGGAACACCGGCTTGTCTCTTCCTCACAGTTCGCCTTCCTGGGCCACAGTTACTAGCCTTGGGGGGTGCGCTTCAGCCCCCCTCAGGTGAGCGCTGCCTCCCTGTGGACTCTGAGCACAGCTTCAAAGTAGCAGGTGTCATAGGAGTTTCACTTTATTGGTGGAAGACACTGAAACTCTGTGAAGTGTTCACTTGTGGCACCAAAACATATCCTCTGAAATCATCGAGAAGTTGAGTCATTTCAGGTTTAAACTGTCCCTGTGGGGTTTTCTGGCTCTTTGAGGCAAGGTGTGGTGGCCGAGAGCCAGCAAGCCACATGGGAGGGGCAGGTGCGCCCTGGCCAGCCCTGCCTGGTGAGGTGTCCTTTGTGTGTGCGCTCACTGAAGATCTGCAGTCTGTCTTGACTGCCAATTTGGGAAGAACCTCTGTATTAGAAGGTATTTTTGGAAGCTTTTTCACTTGGGAAGGATGTTTTTTGGACTGGGGTGGAGGTTGTCTTCCTTTCTTCTGCTTGTCCTTCAGGCCCTAGAGAGGGGTCCCCTATGCTTGGATGTGGGGGCTGGGTTGAGCTGGTTTTCTGTGAGGCTGATAGGGGACGAGTAGCATCTGATGGCCTTGCTTCTGTGGGCGAAGCACAGAAACCACGCGTGCGTCCTCGCCACGCTGCCGTGTCTCCCCTTTCTCTGGCCTGGAGTAGCCTCTCAAGCTGATGGCCATGGGCCCCACGCTTGGCTCTGCCCCACGGAGTGACCCAGCCTCTGAGCTCTGGCGGGCATGGAGCTGTCCAGCAGGGGCACCAACTGGAGGCCTTCTGCTGCCCCTCATGAGTCCTTGTGGGGCCCAAGTGTGTGGCCCAGTCCACAAGTGTCCCCACTGGACAGGGACTTGGCTCCCTCTTCTGCTGATGTGTGAGCTGGTGTGAGAATCAGAGAAGCCCCGGGCGGACTCATCCATGTCGTGTGTGTGCTTGGCTCTGTAACAACCCATCTGAGCAAAGTCACTATTGGATGTGGATCTGTCTTAGGTGAAGCGTGGATGCTTACTGCAGGCCTGGGGGTTTGAGGGAGTTTGTTGGCGTATCTGGTCTTCCAAGCAAGAGGGTTAACCCTTGACATTGCTCTGTCCCAGTGCCCTGTGGGACATCGAGACTGGCCAGCAGACAACCACGTTCACTGGACACACCGGGGACGTCATGAGCCTTTCGCTCGCTCCGGACACCAGACTGTTTGTCTCTGGTGCTTGTGACGCTTCAGCCAAACTCTGGGACGTGCGAGAAGGGATGTGCCGGCAAACCTTCACCGGCCACGAGTCTGACATCAACGCCATCTGTGTGAGTTGAGGTCACAGGTGTGGGTCAGGGCCCCTGGCTGGCGATCAGCAGGTTAGAGTCCTCAGGAGCTGCAGCTGTGTCAGCCAGTTGGAAAATGTTTTCAGGGTTAGATGTTCTCTCTTTTCTATGCAAATACAGAATGGACAAAATCTCCCTGTGGGAGACTTGGCTGTGATTCGCTCTGTCCCAGCGAGGCCCGCATGTGTCCCACTCCCAGGGTGACCAGTGACTGACCATGAGGCTTCCTCCCATCGGGGGCAAATAGTCCCTAACTGACCCTGTCAGCCCAGCCTCCAAGGGGCTCTGGGGGCACAGCAGTGGAGGGAGCCTGCCCTTGTCCACGTTGCCCTGACAGGAGGGCCTGGCCATCTGAGGAGCCGGAGGTGGGGAGGGGGAGAAAGTGTCTGCTTCCTGAGTCGTCCTCCACGCAGGAAGCCTGACTCCAGCGCCTGCGGGCACCCAGCCATGGGTGACAGCCACATTTCTGCTGTTCCCTCGGGACCATGGTGGTGACGGGAAGCCAACTCTTCACCGAGGTCTGGTCCCTCCTGGTCCCTGCGCAGCATCTGCTGTTCCAGCCAGAGCCTGGTCCTAGCTGGTCTTCAGCTCCTGTGCCCATAGTACCCTGCATCGGGCAGTCTGCATTTCCAGTGTGTCTTTCTGTCCATTGGCAAACTGTCTGGCTTGCTTGCTCTTTCCAGTTCTTCCCGAATGGCAACGCATTTGCCACTGGCTCAGACGACGCCACCTGCCGGCTGTTCGACCTCCGTGCAGACCAGGAGCTCATGACCTACTCCCATGACAACATCATCTGCGGGATCACCTCCGTCTCCTTCTCCAAGAGCGGACGCCTCCTTCTCGCAGGGTACGACGACTTCAACTGCAACGTCTGGGACGCCCTCAAGGCCGACAGGGCAGGTAGGCAGTTGCCGGGCCTCACCAGGTCTGCAGAGGGATAGGGTACACATCACTTGCGACATGTGGGCTGACAGAGGGACAGGAGCCAGGCCCCAGCACGAGAAGCTCTTGGCGGTACCATGTGGCTCACTCAGGCAGGACGGGGCCAGCCGCGTCCTCGTAGCACCCTCCCATTGTAGAGCTCCGAGCTCTGGGGGGGCCCCTCTTCCTCTCCTGCTCCCCCGAGTGCCTCCAGGTCTGCGGCCTCTGTCCTGACAGCCTCAGGTCCCTCTGGAAAGATGTGGCTGACGATCGTCCAAGCACTGACCACTGACTGTCACGGGGTGCCCTGTTTGGGGGGAGGGGATCACTGTGCCTGTCCTAAAGGACCACCCTCTGCATCCGTCACGAGCTCTCTGTGTTGGGATCCTTTCCTCACCACCAAGGCCTGGCAGGGATTGGAAGTGTGGGTTTCTGGGTCCACTTCAGCAAGTGGTTGGACCTCAGGCTGACCACACTGTCCTCGGCCCCCAGGGGTCTTGGCCGGGCATGACAACCGCGTGAGCTGCCTGGGGGTAACTGATGACGGGATGGCCGTGGCGACGGGGTCCTGGGACAGCTTCCTCAAAATCTGGAACTAACCCTGACAGGTAAGAGGCAGCCCACACCCTTCACTGCTTGCGACTCCATGTTTCTTACAACATGAAGGGAGCTGTGGGTTGGAGCTCCTGGGGTCATTTGGACGTGGCTGCTCTGGGCTCTCAGGCAGATGAGCTCTGCGGTTAGCCTGAGTACTCGCTGTGCCCCCATCCTGAGCGGGTGCAGCTGCCATGCCACTCTGCACCTGGGCCAGGTGCTGCGTTTCTCTTCATGGTCTCTCAATTCTGTTTAAAGCAGCAGGTGGACGCCACAGTGACTGGAAGACCATTCCAGCCTTGGAGCGTTGCAGATAGCATTTTACATCCACCCCTACTAACGCGGACGCCCTGCACCCCTCAGAACTTCAAAAGGGCAAGACCTTCCCCTCACTTATTGCTGAAACCAAGAGCACAATTCCCACTGAGAGAAGAATCTCTGTGCTGTAACTAAAACGAATCGTGCATTCCTTCCGGGACCATTGTCTTTGTTTTATTTTTTTTTGTTTGTTTGTTTTGAATGAATTTAAAAGGAAATACTATAATAAAAATGTTAACGAGAAGGTAAACTTGAGTGTAATTGTAAGACAGACACACCTTTTTACTAGTTTATTTGAAATATTGATCAGTAATCCTGTTTGGTGATGTTCATGCAAACCAAGTTGAGGACTTCATCTTGTAATTGACTCTGAATTCTAGATTGTGTTTGTAACAGGATTTTGCAGACATGATTCATATTTCCTTCTTAAAATACATTTCTTTCTGCTTGTAGTTAAACAGAGAAGGAGGGTCTGGTGTGGCCTCTCTCAGATTGTTAATGATGTAAATTTAGTCCCTGGTTTTTTTACTTCTTGTCTCGTGTCACATGACTGTCGTGCGCATGGTGTAGAAGGATGATGCTGAGAAGTCAAGGAACTGAGCACGCGGACAGTGACCGCGTCAGGCGCCTTTCCCATGACCCACCCTCTCCCCTCAGTTCGGTTTTTAGTCTCACCCGGTCTTCTTGTGAAGTTGGAGGGAGGCTGACAGAACAGCGCGACACTACCCTGTGCCCCACCCGGCCATCACGAGCCTCCGTCCTCAAGAGCGGTGCCGTCCTGTGCGTGGAGAGTCAGTCAGTTATTTGTGTATGAAACAATGTACAAATCAATGTTTTGAAAATAATGATCTCAAACTTTCTAAGTTAAATTTTAAAAAACCTGACCGTTTGCCATATGGGGTGGGTTTGCTCTTAGAACCGCATGCTGTAGAAATGCTCACAGTGCATATAGGACCCAGTCCTTAGATGTTCTTTTTCTTTTAAGAAATAACCTCTTTGAAATTGTGACGTCGCGCTCTGTCCACTTCGCGTCGCTCCTCTGTGCACACGCATCGCATTGGAGGCCGTGCAGTTAGCGGCTCTACACGCTCGCCTGGCGAGATGTCACTGTTTTCTTTCTTTCTTTAAAAAACAAGTCCTGTTCCAAAATCGTTGTTGGATGGGGTGGGGGGTGTACAGGGAACGGAGTCCCCAGCCTCCCTTGTGGATTCCTCATGGCCCGCCTCTCCCGGAACCAGCCTTTGTGCTGAGGCAGACCACTTTTCTAACATGCAGATGTCCCTGGTTCCGTGCGCGTCCAGTGTTGGGCAGCGGTGCTGGGACAACGCGGGCCTCCTCCCCGCACCAGCACCCCCGTAGCGGCAGCAGTGGCTTCTCCACCTGTGTTTGCACCATCCTGTGCGCCCTGTGCCCTGGACCCGCAGAGAGTGGGATGAGCCCCCGCCCCCGTCGGCACCTCTGTAGAGCTCTCTGCACCCTGTCCCTCACCTTTTGTATTTAATTTTAAAGTCAATGTACTGCAAGGAAGCTGGATGCAAGATAGATCCTATATTCAACTGTACTGTTATTTAAGATGTAATAAAGCAGTTTGACATGAGGGATCTTGGCGTGACTGCTCATTTGTGGGGCTGTTTCGGTGTCTGGAGGCAGTTGCTTCCCCTGCTGCCCACTCTTCTGTCCATGTCCCTTGTCCCCATCACAGTTCAGTCGCTCAGTCGTGTCCGACTCTGGGACCCCATGAACCGTAATACACCAGGCCTCCCTGTCCATTACTAACTCCCAGAGTTTACCCATGAAAAGTATGGCTGGTCCTCAGATGGCCCTGCAGAGCAGTGGTGTCCTGTGAGCCCTGGCCCTTCATTCCTGGGTAGCAGTCTGTCCTTTCCTCTTCTGAGCCTGAGCCACACACCCCCTTCCCTCCGCTCCCCAAGAATACTTAGGACCTTATTCAATAGACAATACTTCCCTTCAGATCAGACCATTTTCATCTTTGAATGAAGAGAACTGCGTCTTACAAGAAAGAATGAGCATCAGCCCCCCACATGTGAGAGAAAGTGCACTTCAGTGAGGAGAGCCCCACTCCACCCTCCGCCCCCGCCACAGGATCCAGTCCTGCTTCTGCTGCAGGAAACAGTTTTCCTTCAGCCCTCAGTGTTCCATAAGGTTATGAAGGCTGCCTCAGTATTCCCCTGGGTCAGGTTCATAAATAAGCGAAGACTAAAAAAAATAAAGACTGCTCTCAGTGGGAAGCGTTCTCGCCTGAATCTCCCATTTCTGAGGATCAGGAAGACACAGGCATCAGGTCCACACCGCCCCCCACCCCCAGCTTTGCCCCTGGGGAGGGGTGGCTGGGACTGGCACCTTCTCGGGTTGCTTCTGCAAGGACCATGGGTGCAGTTTCTGGGTGACTGACAGCCTGAACAGTGGGTTCGCCTGGTTTCAACCTCCGCCCCCGATTCTCTCTGGAATAAATCTGTTACTTGAATGTTTTAACTGCCAACTGCCTCACAGAATGCCAGAGAGCATCTGAGGTGCTCCCTGGGCTGGCAGCCTGAGGTGGGGGAGGGAGGGTCTCCGGGGTCAGGAAGCAAGCCTTTATTCTGGCACAGGGCACACCTGCTGCTGGCCACCTGCAGAAGGAGCAGGTGGACACAGGTGGCTCTGCGAGGGCCAGCTTATCCAGGGATCCTCTGAGCTGGGGCTGGGGATGCTGAGACTGAGCCCTCTGCTGCCTTGACACCACTGGCCCACCTTCTCAGGAAAGTGGTCACTGAAAATGGGTATTGGGGACTCTGAGGGCAGGCAGCCAGAGGTGTTAAGTGACACCACTGGCACTGTGCTGCCCGGAGTGAACCTCGGACTTGATGCTGGAAGCCCAGGACCCTTGGGAGGTGCAAGCACGTGGCTCCCAGGGCCTGGATGCACCTGGGAAGTGACATCCTCCTGTCACACCTCCCCTCCAGGGCGCCTGTTCTTTCTTCCTCCAGCCTCATCCCACAGCCTCCGTCCCTAGCGGCTCCACTGACTCTGGTAGGCATTCCTGTATCCGGTGTGATGTCCATACTCTGCCCCGGACCCTCAGTTGCTGGACACAAACTGTGTCCTTGCAGGGAGCCTGGGATTACCTGGGCCCCCACCTTGGTTCTCAAGTGCACGTGTGGTGTCCACCCCACCCAGCACCACCACCCACACAATTCCTGACCCTCCACGGCGAGCACATAGGGAGGTCCTCGGAGCCCCTGTAACCACCCCCAGGGTCCCTCCTGATCTGTGAGAGCAGGAAAAGGCTGTCCTGCCCCCGCCACTCTTGCTCCAACTCCCACATCTCCACCATTCCCGACTCCTGGAATCCAGCCAAATGGAAGGGGCAGAAAATCCTGTTCTTTCACATCCTTCCGCTGTGAACCTGGGACCAGTTACTTGGCCTCTCTGTGCCTGAGATTCCCTGTGAGAAAGCACCTGCTCTTAGAGGCCCTGTGAGAACCTGGTGAGTCCCACACGTGTGAGGTGCTGGAGCGGCTGTCAGAGAACCCCCGCCCCCACCGCAGGCCCGTGCAGTCTGCTCCCTCTGCTGGTGCTCTTCTGGGCTCTTGGCAGGGCACGCCCACACACACGCCCCTGCGCCTGAAGGTTTGGTTCCCTGCAGTATTGTGTTCCAAGTGGGCAGTTCTGGACACTGGTCCCTGGGGAGGACTGGGAAGGGTGGGACAGGAGGGGTCAGCAACCAGGGCCTGTTGGCTGGAGGCCAGCACTGTGGGACACCCCCTGTCCACAGGGAGACCCCATGTCTCTCAGCCACTTCCCCCTTCAGGTGTTGGGCAACCTCCCTCCACTCTGTCCCCCGCAGCCAGGCAGAGCTGAGGCCTACTTCCCCAAGAGCTTGGAGCAGGACCCAAAGATAAGTGCTGTCTCCAGACCCTGCACCCAAATCCAAAGGTGCTTCCTGCCTGAGTGAGTCCAGCTCTGGGCAGGTAGCCTTGTCTGTTCCCTCTATAGCCCCACTTCCTCCATTTCCATCTCCCACCCTTGCTGTCCCCCATCTTTCCACCCTTGGAAGAGGAGGAGTCCAGGTTTGGGATATCTAAAGCTTAAATGGTAGGGGAGCCATGTTTACAAAAAAGAACACAAACGTTAGAGTCCTGCAGTGTGGCACTGTGAAAGTTCACGCCCATGGCCTTTCCTGAACCCTCAGCCCCTCTGCGGTGCACCAGCATCCCTGCCCAGCCCACGTGGGCCTGACTGGCATCAACCCTCCCATCCCTACACCTGCCTGCATTCCTGCTGCTGACCCTTACCTCTGCCCCCAGCCCAGCTCATTTCAGCTCAGCCCTGCTCTCAGCCCAAGCAAGATCTCCAGGAACCTTCCAGAGGCCTAAAGTGCCCCTCCCTGCACTGTCCTGGACCACAGGGTGTAAGCCGGAGGCTAAGAGGTCCCGGGGCAGCCTCAGGGCCTGCTGGGAGAAATTGCACAACAGGTTCAGTTGAGGAAAGCCACAGCCCCATCTTCTCATCTCTGAAATGCGGAAGCGCTCCTGCCTGAGGTCCTGGGTGGACAGACCTCCATGGTCACAAACACACACCACACAAGTTCCCTTTAGAGAAGGGTGCAAAGGAAGGGTGCCTGCTGGGTGACCTTGACTAGTTACCAGGCCAGAGCTTCCTTCTCTGCATACTCTGCTTGCTCTAGAAGGTTCTTGGGGGGCCTAGCCAAGCATTCGTATTATTATGCTAATAATATCCAAAAGATGCAACTCAAAAGGCTTTTCTTTTCTGTGGGTGTGGCTGTGGTTTTGAGGAAGTGGTTGGGTTTACAAAATAACCAGATTTGGGGAAGTTTGGAGCTTGAGAAATCCTCCCAAATTCCCGCCATCCTTGCCCCACTTGCCATTCATCCTTGATGACCCCATGGTCCCGTGGTCATGTAAGAGGTGTCCTTTGCTGTGCCCAGGTGTGTTTGAGGTCTCTGAATACACGGCCAGGAGTTCCCAGCCAGAGATGTCAGTAGCAGGTATGGAGATGCAGAAATTTAGAAGACAGGCTGCTGCAAAGGACCTCATTAGCTGCACACGGCCTGGGCCAGGCGCTCTGTCCAGGAGGCCTAAAGGGAGAGGAAAAATGTGGCTCACCCGGGCTCATTTACAGAGGCCCTGCATCATCGCATTCAGGAACCCAGCACACCACTGGGACACTTGACTCACTGCCCTGGTGGTGTCAATTCAGCAAGACTTGGGTAACCCACCATGCCTGGACTTGGGGGTGCAGGAGAGCAGTTCCCTCTTGGCCCCTTCCTCCCTCCTCTCTAGGTCCTCCAGTGAGAAAGCACAGTGTTGGCAGGTCACCCTTGAGGGGCCCCGCTTGAGACCTTGCCCAGAGCCCCTCAGGTCCTGGGAGTGTGCAAGGACCCGCCGGGCTGCTTGGGGTGGGCCAGGCCCACGACGGCACGACCAGGCCGCTGCCTCCACCTGTGCCCTGTGCTGGCAGCCAAGGGCCGCAGTTGTATTCCACAGTACTTTCCTTCTAAGCAGTGTTTAAGGAGTCCGCGGCAGGTCGTGTCGGCACTCGCTGGGCCGCAGTCAGCCCACCGGGAGGGATGCGGGAGGGGCAGGCGGCCCGGGTTGGCGAACGTGCTGAGGACACAGCGAGGTGAGTGGGCACCTAGGGTAGCCCTGAGGCCCCCGCTCCTCCCCAGACGGCAACACCTAGCCCGCGCGCACTCTGCGAACAGTGCCCCCAACCCAGGCCTCGGTCCCGCCCCCTGTCCGGGTCCAGCGTCAAAGCGGGGCTCCCCACCTGCGAGGGGCGGGACGAGCGCGCAGCGCATGCGTAGGGCGCAGGGCGCGCATGCGCAGGGCGCGGAGCGCGCGTGCGCACTGGCGGCGCGGCGGCATTGCTGCTCGGCGGGCCGGGTGGCCGTGGGGCCGGAGGCGGCCATGGGGCAGGGGGTGGCCGCGGCTCCAGGGGCCGGCTAGTGACGGCGAGCGGCGGCGGGGCGCCGGGACCGCGGGTGCGGCCTGGCGAGGAGACGGCCCCGCAGGCTCTCGGGGCAGCGAACGGTGAGCCCAGCCCTCTGCCTGGGGTCGTGGAGTCGGGGTCGTGGGGTCAGGGTCGTGGGGGCGGGGCGGGGACGACCCTGCTCGCTGACTGGCCACACCCTGCCCCGGACGCCGGCGCAGGTGTCCGGGTGGCCAGACCTCGACCTCCGCGACCGCGCTGTGAACGAGGTGGCGGGCCCGGCCCTCCCGCGGGGTGGTCAGTTAGGGGTCCAAGTCGTGGTAGCGCCCAGCCGACGAACCCTGAGGCCGGCGGCTGGCCCGCCTGAGCCGGGTCCGAGCCCCCGGTCTTTCTGCCTCTGTGTCCGGCGCGCTCTGGTTCTCGTGGAGCCTCTTCACCCGCCGGGGACCGGGCCTGAGCCCAGGCGTACGCACTTCCTGCTGGACGGCGCCCTGGGCTCTGGCCGTGATCTTTGCCCCGTTGCGGGAACTCGAGGACGAGGACCGGGACCCGCAGGTACGGCAGGCGGGCTATGGCCCTGGGGCTCGGGTGGCCAGGTGTCCTGGGCCTGCCGTTTAGGTGGGCGTGGGATGGGCCCGAGTCGGCTTCGGGGGTGGACGGGCCGGGCTGGGAGGGAGGCCGGGTTCACCCGCAGGATGACGAGAGGGGTCTGTTCTCTGCGGTGGCTGCGGGCCGCCCCACAGGCGCTGACCGACTGGGCACGGGGCCCAGTCCTGCGGGCGGGGCTGCCGGCTCGTCGTTTGCGATGTCTCCCCGACCCGCGGTCTCACAGCCCCGAGTTCAGTGCGTGGGGCCGGACAAATGCGTGTGTAGACTGTTGGTGAAAACAGGAACTGGGTGAAGGTGGCCCGGAGGCGGGCTGTTGTGCAGGGAGTGAGGTGTGCAAATACCTGCCTCAGCCCAAGCTCGTCCTCTCCCGGGGGAGGGGTCTGCCACCTTGGAGCCGCCTGGCGTCTCTGATCCTGTTCTTCTGCCCACCAGGCTCTGACCCTCTGCGGGCTGAGTTCTGTCAGGTCCTGGCCAACACTGGGCATCACCTACCGGCGGGAGAGGGGAGATTTAATAGGTACCTTTTATCGCCTCAGTGTTAAGGAGGGATAAACTTTGGTTTTTCATTCAGTATTTCAGCAGGTGTATGTTGAGAGCTCGCACTGGGCATCATGTTGTTATGTTTATATTTGTGTGTGTGACTTTTACTTAGGGGCATCACGGTGTGTCTCCTTTCCTTCTGGGGAAGTTCTTTATCTTGGTTATTATGCTCCAACACTTTTCTGTTAAAACTTCCCAGTGCGGATGTTTTTTGAAAATGAACTGAAATAATTCTAGACTCCCAGAAAGTTGTGAGAAACAATACAGAGGAACTCCTGCACTTACCCCCACATCTGTGGTACAGTGATGTGAACCCTGGCACCTCTGTCACACCCCTTACTGGTGTTCACCACTTTCCCGGGGCACGGCTGTGTGGCCGCCACCACAGACTCAGAACTGGTGTCACCTAGGGAGCCCACCCTAGGCTCCCCACACTCCCTGGCCACCAGGAATCTGTTCTCCATGCGCTTGTGTTTTGTCATTTCAAGAAAGTTGTGTAAGGGACTTCCCTGGTAGTCCAGTGCTTAGGACTCTGAGCTTCCACTTCACGGGGCCCTGGTGGAGAACTAAGATCTCACATGCTGTGTGATATGCCCCAGAAAAGAAAGAAAGAAAGAATGAAAAGCGAGTTGTGTAAATGGGAACGTTTATCATGTGACCTTCCTCGCCCTGCAGTCAGCCTGGGGTCACCCAGCTGGTTTCGGAGTCCATGTCCACTCCCTCTGATGGCCGGGCCCACTCACCAGTGGGGACGCTTGGACTGTCTGTGGTGTTTGGCTGCTGCAAATAAAAAGCTGCTGTGAATGTTGAGGCGCAGGTTTTTCTGTGAGCATCAGTGTTTCTCTGGGGTAAATGCCCAGGTTCACTTGCTAGACTGTCTGTTTAGTTTTCAGTTTTTATAAGAAGGCGTCAGCCCTTTCCAGAGTGTCTGAACGTGTTCTGGTCCTGGGTGGTGTGTGAGCAGGTGTTTCTCTGCAACCTCTCCAGCGCTGAATTGTTTGGCTGTTCTGGTCAGTGTGCAGTGGCATCTTATTGTGCTTTTAGTTCCTTCTGGCCCATCTCAGGATCTTTTCACCTGCTTCTTTACCATGGGCACATCTCATCTGTCAGGTCATCTCTTGTCCATTTTCTAATTGGACTGTTTTTTACTGTTGAATTTTGATAGTTTTGCTGTTTTATAGGTACAGATCTTCTGTTGGATATCTAGTTTGAAAATATTTTCTGTCTATAGCTTGATTTTTTTTTTTTTTTTTTTGCTTTCTTAACAGGGTCTTCCACAGAGCAAGTTTCTAAGAAGCCCAGTTTACCAATTTTTTTAAACTTTATGAAGTGTGCTTTTTGAAGAGTCAGTGTGATGTAATTCTTAAACTGCAATCATGTACAAAAAAGATTCTGTCTAAAAAAAAGACTCTGTCTAACTTTAGGTCCCCAAAACTTTCTCCTGCGTTTTATTTACTTGTGTATTTATTCATGGCCATGCCATGTGGCTTGCTGGACCTTAGTTCCCTGACCAGAGATCAAGCCTGTGCCCTCAACAGTGAAAGCTCACAGCCCTAACCATGTCTTTCCTTCCTTGAACTGATTGTGTACATTTGTCAAAAATTAATCAAGTGTGTTTGTGTGGTTGTGTTTATGGGCTCTCTGTTCTCCATTAACTTGTATCTGACCTCCCCCAAGGCCACAGTCTTGACTATTACAGCTAAAGACAAGTCTTCAGAGTCACTCATCTCCCTTTATCCTTCTTTAAAAAAAAAAGTCTTAGTATGTTTGCTTTTTCCACATACATTTTAGAATAAACTTGGCTGTATCTGCCAAGAAATCTTGCTGGGATATGTGTAGAAATTACACTAACCCTGTAAATCAATGTGGGGAAAACTGACATCTCTGCTGCACTGAGTCTTCTGATCCATGGTTAAGGGCATCTCTCAGTTACATCTTCTTTGATTTCTTTCATCAGAGTGTTTAAAATACATTCAGCATACAAGTCCTCTGTGTATTTTGTTATATTTCATCAAAGTATTTTTTCAGTGACTGTAGATGATACTCTCTCTAACTTCAGACTCTACCTTCTTTGCCTGTTGCTGTGACTCAGACATGCAGAACTGTGCTGATTAAGGGTGGTCAGAACAGACATCCTTGCACAGACATCCTTGCCTGGTTCCCAGTCTTATGTTTTCACCATCAAGTTAATAGCAGGGGTAGCTTTTTTGTAGGTGCTCCTTACCAAGCTGAAGAAGTTACCCTTGATTCCTAATTGCTGAGAATTTTTACCACCATCGGGTGTTGAATTTTTTCCACTTTCTTGCCCATCAGTTGGTGTATGTGATGGATTACACTGACTGAGCCAGCCTTGCGTTCCTGGGATACGCCCCACGTGGTGTCGATCGATCCTTTTTAAACATTCTGTGTTGTGTCCATGTTGAGGATGTATGAAATAACGCATTACGCTGAGAGTCAGTGTGATGTAATTCTTAAACTGCAAGTAGAAGCTGAGACAGCATCCCTGGCATACTTAGCTGCAGAAGAAATGACATCTCAGCACTTGTCCCAGAGTCGGTTGAGAGGCTACTGGAGAGATTTGGGCCCTGGTCAATGAGCAGCTCAGAAGGTTCTGCACTGCTTGTTGGTGGAGGTCCCTGGTGGGGATGGGGGCAGCATTTGAAACATTGTTAACAAACATAAATTCATCTCAGCCATTTAGATGAGAATTACTTTGGAGAATGATTTGTTCTTTTGAATGAATATATTGCCCATAATAGCAAACAAAGTATGTAAAAATCCAATGATTATATAATCAACTATAAGACTTTTGAAAATTTCAGCATCGTAGGATTTAATTACTTCCTTGTCTGTATTTTCCCAGGATTATAGTAATCTAACTGGATTATAGTAATCTAACTAGTTACTTCTGTGTCTCAATCTTGGGGTGGTAGAATTTTCCACACCCTCCTTGGATTACCATATCACTTGCTTCTTCATCCATACCTTCTCAGGATTGTACTGCTCTAACTAGATAGTTATTTCTGTGTTTTCTTGGGATGGGAGAGTTTTCCACACACTCATAGGATTACCACATCACCTGCAGGCTCAGCTGGCTTTATGGCAGCCTGGTGGCTCAGACAGTAAAGAATCTGCCTGCAGTGCAGAAGAAAGACCTGGGTTCAATCCCTGGGTTGGGAAGCTCTCCTGGAGAAGGGAACAGCTACTCACTCCAGTATTCTGGCCTGGAGAATTCCATGGAGGAGCCTGGCAGGCTACAGTCCATGGGGTCGCAAAGAGTCAGACATGACTGAGCAGCTTTCACTTCTCACTTTCCTGGCAAGCAGGTTTCAGCTTCTTGCAGCTGGTGCAGCGCCAGGATAATGGTCCTCACATTCTGTTTGGCCAGGGTTCTGATATCACTGCCTGTAATCATTGTCTCTTGATCTTACATGTTACTGGAGCCTGGGATGTGTGCCCTGAGAGAACCTTATTGTCATTCAGGACGGGCTACGTCAAAGGCCTCTTTTCCAGAACATGAGGCGGGAAGGGTCCTCTCTCCTCCCAGGACCCTGGGCCTCTCTGCTGGGTTCTGTCGTCTGTGTCACTGAGGTCATGCCAGAGGCCCAGATACCAGCTCTGCCCTCCTCACTGTGTCACCTTGGGCTTTGGTCTGCTGGACATCCCCACGCAACTCCTTGCGAGGGCAAGTCAGGCAGTTTGAGTCAAGTGCTTAGACAGGGCCCAGCAGTGTCAGCACTGGTTCTGCTGGTCGCTGGTCATCCTGGCCTGGAGTGAGTGTTCACACTCCCACACTGTGATCCTGGCCTCCCTGGCCTGCTCTTCCCTGTGGCTGGTCGTCCTAGTCTGGGGTAAGCGTCTACACTCCTACACTGTGACAGCTATTCTTCACGTTATTCTTGTTCAGTGGCTAAGTCATATCTGACTCTGTGACCCCATGGACTGCTGAATGCCAGGTTCTTCTATCCTCCAATGTCTCCTGGAGTTTGCTCAGATTCATGTCCACTGAGTTGATAATGCTATCCAACCTTCTCATCCTCTGCAACCCCCTTTTCCAGGTCTCAGAGTGAAACCACTACCAGGCCTCTTAGTAACAGCTTAAAGCAAGTTTTTTGTTTTTGTTAAAACAATGTTTCCTCTTAAAGTTGTGAATTCAGGGTCCATCACAGCAGTTTTGTGGGGTCCTCGTGGGGATTAAGTGATATACATGAGTGAGGCAGTCAGGGCATGGCCTGCACGAGAAGGCAAGCAGTGAGGTTAGTGATTGCGTTTTTATCTTGGGCAGTTTTTACTGAAACGAGGGAAACATGTACATAGCTTTTGTATTTTAACTGAGCCCAAGCCTGCCTTCTTGTACTACTTGCAAATTTGTCCTGTGTCCTTTTAGGCCTCGTGACCTTTCTGTGTAGCCAGACTCGTGAACTCACTCTGCCCCCTCCCTACCCCACCCCACGGCTGGTGGTCTTGTCCTCATCTCCTAGCACTTGGGGCTGCCTCGGGCTCTCCATCCCAGCACCCTAGCACTCTTGCGTTTTGCACTAAGCATTCCAGGATTCCCCCAGACTCTCATCCAGACCCATCCATTTGGTGTGCCCCGGGTTCAGTCCTGAGAGCCTTTCTGGTTCTATGGTTGTCAGTGTTACCGTGTGCTGACAAGAGCCCATCCCCACATGTCCCCAAGCTCTAGGCTTGAACTGTTAGCTGCCAGCATGTCATCTCTCCTTGGCCAGTAGTGATCACATGAAGTCAGGCCCAAGAGATGCAGAGTTTCTGCAGTGTCCCTCCTCTGGCTGCGAGGGAGTCAGACCCCTGTGAAGAGGAACTCGGCAGCAGGTGGTGGTCAGGGTTGCAGAGAAAAGGAACTGGGCACCAGTGGGTGGGAGTGGGAGGTACAGATGTTCTCTTGAGCAGGTGGCATCTGAGCACAGATCCGAGGGACGGTCGTGTCACGGCTGAGGTGTCTCAACAAGTCGTGTGGCCATGCTTTCTTTTTTGTTGGGTAAATGTCTCAGAGTGGAAGGGTTGTAGCAGATGGCAGAACCATGCTTCAGTTCAGTTGCTCAGTTGTGTCGACTCTTTGCAACCCCATGAATCGTAGCACGCCAGGCCTCCCTGTCCATCACCAACTCCCGGAGTTTACTCAGACTCATGTCCATCGAGTCGGTGATGCCATCCAGCCATCTCATCTTCTGTCATCCCCTTCTCCTCCTGCCCACAATCCCTCCCAGCATCAGGGTCTTTTCCAGTGAGTCAGCTCTTTGCATGAGGTGGCCAAAGTGTTGGAGTTTCAGCTTCAGCATCAGTCCTTCCAATGAACACCCAGAACTGATCTCCTTTAGGATGGACCATGCTTAATTAACATTTTAAGAAACCACCAAACTGTTTTCCAAACTGGTTGCCTCGTTTTCATTCCACCAGTGCTGTCTGAGTGTTCCACTTCCTCCTCAGGCTCCGCGACACTTGACATGGTCAGTTTTCTTACATTTCAGCCGTTCTCCGTAGGTGTGAGATGATGTCTCCTGGTTTTAATTTGCATTTCTCCAGTGACTAAGGATGTTGAGCATCTTTTCATGTGCTTTTCATGATGCAATCAATGTATCTTTGGGGAAGTTGCCCAAAGTTGCTATCTTTTGTCTGTTTTTTAATTGAGTTGTTTTCTTACTAAGCTTTAAGAATTCTTTATATATTTTGGAAGCAAGTCCTGTGTCATATATACATTTAGCAAATATTTTTTGTCAATCTCATATTTTCATTGAGATTTTTGTCATCTCATATTTTCATTTTCTAAAGTGTCTTATGAAGGGTACAAGATTTGAATTTTAGTGAAATTCAGTTTGTCAGGTTTTAAACTTTGTACTTTTTTAATCTTATTTAAGAACTCTTTGCCAAATCCATGGCCATGAAGATTTTCTCTACTGCTTTTTTTTGAAAGTTTTATACCTTTTATTCTTACATTTAGGTGTATGTGGCTGTATGTACAGTAGGTGCATGAGGCTGCGTGCTAGGCTGCTGGTTGTTTCCTCACTCTTGGACTCCCAGCCCTTTGGATTCATGAGCTGACCTTTGCCAACTTGTGAGGAGAACTGAACTTCATAGTGTTAGGTGTGGCTGTGGAATTTACCTGAAAAGGTCGGAGGAAAGATTGTCCTCTCCCTGTTGACTCTCCTCAGCACCTCTGTTGAGAAGCCCTGACTGTCGTCTGGCTCCTTTGTCCATGTGTATGTCTCTGTGTCAGTGCCACACAGTCTGGTTGCAGCAGCTTTACAGCAGGTCATCAGATCAGGTAGCGTTTGTCCTCCAGCAGGGCTTTTTTTTTTTTTTTTTGAGCTATTCTCGGTCCTTTTAAGTTTCCAGTTTCCAGTTAAATTTTAGAATCAGCTTGTTACTTCCGATAGAAAAGGCTGGGCTTGAAAGAATTGAGATCTTAACAATATTGTGTTCTCTGGTCTATGAACATGGTATGTCTCTCCACCGACTTGTTTCCTTTCAGTTCTGTCCACGGTGCTTTAAAACTGAGGTAGAGTTGACACACGACCCTCAGTTACATGAAGCCTAGTGATTCAGTATTTGTATGTGTTGCGAAGTGACCACCACAGTAAGTCTGTCACCACGTTTAATCACCAGGCTTTTTTCTCATGGGAACTTTGAAGACTTGCCCTCTCAGCACCTTTCAGATAAGCACAACAGTATCACTGACCGGAGCCACCACGGTGTGTGCTACACTCTGTGACTGACTGAGTTTACAACTGGAAGTAAGGCTTACTCTCCTTTTTGCCAACTACATCCCTACATGTGTTATATCTTAGTGCTACTGTAAATGGTATGTTTAAGCTTCAGTTTCTTTCATTTTTCTTCTTTTTTTGGCCACATCGCAAAGCTTGTGGGATCTTAGTTCCCTGACCAGGGATTGAACCTGGGCCCTGGCAGTGAAAATACAAAGCCGCCTGGGAACACCCTGTCTCAGGAGCTTTTAATGACTGCTGGAGCTTTTGGTCTGGGTTGGGTGTGGGAGTTAGTATTTCACAAGCTCCTGATGTGATGTGAAGTGCAGGTGGAGGCAGGGGACTCAGGGACCCTCACCTTTAACCTCGTCGTAGTGGCCCCGGGCTTCTCTGGCCCCTGCACTGTCCCTTCTGATGCCAGCACCTGCCTTGTGGTCCCGCCCCATTCCCCTTCCTTGTCCTCAGGGCATCGTGACCCATGAGGCAGGATGAGCTGCTGGGCCTTTGTGAGCGCGGAGGACGGGCAGGCCCCATGGCCCAGCAGCAAGGCCAGGCCTCTCCCGTTAGCGCTTTCCTAAGAAAATGAACTTTTGGCCCAAATTTTCAGAGTGTAGCTCTTTCCACTGTCATCCAAACTGGCTTCTTCATGTGGTTTTTGCCCAAGCTCTGCTCTGCTCTTTCTACTTGTCATCGCTCTGGATTCTGCCGTATTTCTGTCACTTCTCTTAGGCTTGTTTGATTCCTGCTCCGGCTCTCTGACTAGGCCTCGGCTGCTGACTGCTGTTTTCAAGGACCTGGGAGCAGCTCGGTGGGTGTGTGGACCCGGCCTGCATTCCCTCTCTGCTGTAACATCACGTGGGTCTGGATGGGCGCGTGGACCAGGCTCGTGCTCCCTCTTAACTGCAGCGTCACATGGGTATGGGTGCAGTTGTGTGCCCTCAGTGGCTTAGGAGGAAGTTGAGATGTTCCCAGGTGGTCGAGGACTGTTGTTTTGCGTCTGTTTCCATCTTTTCCTGCTTTACTGCGTGTGGTTGGGAGATGAAGCTCTGAGGACCAAATAAGTCAGTTTGGGCAAGTGTTTCTTTGGCACTGGAGGAAAGCGTGGCTTTGTTTGCAGGATGAGGGTGCAGTGTTTGCCCATGGTTGGTCTTCAGTTGGGTTCACCCAGACTTTTTTGGGTGAGAGGTACTGCATGACCATTAATTCTCTCATCAAAGTCCCAGCATGTGGCTGCGTGCTAGGCTGCTGGTTGTTTCCTCACTCTTGGACTCCCAGCCCTTCTGGATTCATGGAAAACCACAGGTAGATTCCGGAGTTGTTAAGTGCCTTTGGGACGAAAACAGACTTCCCAGACTGGGTAGGCTGGACTTCAGCCATTTTCCCTGATGAGGAGTATAGGTATGTGTGTACATTGCTTTATTTTATTAAAACAATAATAATAATATTTATTTTATTAAATGAAGGCATCCTGGGTTTTCGGGCCAAAGTCCTCCACATCCATCAATTGCAGAAATGGAACAAGAAAAAATCAATGGGAACAAGGAGCCGAGTGCAGAGGCATCCTCGTACCGCTGTTCCGCGTGCCATGGGGATGAGGACTGGGGCCCGGGCCACCCACTCCGGGGCCGCGCCAAGTCCCGCAGCCTGTCAGCCGCGCCTGTCCTGGCCAGCGCCCGCGAGTTCAGGTACTGACCTCCTGGGCCTATGGGGGCGTTCAGGAGGCAGGAGGGGGTTGTGCTGGCTGGCATGGCCTCCCAGAGGGTACTCCCAGCCGACCTCCCCCCGGCTAGTGCCCATCCTCACTGTGGAGGCTGAGGTGTGGGGGTGCCGCCCAGTGTGGCCCCAGGCCCTGGGCACACAGTGGGGAGTGAGGAAGCTGTGCCGGCCTTGGTAATGTGAGCGTCACTCAAGTCCAGGGCGAAGCTGTCCTAGCCAGCACTGCCATGGGTGCCGGGCCCGAGGATGATAGAAGCTTCCATGTGGACAGCTGGTCACCCTCCTGTGTCAGAGTCCCAGTGGGCAGGTGGGTGACCTTGGCTGCTGGTTCTGTGGGGTGGGGCGTTCCCGCCCTTTCCCTTCAGAGAATGTTGAACTTGGTACAGTAGCAGCAGGTCAGAGGTGGCTGCTCTCAAAGGTTGACTGTGATGCAGACTTAGAGAAACCTGCTGTGAACAGCATTTCCCCAGAGGCCAGGCCATGGCCCGCGGCCACTCCTGCACGTTCTTGAGCTGAGGAGTTGGGGGAGCCCTTGACCAGACTGACTCTCCTGGGCTCGGCTACCCTCCACGAGACAATAGGAAATCTGCCTTGTCCATGTGGGGATTTGGCGTTTGTTGAGCCTTGAGATGGGCAGAGACGAAAGCAAGTTTGCCATCTGTTTGGCTGTCTTTGTGCCAGTATTTTTGGTGCAGAAAGGGACCATGAGGGGACCTCCCTGTGGTCCAGTGGGGAGGTAGCGTACATCCCTGGTCAGGGAACTAAAATTGCAGAAGTCATGTGGTGTGGCCAAAAATTTAAAAAAAAAAACCAAAGGGACCACGAAGCCTCTGGAGCTGGCACTCTGTGTGAGGATGGACACACCTCCGTCCTGTCACTGTGGGGCATCCACATGGCTCCCAAGGACCGGCGCTGGACCCTGAGGGGAGGACAGGGAAGGCCACTGAGTGGTGTCGTCCCTAGGACGTGTGCTGGCCACAGTGCCCTGTGATTCAGTTGTGGCTGGAAATGCTGAGCCGCTCAAGTGCTGTCTTCTTTGTCGACAGTACAACTCAGAATGGGCGTTTTGTTAGAACCTGGATGGCTGGGGCCTGGTATCTGAGGTCTTGATTCCCAAGGACAAGCCCAACAACTGGTCCTCAAGTAGACTTGCCTGGACAAGAATTCAGAGCCGCAGGCCCATGCCCCATGGTACATCCCCTTGTTCTGGGGTGGGGCCCGGGTGCCTGCCCTGGTTTGGGTCATTTGTTGTAAGGAGTTTCTGGGAACCCCCTCTGAGGGCAGTGCCATAGCATGTGACCCTCAGGGCATCTCTGGGGATCAGGTGAGTGTTCTGGGACCATTGCTTGGGTGCTGGCAGAGGGCGGTGCTCAGGCTGTTGGAGTGAAGATGGCAGAGAGTCTGAGCTAGTGCCTCGTCCACATGCGTGTCTCTCAGTGACTGAGGGCCCGTCCTGTGTCCTCTCCCACAGGAGGACCCGCTCCCTGCATGGGCCGTGCCCAGTGACCACATTTGGACCAAAGGCCTGCGTGCTACAGAATCCCCAGACCATCATGTGAGTCAGCGGGGGGCTTCACGGGGAGGGGGAGCTATGGGAGGTTCTGATGCTCCAGGGAGCAGGGCATGGGCCTGATAGCCACGTGGCAATGTCCCCGACTCCCACAGGTGAGAAGGTGGTGGGGCCTGCTCCTTGGGCACAGTGGGACATAGGAGCTTTGACAGGAAAAACTCAAGGAGAAAAAACATCGTATTGCATGCTGATGCATTTGGTGACTCACATATGTTTCTCTTCATTACTATTGAAATGCAGAGATGTCAGTTGGTGTTTTTTGAAAATCTGAGTTGACTTGTTTGAGTCCCGCCTTGTGGGCATGGCTTTTTTTTTTTTTAAGATAAGCCTGCATTTTAGCAACAGCTGCCACCTGAGAAACTAGTTAAAAACTAAGCAGTTTGGGTTATTTCACAGACACTTAGGCCTAGGCTGCCTTCTCCACCCATCCAGTGCCGCCTCCTAGCGCTGGACACTGCCAAAGAGGGGCTGTTGCTGTCTGTTGTCTCTGTGCGGTCTGTCTCGGGGAGAAGATGCGCAGATGGCTCTGGCCACCAGAGCTTGGTGAGGAAACTGCAGAGTTCCAACCAGCTCTGCTGTCAGGCCTGGCGGTGGGCTGCCTGCTGCATGGACCATCCGTGCCCCCTCCTCGGGGGAGCGGTGGAATGTTGACGTCTATGGGGGCCAGGCTAAGGGCCACACCCAGCACAGCAGCCACACTGGCAGCTGGCCCGCCAAACCCCTCGCCTGGCTGCGCCCTGCTGTGTGCCCGCCCTGTGTGGCCTTCGCTGGCTGCCCAGACCCCTCCCTGCGTCCCAGCCCTGCACTGCCGCGCCCGCCTCATCACTCACAGCCCGGCCTCCGTGCACCCTGGTGGCCCTTGGCCATCCAACCATAACTGGCCGTTACCGCCCTGCCCAGCCCACAGCAGCCCAGGTGTGTGTGCTTTGCCCTCACAGGCCTTGGGTGGGGTCTCAGGGCGGCATCTGAGCTGCTCCCCAAGGTCAGGTGGGGTTGTGGGGTGCTCCAAGCAGAGGAGCAGGTGCCCCAGAAGTGTCGAGGGCTGAGCAAGCAACTTTCTCTCCCCCCTGGCCCTGGCTCAGCCCAGTCAGATAGGCTGAGCACCCTGGTAGGGTGGGATCCCTTCCCCGACTGGTCCCTGCCCCTCCTACAGCCTGGCCAGGCGCAGGGGTTGTGTGCTAACCTGACTTCTCCCCTGACAGTGTAGAGGAGCTGATTACGAGAGTCTTATCTTGTACTTGGTTGTCTCATATCCCACCAATGAGTGCGTGTTTTCTGTTATGTTGAAACATGTGGAACTACCAGCATCTGATGCCTTAGGCTTTTGAAACTGTGGCTCACGTGTGTCTGGCCATGCTGCCCGGCGCCCAGAGCCTCCTTGGGAGGGGTCAGCATCCCTCTTTGCAGTGACCCAGCAGGAAGTTGAGTAACCAGTTGGCGCCTAAGGCTGAGCCGATGGCGCTGCAGTGGCTAGGCGTGGCTGACTCACAGGTCTGGAGGGGCTGTGAGCCTCACCTGCCTGCTTAGTGGGGAGGGGGCTTCAGCGTCTACCTCAGAAACCAGGCAGACTTCCACCTGCCCTCCTTCTAGGCCCAGGGCCAGGTGGAGTGGCAAGAGGCCTGCAAGTGCCCGCCCTCCACGTGTAGGCCCCTCCCATGGGCCAAGCCGGTTCTACAGCCCAGTGCTGTTGTCTGCAGCTGGACAGGGCCCGTCCTGACCGCCCAGGGTGGCAAAGCTCAGCGGCCAGCTGGTGAGGAGCAGTTGTCTGAGGTCTGGCTCCTTTGCTGTTAGAGGCAATTGGACAAGAGGATGGTGTGAGCAGTAAGATCAAATACAGTTTGTTTGGTTTGAGTGTTCATTTTAGGAAGTTCTGGACTTGTTTTATGCAGCCTTTAGCAAGTCACTTTACTTTATGTTTTGCTTTCAGTTATGAGGAGACAGACAGCGGGGTTATGGTGCCAGTGCACACTTGGGGAGTCTTGGGGGGGCTGGGGTGCATCGCACTCCCGCCATTAGTGAAGCATGACTGAGATGCTGGGCACCCAGCACCACCCTCCGCCAAGCTCCGCATGTGACCCAGGCTGGCGGAGACGCCGGCAGAGGGTCATGAGTGACCCGCTTCTTTGCAGAAACGCCTGGAGAGGGTGAGTGATGGTCGGTCAGTTACAGCCTGCAGCCAGGGACCCACCACCTGTTTAGTGGTTCTCATCATGGTGTGGAAAGTTGCTGGTGGGGCCATCAGGTTCTCAGGGAGGCACCGGCCATGGGGCATGATCTGGAGCAAGTGTCTTGGTTGGGGAACTTGCATCAGAAGGGCCGTTGCCATGGCCTGCAGCCCTCAGGGCTGTTTCCCAACAGGCGGAGATACCACCTGGGGGCCCGCCCCCATATGAGGGCTCGGCCTCGGACACCCTTGCCCCTGGGGGAGGACCTGCTGCCCACAGACCGTACCAGGCCCTACAACACCAGTGACCAAGGTTGGGCGCCACGGGACTCTTGGAGCTGTTGTCAGCAGGCAGGCCCAGCTGACTTCTTTTGGTGTTTGTTTTTTAATTTTTTGAGGAGTTTTGGGTTCGCAGCAAAAGTGAGAAGAAGGTGCAGAGATCCCTGTTGCACTCCTCCTAGCCTCCCCACCGTCATCATCCCCGAAGCCGGTGCATTTGTGACAAACAATGAACTTGTGCTGACGCGTCATCGTCACCAGAGTCCTTTTTCACATCAGGGTCGTGGACACGCGTGGTGACGTGTCCTCGCCATTGAAATGACACGGCACAGTCTCACTGCTCCAGATCCTGCCACTGGCTTTAAAAGAGGCTTTTACTGTAGAAGTGAAGGTCCACTGAGTTTTACCCATGGAGACGAAGGTCCACTGAGTTTTACCTGTGGAGGCAAAGGTCCTCTGAGTTGCTCAGACAGCGGTGTGGACCTGGGTCAGCGGGAAGCCCAAGTCTCTGTTGGCTAGTCTGGGTGCATGTGGGACGTCCTCTAAGCAGGTCCCTGTGTGAGCCTCATCCCGAAGGAGCCTCGGGCAGGGGCACGGCTGGGCATGGGGAGGGTCTCCACATTGTGCAGATACCAGTGGGTCAGCCTGGGGCCCGTGTGAGTGCTCCTCTCCTCTCAAAGGCACATCCAAGACCCTGCCAGCCAGCGGTTGACGTGGAACAAGTCCCCAAAGAGTGTCCTCGTCATCAAGAAGATCCGGGACGCCAGCCTGCTGCAGCCCTTCAAGGAGCTCTGCGCGTACCTGATGGAGGTGAGTGGGGCGGATTCTGGGCTCTCCTCCCATCCACTCAAGTCAGGAGGCAAAAGCCAGGCGCAGGAGCTCAGAAGCGTGTACCGTGAGCACAACAAAGGCATTTTGCCTCCGAGAGACAGAGGAATCGTGCCCCTCTCCCCCACCCCCATCAGAAAAGCCTGAGATACAGAAGGAGGCTTCTAGAAGACTGGTGCCCTGACCTGTCTTCCTGGCGGGGATGATGCCGCCATGTCCTTCCAGGAGAACAACATGGTCGTGTATGTGGAGAAGAAGGTTCTGGAAGACCCCGCCCTCCTGAGCGATGACCACTTCGGGCCAGTGAAGAGGAAGTTCTGCACCTTCAGAGAAGGCAAGTTGTCCCTGGGTGGCAGGGTGCTGCCCCCAACCCGTGGGACCTCTGGTACCCCTGCCTCGCTCTGTGCCCAGCCTTTGGGGTGCTTGACGTCTCCTGTGTCTTCCAGATTACGATGACATCTCCAATCAGATTGACCTCATCATCTGCCTGGGGGGTGATGGGACCCTGCTGTACGCCTCCTCCCTCTTCCAGGTGAGGCCCCCAGTACCTGAGGCCGTAGGGCTGCAGGCGATAGGACACAGAACTGGGACTGCTGCGGGTGCTGGAAGCTGTGCCAGGCCAGCTGATGGTGCACGGGGGCCCAGGGCCTCGGCTGGGAGGAGGGCAACCCCTGGGAGAGCTGGCATGCAGGCTGAGTAAGGGGGCCAAGAGTCAGAAGGAGATGAGAGCAGCAGCTCCAGGCTGACTGGGAGGTGTGGTGGGGGAGGGACTGTGGAGGTGCAGATGGCAGGGACCTGCCGGGGAGGGACCTTGCTAGGGTGTGTTAGGAGGTTGGGCGGGCACCCAGAGCGACACCTGGGAGTGGGAGGGAGCCAGTGGGGCAGGAGGGTGGGGTCCAGCAGGGCCTGTGGCAGCAGCGACTGGCAGAGGCCGAGGTTGAAGGTCCTGGGGCGTCCCACCTGCTCAGAGCTCTCGTTCTCCCTTGGGAGCCTCCTCAGCGGAAGTGGCTGCAGAGCCACCTGGTGGGACCCGAGTCCCACCCTAGGCTTCCTGCCCCGGCTGCCCATGCTCTTCCCTGGCATCTCTATGGGGGCCCACTGCCCTCCCAAGCCTGCTGGGCATGGCCTCTGTGTGTCAGAGCCCCCATATCCTGCCCTGCTGCGCCTTCCTGTCCTCTGTGGCCAGTGGTCAGTCCCCTGCCCCCGTTTCTCATCAGCTCTCCAGCTGTCCTTCTTCTGGCTCCCCAGCGTTTGGCTGACCCTGTGCCCCGTGTGTCAGCAGCGCTCCGTTCCCCCCACCCCCAGCTCTCCCAGGGACCATCCGGGCGCAGGTCCATCTGGGCTGGTGCTCACGTGCCTTGCGCATGGACTGGCCAGCGAGTGACCTGCCTCATTGGCTCGCAGGGTAGCGTGCCTCCAGTCATGGCATTCCATCTGGGCTCCCTGGGCTTCCTGACCCCCTTCAACTTCGAGAACTTTCAGTCGCAAGTTACTCAGGTGATACAGGGTGAGTTGGAATGTTCCTGAGCCCGAGAGCAGTTCCCATGTGGGATAGTCATCCTGCTTGGTTTGGGAGGTTTTTAATGATGCTGAGAGTAGCGCTGAGTGTTTGGGGCTCAGAGGATTCTGATTCTGAGGGTCAGATGCCTTGTCCTCACAGAGAGGAGCTGAAGCCACCACAGTTCAGCTGCCATCTGTGTCAGGCGGCAATGGATTGATTTCCACAGGAGCCCAGGGTGTCGACCTCCATTTGTGTGAAGATGGGAGGGGGTCCCTTGTTGGGGGAGCTTTCCTGTGGCATGACTGTCCCCACCTGCTGACTTCCCTGGGCGTGACCCCTGCTGGCCTGCAGGGAACGCAGCTGTTGTTCTCCGGAGCCGGCTGAAGGTCAGGGTCGTGAAGGAGCCCCGAGGGAAGAAGGTGGCCGTCCCCAATGGCATCAGCGAGAACGGGTTGCTGGCTGCAGGCCTGGACGTGGAGGTTGGGAAGCAGGCTGTGCAGTACCAGGTCTGTGGGCCTGCCCCTCCCTCACCAGGTGCTGCCTTGCCCTCAGGCAGGGTGTGTGCGCGGGGACTTTGGTCCGGACCTCCTCGGGAGCCAGGGGGCAGCCACGTGCTGCCCTGCCGGCTCAGTGTGCTCTGGTCCCGCCCCCAGGTCCTGAACGAGGTGGTGATCGACAGAGGCCCCTCCTCTTACCTGTCCAACGTGGACGTCTACCTGGATGGGCACCTCATCACCACAGTACAGGGTGATGGTAGGTGGGCATCGGGCCTGCCCGGGGGTGGGGCGTGGGGGCAGTGCCCAAGCCTGACCTGCAGCCTATCCCGCAGGCGTGATCGTCTCCACCCCGACGGGCAGCACAGCGTATGCGGCCGCCGCGGGGGCATCCATGATCCACCCCAACGTGCCCGCCATCATGGTCACGCCCATCTGCCCCCACTCGCTGTCCTTTCGGCCCATTGTGGTGCCCGCGGGGGTTGAGCTGAAGGTCAGAGCCCCCACCCTTGTCTGTTGGAGCCCTGTGGGGCTGCCTGCCTGCCCTGCTGGGGGCGGGAGGGACTTTGTCCACTCTGGCCTTTCATCATGTGTCCTGCGTCCCAGAGGGTCTGGTTGGCGGGGCAGGGCTCTCAGCCTGAGTGGGTGGGGACAGTCTTGTGATGGGAATGGGGTGGGGAGGCCCTCAGGCGATTAACCACTGCTGCCTGGCACACCCCTGGGGCCACATTCTGGTGTCTGACTGGCCTCACTGCCCTTCTACATCCACCTCTTCTTTCCCTGGTCCTAGCTCCCTGCTACAGGCCACCCCGGGCCAGCACGTCCTTGGTGTGAACCTTGGCAGGCAGGGCTACATCTGCCGGACACAGCTCCAGGCCTCTGTACCCTGTGGCTGTTGTCCGCATAGTGCAGTAGCTTCATGGCCTGGAGCTGACCTTGGCATGCAGTGGGCACTGTGTTGCCTATGAGTTGCTCCTGGCCGGTGCTGTGCCCCAGGGTGGGGTTCGTGGTACTTAGCTGTGTGCTCAGAATGCATCTGACCCTCAGAATCAGAGTCCTCAGAGCCCCCCACACATGTGCTGCTTGACCCTTCAGATCATGCTGTCACCAGAGGCAAGGAACACTGCATGGGTGTCCTTCGATGGACGAAAGAGACAGGAGATCCGCCACGGAGACAGGTGTGTGGACTGTGGGATGCAGCGGCCGGGGCAGGTGGGCCTAGGGTGGCTGTAAGTTGTGGACCTCTGCCTGGGTGATGACGCCCTGCCAGCTGCACCTGCTCCTCATCCTCCCACCACCTTGCCCTGGGGGTCCCCTTCATGGACCTGGGTGGAGTGAGGGGGTCCACGGCTCTGTCCTGGGGAGCACAACAGCACCACTGAGCCCCTAGCCTGGCTGTCCTCAGGGCCAGACTGGAAAATGGCCAGGTGCCCATGACACCAGAGGACATGGGGCCAGGCCGCACGGCAGGTGGTGCAAGCAGAGCTGAGGTGGTCCACCCGCCAGGCTGTTGAGGGTCCTGCTTGGTGGGCAGCGAGGGAGCTCAGTTCCATGAGGGGCCACATTCATCTCCTTTCTGCTACAGCATTAGCATCACGACCTCTTGCTACCCCCTTCCCTCCATCTGTGTCCGCGACCCTGTGAGCGACTGGTTCGAGAGCCTGGCGCAATGTCTGCACTGGAATGTGCGGAAGAAGCAGGCCCACTTCCCAGAGGACGAGGAGGATGTGGAGGATGCGGACAAGGAGGGTGGGGAGGAGCGGGCGGGGAGCTAGGCCGGTGGCCTGTCTGCGCTCTGTGAACGTCGCGGGCCCCGCGCCGCTTGTCTCTGACCAGAGGAAGGGCCTGCAGTCTGCCTTGTGTCGACCAGATCAGTTGTTTTTAACGTTTTAAATCTGACTTTTCTGCATTTCTAAACAAGCCAGTGAGCAGGCCACACAAGCTCTCAAGTCAGCCCAGGCACACCCACTAGGCAAGCAGTCAGAGCCCAGTCCAGTCGGGGATGGCCAAGCCGGGTGGTTATGGCTGAGCCAGGTGGTGGGCTCCTTGTGATTCCTTGTCAGGAAACTTCCACGAATCAGTCTATTGAAATTGAGAGGGGATCAGAATGAACCGGTCTATCCTACAGTCTTGAAAATAAACGTCTCACGGCCAAAAATCTCCCTTCAGCTTCACAACATCCCTGAAAGCCACTGGGGGGAGTTTGTGCCGAGAGCCGCTCCCCAGCTCGGCATTCATCTTGAATCTGCCGGGCCTCCTGCCTCAGTCCCCAGGCCTGGTCTCCTCCCTGCTTCTAGTGATACCGTGGCAGGCAGGGGCCGGACCACACACGTTCCTCGGGAAGCAGGGGCATGCCTCCCCACCCTGGAAGGTGTTTTCAATCCTGTGTCTACTTTTTAGAGATTCTTTTAAACTTTTCTGAGAGTGCTTACGTACAGATTTTTTTGTACACACTGTGAGATTTCTGCGGGAGGGCTTGTGCTGTGAAGTGGGACCATTCTGTGCTGCCCAAGTGGCCATCTAGAGAGCTCGGTGGCTCTGCTCAGAGGGTTTGGCGCTTGGTGAGCCGGGGAGGCACTGTTGCTGCTCTGGCTTCTCCCCAGGGGCCTGGCTTCAAGTGCACGTCTGTCATTCCAGCCCCTATGCCTCTACTGCTGGCTGACCAGCCGCCTGGGGCTGGGCCCACATGGAGTCTGGTGGGGGCTGTGGTCAGTGGGCCTCTGGTTACTGGTGCCTAATGGGCATCCTGGTTTTGAGTAACTGATTTCTTTCTGAGCTGCATTTTCACCTGTGAAATTGGCCAGAAAGAATGGAGGGCCTGTACTTTCTCGAACTCACTTCTGGAGGGCTGGGGGCCAGGAGGTTGAGCTCTGCCTGTCTGGAACATGATGGTCTGGTAGGAGGGCATCTGGGGTCTCTAGGGCTGGCTCTGCAGCCTGAGCACTGTGGCCACTGTTCACATATCTGTTGGGTGCTGTCCACCCGAGTGGCTGTCTGGACAGCTCGGCCAGTGCTGGGGACTGAGGTGGGCTCCTACCCTCTCCCCATGAGCTCCAGCACAGAGAGTGGCCCACCAGGCCTCCCACAGGCTGAGGGGGTGACACCCCCAGCTTTAGGTCTAGAAGAGTGGTCAGAGCGCAGGTCACACATTCAGACAACAGAGCAGGTGCAGACCAAGTCCTGCAGAATGATGGGGAATGACCTAGGAAACTTTGGGTTTTTGAAGTAAATTCTTAATGTTTCATATTGTTAATATCTTGAAATTTGTTAAATGTTGAAAGCCTTATTACTATTTTCAGATTCTTTCAATAAACAGACTTGTTTAAAAATTGGGGTTTAGCGACAACTTTATTTGGTTCTTTGTAACCAACACCAAAACACAGAGTGGGTGGGCAGGCCTGGGGAGCCCAGATGCACTGAGGCTACCCCTGGCACACCTGTAGGGTGTGGGGGGGTCACACTCCGGCAGCACCCCACCTGTCACATCCTGGGGACAGGCTTCCAGGCCTGTCCTGCAGGAGGAGCCCAAGCTCTGGGCCAAGGGTGCCCCATGGAGGCCAGTGGGAACATGGTCCCCTCTCTGGTTCTGGGCCTCCCCGTCTCAGGCCTGGGGCCAGGCTTGCCCAAGAGCCTGAGCAGCTACTTTGGACGTAGACACAGCCTTGTGGGCTGGAGCCTAGGAGCTGGGACAAGCACCCTGTGGGCACTGCTGTGAGGCCAGCACAGGACAGGCGCAGTGGGTGCCCCAGGTGTGGAGCAGCCCAGGGCCTGCCTGTCGGGGTCAGAGGCATGTGTGTGCAGTTGCCTCCCCGGCTCCCTTCGCATCTAGGCGCACGTGGGAGCATGACCCCATCTTGCCCGGGAGTCTCAGTGGCTGTGAGACCTCTGCTATCTCCTTTGCAGTGGGGCTCCATGGCTAGCATGTCTGCCAGGAAGCCAGTGTGTCTGCAGGCAGTGGGGCAGGCGTGCTGTCGGAGCCCGAGTTTCTGTGGACTTAGCTGAGCATGCGTGGACCCCAGGCTGGGCTCTGCTGCTCCAGGAGCAGAGAGTCTACTTGAGGGCAGGAGTCAGCCCACTGGCTGGGGTCTCTGACTGCAGGTGCAGACTCTGTGGGCACAGGTGCCACCTGCAGGGCCACCGTTCTTGCCAAAGGCTGTTGATCTCTGAATCTTGACCTTCCAGGCTTTGCGGAGCACATGGAAGGGGGCGGCGAGCTGGAGGCACAGAGGCCGCAGGACGGGAGGGCATTTCTGTGGGCTCAGGCCTTTGGTCCCGCAGACATCCCAATTGTCAGGGTGGTGGCCTTTCCTGGCCTGTTTGACTTCCTCCCAGGCCTCAGTGCTGGGCACCCACCCAGTTGATTTCCCTTCTATCTCAGATCAGGCTCCACGTCCAGCAGTTTCTGCCCTGGGGCAGACTGGGCCAGGCCTGTCCTGCTGAGGTTCCCACACCCAGAAGCCACTGGCGAGAAGGACGCTGGAAGTGCCAGGGTGCCAACTGGGAGGGAGAACTGCTGTGGAGATGGAGGCCCTGTGGGGGCGGGGAGGGGGGCCTATCGGAGAGCCCAGAGAAGTTGGCAACGGGGTGTTGGGGACAGGGGTGGGGGTACTTGAGTCATCACATCAGGGAGTTGGCCACTGTTCGCACATTTCACCTCAGAAGGCCAGGCTGGAGCTTGGGCTGCGTCCAAACCAGGAAACACCAGAATATTTGGTGAAAGAGGTGAGGTCAGGGTGGGCGAGGCCAAGGAGGGGGAGGAGCCCACAGAGGACTCAGGGCTGGTCTGGGCATGCTATGGGGAGGGCCTTTTGCCCCCAGAAGCTCCAAACAGGCAGCCTTGGGGACAGATGGACAGCCTGACCTCAGCTCAACTTCCTGGGAGCTTGGTGAGGCCCCTGGGTCCCCAGGACACTCCTGGACACTGGTCTGAAGCTGCAAGGGGGCCACCTGCCGCCCCGGGGTCCAGTGGGTGAATTTAAGATGTCCCCTCCCAGCCCCATGGAGTTCAGAGGCTGAGCCCCAGGGTCAGGCCAAGGTGGGGACTGGGGGTGGTCAGCCAGGGCAGGGGTCATGCCACTGGGCATGTGGAAAGGGTACCCAAAGGACAGCCAAAGTGGTGCTGTCCCTGTTTCCCCACCTGCCAGTCAGGACAAGCCAGAGGCCCTAGCAGCTGCAGCTATGGCAGCCCCCACCTCTATATGCAAGGCACAGTGCCCATACTAGATGAAAACCTGGCTCCCCAGGAGCAACTGGCTGAGGTGATAGCCAGGATGGCAGATGAGTGGACCCAAAGGACCAGGGGAAGCATCCAGAAGGGCTGCTTGGCCATCCCGAGGAAGCGTCCCAGAGCCTGGAAGGAAATACCCAGGAAGGTACCGGACGCCTCAACTCCCTACAGTCAAGTGACCTGGGGTGTCCAGGGGCCCAGCCCAAGCCCAGACAGACCCCAGTGGGCTCACCTGATGGTGGGGCTGCCCCTCCAGGCCCTACCCGCTAGCTGGGTCTGAAGGCCCACATGCTTGGGATGGTACTTAAGATCTGTGAAATCCTTTCCCAGGGGACCACGTCCTGGGATCCCGCCACCCTCAGACACCTAGAACAGGCTCAGACCCCAATGCCTTGGGTGCCCAAGGGCTACCTGCCCCTGGTCTGAGCCTTCACCCGCTTCTGCCCTGGCAGCTCTGATGACCCCACACTGCTGACCACTCCACCTGCCCTCCTCCAGAATGTCTAATTAGGGGAGGCCAGCAGAGGTGCCCAGAAGCACCCCAAGGTGTGGTGAGGCCTAACGAATGTGGATGGCGTGCAACACAAGACACCTTGAGGCCTAATGTGCAGTGATCGAAAATGGGCCTGGAGGGGCTGTGGTCAGGATGGGCGCCCTGGAAGCTACATCATGTGGGTCAGTGCTGGCAGTGGGTCTGGAGGTTCGAGGTTGGGGGCCCATACCCTTTCTCCCTCCCTCCGATCACGACCCAGTTCTCGGGACCCTGTGGGCTCCTGGGCCCAGGTCCACATCTGCTGCTAGCTCATGTTTCCCTGGAAACATGGGCTCCTCTGGGCCCACCTGACTGCAGCCATCACTTCAGACCAAGATACGGATACAGGCCAAGCCTGTGCAAGGGGGCAGGGGACTGGCTTGGCGGTGGGGAAGGACTGAGAGGGTCTAGCAGACACCAGCATGCCATGGGGGGATGCGGGGGAAGGGGCTGTGCAGGATGTTTCAGGGAGCGGGGCCAGAGTAGGGGGGTCGGCTAGGGCTCCTTCATAAGAACAACTTCCTAACAGGTATTGTATTTAACTTGCAAATAAGCAAACAGGCTGAAACGGTCTTATTTGAAGATGACAAGGGTGTGAAGAATCCTGGTTGGTCTACTGTCTTTTACCCCAAATTCTACTTGGAATCAAGTCAAAGGAATAAGTCGAAACTCCAGCAAATGTCGGTAAAACCACTCAGATCCTTCCTGTGGCTTCTCTGATACTGGAAGTCACACACAGCCCTTCACAGGCAGCAAAGCCATGTCTCCTGCAAACACTTAGAGAAGAATTATCTGAAAATTAATCAAGGGACACCTCAACTAAAATGGAGTTGGAAAGCCACAAGGTGGAAGTCCTCAGGCATGTATCCCCAGTGTCCACACAGAACCAGAGAGGAAGAGAGTCCCAGCACCTGTGGCCAGAGCAGCCACCTCACCACCACTACCAGGCAGATCTCTTTGCCTGGCAACGGCTCAGCCAATGAGAAGCCACCTTATTTAAACTCCAATGTTTCCTTTAATGGACTGCTTGTTAATAACAACTTCCCTTCCTCCTCTATAAAAGAGTATCCTCTCTGCTTTACCAGACTTGCATGTGGTTATCACAGTTGCATGTCCTGAGTTATAATTCTTTGCTGCTGCCAAACAAACCTGAAACAAAGTGAAAGTCACTCAGTCGTGTCCGACTCTTTGCGACCCCATGGGCTATTCAGTCCATGGAATTCTCCAGGCCAGAATACTGGAGTGGGTAGCCTTTCCCTTCTCCAGGGGATCTTCCCAACCCAGGGATCGAACCCAGGTCTCCCACATTGCAGGCGTATTCTTTAACAGCTGAGCCACGAGGGAAACAAACCTGACTTTCTGGTAAAATAACTGGCTGTTTTTTTTTTGCTTTGTTTCAGGTGAAAAATCATTAACAAGACAAAGAAAAGGGGGCAGGATACAAACACTGGAAGTGTGACCACAGAGCAAAGACTTCCTCCAGCCATGGTCAAAGGACTGGGTAACACTGTCCTCTGTGCTGGAGTGGCCAGCCCAAGAGGGGAAGGTGATTTGGCACCCCGACATCATTTCAGAATTGTTAAAAAGAACTGTCTCAGATAAAATGTAAGAAAGACTCAGCTATAAAGTTTTTGCTACTTTTCATACCACTTCTTTTGAAATTATTTGAGTACAAGTAACTCACTGACCAGCAACAACCAGTGCTGCTGGGCAGTCATCAAGCATCTCAGAGTTCTGTGCAAAGTAGGAAAATCTACCCCATAAACTGTTCAGGGTCTTGAATACTCACTTTCAGGGATGATGATGGTGTCATATTCTGCTCCAAGATACAGATGTTAAGAGAACTTCACTTTTGCTTTCTTTTTTGCATTTTAGGCCCAGGCCCCTGACCAACCCATGGGGTGTCCAGGCCTTTCCTCCGGTCACACCCTCTGGAGGATCCCAAGGAAAACCCTTCCCCTATACCTTGTGGCCCAAACCCTGCCTGTAGACGCCAGGAGTAGGCAGATACCACCATCCATTAACTGACCCTCTGGCCAAGATCTAAAGGAGAAACTTAATTTTAAAACACTATGAAGCAAAATATATGAAAGTCTGACAAGAAGAATAGGCCTTGGACTTCCCTAGTGGTACAGTGGATAATAATCCACCTGCCAGTGCAGGGGCACGAGTTTGATCCCTGGTCTAGACAGATTCTGCATGCCACAGAGCAACTAAAAACCGTGCACCCAACTACCAGAGCCCATGCTCCTGGCCCGTGTGTGCTCCGCAACAAGAAAAGCCACCACAATGAGAAGCTCACGCACTGCAACAGAGTAGCCCCTGCTCGCCACAACTAGAGAAGGCCCCAGGGCAGCAACATGTGCCCAGTGCAACCGAAATAAATAATTTTTTTTAAAAGTAGGCCCTAAGAAGAGCCCATTAGAAACTTCTCTGGTGGCTGACTAGCTAAGACACCGAGCTTTCAAAGCAGACGGCATGGGTTCAATTCCTGGTCAGGGAACTAGGTCCCACATGCAGAAACTAACACCCAGGACAGACAAATAAAAATAAATATTAAAATGAAGAGGAAGAAGAGCCCATTAGCAGCAACCTCGCTCCTAAAAATTACCTTTAAAAGTAAGTGGAGAGAATTCCCTGGCAGTCCAGTGGCTAGGACTCCTAGCTTTCACTGCAAGAGCCTGGGTTCAATCCCTGTTCGGGAACTAAGATCCCACAGCAGTGAGGCACGACTTAAAAAAAAAAAATTTTTTTTAGCTAAAAATTAATAATGTAAGCCAGGAGGAAAATCGGGCCAGGAAGACGCTTCACATGGTGCCAGGAATGGGTGGGGGGGGGGGTAGGGGCGCGCGCGCAGGCAAGACCATCCCACTGAAGCCCCTCACCCACTTGGCCCAAGGCCACGCCCCCTGGTGGAACTCCCCAAACTCAGCCAACCAGTGTCCTCGTAAGGGGCGTGGCCTCGGAATCAAGCTGCCCCTAGAGCACCTCCGTTGCTGGCTTTCTCATCTAGGACAGTCTGTTTGTCTTTCCTCTTCTGAGGGAGGCTCCTTGAGGCTGAAATTTCTGTCTCTTGAAACCAAAACTCAGAGCCAGCTTATAGGTCGGTTCCTCCACGAACTTGCCGCCCCTCCTGGGTCGCAGTGGTACGGCCCAGAAGGTATCAAGGGGAGGGCGGTTCCCAGAAGCACCACCCCTGACTAGGCTGAATTGGTACGGCCCGGAGGATACCAAGGGGAGGACCGTGTGCCATTATCCAGAAGCACCTGCCCCGCTGGCCGAGATGGTATGGCCCGGAAGGTGCCAAGAGAACAACCGCGAGGGGGCGCCATCGCCCAGCAGCACCCCAGCCTGGGCCGAGGTGCTACAACCCGGAGGGGACCAAGACCGCGGGGGCCGCCATCCCCCAGCTGCACCACCCTCGCCTGGGCCACGCGTTACGGCCCGGAGGGTACCAAGGCTGGGCGCCGCCATCGCCCAGCAGCACCACCTCCACCTGGGCTGATGAGGTACGGCCCGAAGGGTGCCAAGGGGATGACCACGGGGGTCGCCATCGCCCAACAGCACTATCCCCATGTGGGCTGATGTGGTGCGGCCCAGGGCGGTGCTAAGGGGACGACCACGACGGGAATCGCCTAGCAGGGAGTCCCCGCTCCCAGCACGCAAGCGGCAGCTGAGAAGCCCAGACCCTCAGGACACTGCGGAACGAGTCCCGTGGGATGGGTCACGCGGGACGGCTAGGAGCCGCGGCGGACTTCAGACGCGTCACTTCCGGCGCGTGGCTTCCGGGCCAGTAGCGGCTTCTCCCCGCCTCTGGTCCCGCCCCGTCGCCCGCCGGGACCTGCGAGTTTTCTCCGGGTCCGCCCACCCGAGCCCGACCCGCAGCCTTCGGCTCCGTGAGCCGCAGTCAGCGGGATGAGGGCGGGTTGCTGTGTGGAGTAGGGGGCAGCGAGGCCCTGGATGACCGCTCTTTCCGTCCCGGCGCGCTGGGACCCCGCCCGGCTGCGGGGCCGGGGCCGGGCCCACGTCCCTGAGGCTGCGGGGTCCGCTCGGCATCTACCCGGGGGCTCCTTGGTGGGTGAAGGGCTAAATAAAGTTGGCGGGGCGGGTCACCCCCGGGGGTCGCCCTTTGAGTCCGTGCCGACCCCCCGCTTCCCCTTCCAACTCGGCCAACCCCGGGCCTTGGCACGCGCGCCTGGGCGTCCGAGGCCGCCCGGGGGTGGAAGGGAACCGTCCCTAGCACTTTCACTCCGGGTCCGCTCCTGCAGCGTCCACCATGTGGGCCCCCGCCACGCCTTACAGGCGTCCAAGTGGACCTTAGGCCTCCGAGGCCGGCGCCACGTTCCCGCTCCAAATCTGCCCGCGGCGGGCGGGGCACAGGTGGGGCGGGAGCTGGGGGTACGCGGGGCCCGCAGCGCCTGGATACCTGGGGGTACTGTCAGAGGCGGAGGTGGGGACACAGGGTCTGCGCCCTTGCGGTGTTTGTTTGTTTGTTTTTTGCCCTAGCGTTTTAACACCCGCCCCCTACCGATGCGCCCCGAGGTGGGCACGGCCCTGGAGCAGCAGGTGCTGCCGCTCCTGAAAGAACCGGCAAAGGTGCTCTGTCCGCTCCGGGCACAGTCGCCCGCAGCAAATTCATTGCAGTTGGTGTCTTCGCAGGATTTAAAAAAACTGGAAATTACATAATGACTGACGTCCTGCCAGGCGCCGGTCCTAGCGAACTGTTATTTTGTAAATTGGGTTGGGAAACTCCCAGTCAGGCCCAGAGCTAAAACTTCATTGTCGTTCTCAGCCTACTTTCTGTACTGGGTTTTATGGGGCCTGCAGTGCCGCCCCCTCCTCCCCCAGCGCTCAGGCTCTGAAGCCTTGAAAACCTTGCTCACCCGCTGCTGCTGGTTTTAAAAAAAAAAGAACTATTTAGAAGCAGACTCTTTGTTTAATGGCTTAAAGTTCTTTGTTTTTCAGTAGAGTGCAATGTTGTTTACCCAAACTCCTTTAACTTGCAAGTAACATTTTAAAGCAGAATGAAATATTAAATTGCCTGAAAAGGAACATTAAGAGAGGGAACAGGAAAAGTTTTTACATTAAAGAAATTATTTTTGTCTTAAAATTGAAGTATAGTTGATTTACAGAGTTGTGTTTGTTGCTGGTATATGGTAAAGTGATTCGGTTGTACATACGTAACATTCTTTGTCATTCTTTTCCATCCTGTCATAGGTTATTATAAGATACTCGCTATGGTTCCCTGTTTTTATATAGTAGGTCTTGTTAAAAAATCCATTTTCAATGCAAATAAATTAGAAAATGGAGAGAACGCAAAAAAAAAAAAAAAAAGGAAGGATCTGAGATTCTGCCTCAGAGTTGACCACAGTTGTTACCTTGGGCTATGTTCTTCTGAACCGTTGGCACTTTTTAAACCTGAACACATGTACAGAGAGCTTGTAACTCTGCTCTCACTTTCTCTATGACAAATATATTTTTGTCACAACTGGTAGGGTTACAGTGTCCCATTATGTGACAGAGTTTGTTACAGTTTTTTTAATCTGACACTTGGCCAATGTCAGCTTCTCAGTCTTAAAAACAAAGCTTTTGAACATCTTTGTATGTACAAGCCTGGGCCTTTGTTGGGTTATTTCTTTAGGATAAAGCCCTAGAGATGGAATTTCTGAATTAAGAGTATGAAATTTGTAGACTTTCAGTGTATTTTGTCTAAACTGCCCTGCTGACAATGTGGACTGACGTAGATTTCCTCACCAGGTGTTTTAGAGCATCCTGAGTTGCTTGTTGTAGAACAGAGACTCTTGACCTCTGACTCATGAGCCTCAGAATTCAGGGTTCCTCAAAACTGGATGGGAAAGTTGACAACTTCCTGTCAGTAACTTCCACCCCGAGCTTCCCTTCAGTGGTTAATGTGCCGTGGTGGTCCTGGCCACCCACATTTCAAAACCAGGCAGCCTCCCCAGGGTCTAGAGCCCTTGTTGCAGGGTTGGTGGAGGCTGGGAGGGTCTCAGTGCCTGCATGTGATGAAAACATCACGTGTGTGCTTTTTGCAACGTGATGCTGGTTTCCTTTCAGTGGCCCGCCTGGACCCTGTCCTGCGGAGGCTTTGGACAGGAGCGCAGTGGAGTCAACCCCCACCTCATAGTCTGCTGGCTCCGAGCTGAGCGGAAGAGGCTACATTACAATTCTTGTCATTTGTGCTATAAGCCCAGAGGGCGGTAATTCAGACCTGTGTCACCAGGGGCCTGGAGGTGGGGGGCCCCACGAGCCCTGTGCTCAGCCTGGTCCACCCCATCTCCAGGCCACCCTGGGTGAGGTCAGTGTTTGTTATCAGTTTGGGCTGCTGACCTTTGGCTTTTCACAGGATGAGAACCGCCTCTCGTGAAGGTGCCTTGAGTCACAGAGACTGGAGAAAGAAGACGGCGGTCAGAGCCAGGGAGGGCAGCTGGGGTCCCGGTGGGCCTGCCTGAGCTGGACCTGCTGGGTTCTGGGCCGCTGCCCCCGGCTTCCACACGCGATGCCAGTACAGCCGCTGAGGGGCTTCACTGTACCCGGGAGCAGGCCTTCTGCATAGGACTGCCGCTCTGGCCAGTGACCAGCGGTAAGTGCTATGTGCCCGCCTGCTGTCTCAGCAAGAGGACCTGGCTGACCGTCAGCTGTGGGTGCCACCAGGCATTTCTCACTCCTCGAGGGTGGATAGTTGCACCTCCTAGTGGTGGTGACCAGCAGTCCCGCCCTGGGCACTCCTGCTGGACATCTCTGGGGGACCCTCAAGGATGGAGGTTCTGGTTTGTAGGGTGTGCTGGTGTGTCTCTCTCAGCGTGGTGCCCAGTCCTCTCCCAGGTTCCATTACCAGCCCTCACTGTAGCCGTGTTCAAGCCTCTGGATCCGCACCTCCCAGCAGCTCTGGGTGTTGTCAGACCTGATGGCTTTTAGCAGTAGGGGTGGGTGGCGTGTCCATCTCCCTGACCATGGATGAGGTCAGCACCTTTGGTCAGCGACCTCCAAGGTAATACCTGTGACCCTGCCTCCTGGCGTTCTCACCCTCTGTAGCCCCCTTCCTTGAGGGTGGGCTTCTCATGAGCGCTGTCCAGCAAATGCTAAGGGGCCAAGGTTCCAAGAAGACTCAGCCTCCACAGGCGCTGGCTCTCAGCCGCCAGCCCACAGCCTGGAGCCTGTGCACACAGCCCTGTGGAGGGTCTTCCCCTCATAGCCGCTGGAGCTGCATGTGTGGGCTTGGAAGTGAGACCCCAGCCCCTTCCGCCATCATGCTGGTCGACCGTCTGGACCACAGAATCTGTAGGGTCGCGAGTGCTCTGAGCCTCCAGCTGGGTGTGCATTGTCCAGAGGTGCAGAGCTGATGGCTCCTCTCGTACTCATTGGGCGTGTGGACATCTTCTCCCTCCTGGTGTGTTACCCACGTTTCCTGTTGATTGTAGGGATCCATCCTCTCTTCCTGTCGTGTTGTCATGACCCCTCCAGGTGTCACTTGTCATTTAGCATGTTTAGTGTGTTGACGTTACATTGTGATGCACTGTGAAAGCACAGGAGCTCTTCCTTTAGCAGCCTCATCTGATTTGTTATATTTGTGGGTAATGCTTTGGGGGACTAGTTTAAGATGCTCTTTTCTGGGAATTCCCTGTGGTCCAATGTAGGATTTGGCATTTTCACTGCTGGGCCTGCATTCAGCCCCTGTTGAGGGAACTAAGGTGCCACAGGCTGTGCAGCACAGCCAAAAAAACGGTACTCTCTTCTTACCCCAGGATCAGGAAGATACTCCCTGTGTTTTCTTCTAAGTGTGAGGTTTCACACGGTTGCATTCCACAGCCCAGCCTACCAGGTTCAACTCTGGCCAGAAGCTGTGTCTCACATGGTGACAGCATGCCTCCCCAGGATTCTTGGGAAGAGCCATGGAGTCATTATGTGTGCCCTGCTGGGTCAGACCCTGCCTGGTTCCTGGGAAGTGCCCTGTGGATGTTGTGAATTGGTAGCGTGTGTCTGGAGCTGTGAGTCCGGGATCCAGTCTCTCTTTACTGGCGTGGATGACAGCCATCCTGGTGTCAGGGAGTCGAGGCCACCTTTTCCCAGAAGCCACAGCCCCACTCTGTCTTCGGTCCAGGTCCTACCTGTGCACAGACCCTGGGCCCTGCATCCCAGCTTGTTTACATGTCTCTGCACCAGTGCAGCACGTGGCCCCATCCAAGTGTCTGGGGGCAACCCCCTTTCTCCAGGAGAGTCTCTTTTCCTTCTCCCTTTTGTGCCTCCATCATGCTTTTCGTAGTTGCCCAGTACCTTGTAAGGATGTAACTAAGACTGAACATCCTGTCACTGCTGAACTTTCACCAGCTTCCAGCCTCTGCTGGTGGGTCTTGCCAGGGGCTGCAGCAGGGGCCTGGTGGCACATCTAGTCATGTCAGTCATGTGACCCTGTACCTGAAGGAACAGCTTTTCCCATCTGTTGATCCTGGTGGTCGTCTGTGTGCTGGCCCTTTGCGTGCTGGCCCTTTGCTGTTATTTACTTTCTCTCAATCCACCTGGATTTCACTGGCAGGCACCCCTCACATGGGCCTCATGCCATCCAGGAGCCCACCCTCCTCCCGGCCCAGCTGTGGCCCCAGCCCTGATCTCAGCTATCTCTGCGAGGAGACAGTTCAGCAGAGCAGAGGTTTGGAATCCAGCACCGCCCCTGCTGCGGGGGTGTCCCTGTTCCAGGCCTCCGCGTGGGCAGAGTCGCGAGTGGATGTGGAAGCAGGCGCACTGTGCCCCCCCGCTTTCGTGCAGCCCACTCCCTTGTCTGCTCCTCCTTAAGTGCTGCCCCCAGACTCGCCCAGGTCTCGTCTGGAACCTGCACTTGACCCCAGCGCCCATGCACAGGCTCCCCAGTCACTTCCTTCCCTTCGCTCCTCAGTGGGCTGAAGTTATTCCTCTGAGTTGTGCTTTGATTTAGGTATTTCTATCTGTATCGCGCATTAGAGATTTTGTTTCTAGACATGTTATTGATGTGGGCATTTTTGTTGTTTAAGCACGTGGAGCATGGACCTGGTTCCCAAGGGCATAAGTATTTAGAAAGTGCTGGCATTGGCGGGATCCGGGGCGTGGTTGCTGTGTGGATCGGCAGCCTGGCCTGGCGCTTGGGCCTCTGCCGTCCAGCCTCCTCTGCTCGGCTTTCTTTCAAGACCCTAACTCTCTCACCGTCAGAGTTGTGCTCATGGCAGGGAAACTGCAGCGGCACCAGGTTCAGCATGGTGGATCAGGACGCATGGTGTCTGTCTCATCCCTGGGGGTTCCACTTTGGTGGCTCCATGGTGGGGCAACTGCTCGTTTCTCTGGGGAGTAAAGTTGTGATGGCCTCTGGTCACTGGTTAACACCCTGCTGGGAGATAGTCTGAGGCCGCCATGGGGTTGATGGGTTGTGGGGTTGTGGACGTTTCCTCTCTAGGCTTTTCGTTTTTTCATCCCACTGATTTGTTCCTGATAATTTCTTGTTTGTCTGCAGGACTGCGTCCTGCCTTCTGTCCCTCCTTGAGTTTCCGTCTGTCTCTCCTTGAGTTTCCGGGAGGTGGCTCCTCCCCCACTGGCTGATCTTTGATCCTCACTCAGGAATGTCCTCAGACTGAGTTGGAATTGGTTCTCTAGGGCACCCGACCCCTCCCTCTGGTGCTGGGCCCCAGCTGGGCCACTTCAGCGCCTCCAGGCTGTGTCCAGAGGCAGGATCCTGGTCAGTGTGGTCCCTGCTGTCTGCTGCCTGCCCCCTTGCGCTCCTTGTGTGCTGCTGGGGGTCCTTGGGGCGCCCACGTCCAGGCACGCCTGAGTCGAGCTCCCTGGGAGCCTGATGCCCTGGGTGAGGTTTCTGTCTCTCCTGCCCTGGTCTTTGTTCCCAGGGGACCCTTTTCTGGTGACTTTTAGAGCAGCACCTCCCGCTTTTCGATGGGTACTTGGCCCTTGCCATCTCCTCCTTGGCTCAGGTTCCAGGGCACTGAAGGGTGACCAGAAGCCCAGGGCTGCCTGTGGAGGTGCAGCTCCCAGCATGGTATTGTCCAGAGGTAACGGGCACAGGCCAGGAAGAGGAGGGAGGATGGGGTGTTAGTGGAGATCTGACCCCGGCAGTGCCAGAGGGGTCGAAAGGCTTGTGCGTCTTGTGGGGAAGTAGAGCCCACAGGAGGGCTGGGTGCATCCGTCCTGGTCTGGGCTGTGTCGGGACGGCTATGGTGTCCCCAGGGTTGGTGTGCATGTGGAGGCTTGGGTGCCCGGCAAGACCAAGCATTGCTGAGCTTGTGGAGTGACTGAGGACACTGGTTGGACACTGGGAGCCGGGGGCAGCTTACCCAGGAGCCCTGCCCTGGGTGAGAGTCGGAGGTCAAGAGTCCATCTGGCTCACACGAGCCTGAGCAGAACTGGGCCTGGGGTGGTAATGGTAGAGGAGCCAGCCCTTTTGGTGGGTGGCACAGCAAGCTAAATACCTGATGCCTCTTCTACATAAACCTGGCAGTTAGGTGAAAACACGATGGGCATCCCCCAAACGCCAGCATCTGAGGGATCAGGACATCGTTGGCTGGCTTGGCTGCTTGGGGGAGGGGATGGCCAGGGGGCTGGGACCTCGTGTTTGGTGTCACTGGGGAGGAGCAGCCAGGCCTCCTAGGCTGGTGGTCGTCACTGGGACACTGCTTGTAGCCCAAACTGGGAATTTCCTGGAGGTCCAGTGATTAAGACTCTGTGCTCTCATTGCTGGGGCTCGAGTTTAATCCCTGCTTGGGGAATTAATATCCCACAGTTGTGTGGCACAGCGGGGGACAAAGCCAAAACTTGAAGCACCCACCCACCAGCGCACGTGAGAGGCTGGGTCTGACTGCGTGTGGTCTCAGGGCTGAGCGAGGCCTCTCTGGAGAAGCCAAGAGGTCTGAGTCTGTGGAGGAAGCAGCGTGCTTTCCTGGCTGCAAGACAGAGGCAGCCCCCTGCCCGCCAGCAGGCAGGCCCTCAGGTCCAAGAGGAGTCTCCTCCCAGGGTGTGTGCTCAGAAACTGCCCCCTCAAGCTGGAGGCGGCTGACCACTGAAGGATGAGGACTGTAATGTCAGGTCCTGGGTGATGAACTGTTGGACCATGAAAGAGATGATGCAAAGGAGGAATGGAAAGTCAAGGGGAACAGGCTGGTTTGGTCAGCCCTCCCACCAAGGACAGCTCAAAACTCTGGATGAAACATCAATGCGGGGGAGGGTGCTGTGCGCTGGAGAGCCAGCTGGGTGGGAGAGAGCTCAGGGCAGCCCTTTCTGGGCTCTGTCTGGTCCTGGTGGGTGGAGAGAAATGCAGAGCACTGGAGACAGCTTCTGAGGTGGGAGCAGGGGGCAGTGAAGACACAGGTCTCACTGAGCTGAGGGAGAGGCCGAGGGAGGAGGGCAGCAGGAGGCCAGATCACCAGGTGCTTTAGAAAAGTTTGGGTGGAACTTACTGGAGGGTCAGGTGTGTGGGGAGGGAAGGGAGGCTAGGCTGGTGTAGGCCGTGGTCTCAGCAGGGTGCCCGCTCCTGCTCCTTTGGGGCTCCTGGGTGCGTGGCCAACCATAGTCCCGAGTTTGTGCTTTAAGTTACTGTATTGAACCTGGCAGGACCTTGGCCACTCAGGACAGCCTCGTCCCATCCTTTCCTTCAGCTCCAGCCCTCGCCCTGCCCGGTGTCACCATGGCTGCCACTTCTGTCCTTGGGTCCCTGACCCGAGCCCGCTGCCACCCCTGAGATGTCGGCGTCCGCGAAGCCCCCAGCCCTGGTGGAGCTGGACCCGGGCCCTGGCGAGAAGCCTGGGGGACGGCCGCTTCTGGCCTGGGCCCCTGTGTTCAGCCACCGGAGTGAGAAGATCGCATTCGGCCAGAGTGATGGCAGCCCCGAGGAGCAGGTGCTCACGGTCACCGTCACAGAGACTACCGTCATCGAGGCAGACCTGGGCGTGTGGGGCGCCCGCGCCCTGACCTACCTCACGCTCTGGTTCTTCTTTAGCTTCTGCACCCTGTTTCTCAACAAGTACATCCTGTCCCTGCTGGAAGGGGAACCCAGCATGCTAGGTACCCGCCCAGGCTGGTGGGGACGGAGCCCCGGGGAACCCCTCTGCTCACTAGGTACCTGCCCGGGCTGGTGGGGACAGAACCTCGGGGAACCCCTCTGCTCACGGGCCTCATCTCCTCCAGGGGCTGTGCAGATGCTTTCAACCACGCTTATTGGCTGTGTTAAAATATTTGTTCCCTGCTGTTTGTATCAGCACAAAACTCGGCTTTCTTACCCACCCAATTTCATCATGACCATGCTGTTCGTAGGTCTGATGAGGTAAGCCCACTGACATTTCAGGTTGGGTGTCTGAGTTTTTTGTTTTTGTGAAATCTCTTCCCCCAGCTGGCTATTAGCATCAGGTGATCCTGGGAGTGGGGAGCAGGGTGGGGGCAGACCCTCCAGGCTGACTCCTGAGGGAGGGAATGCACTGATTTGTGATGCTTTTGATTGTCTTAGGTTTGCTACAGTGGTGTTGGGTCTAGTCAGCCTGAAAAATGTGGCCGTGTCCTTTGCTGAGACCGTGAAGAGCTCGGCTCCCATCTTCACTGTGATCCTGTCACGGACGGTCCTGGGGGAGCACACTGGTGAGCAGCCCCCCACGCCCGGCCCTCATTGCACCTTTTGGCCCCCCAAGGCTCAGCAGATGGGACACAATCACAGATCTCTAAGCTGAGCCAGGGCAGGCACTGTCCAGCTGCACACATGTCCCTGACTGTCCTGCCAGCCTGTAGGGGGTGGGGTCCTGTGATGAGCAGACTCATCACGTGACATATGTCTGCCCTGGGGGTAGGAGTGCTGCTCGGAAAGGGAGTTGAGTTGGCTTCAATTAGGAAATGACCAGAAGGTAAAACAAGGCAGTGCCCGGCACCCTGGGGAGGAGGTGGTGGGGAGAGGGCACAGCTGGGCATCTCGCAGACCGGCCCCTGGAGCCAGGCCGATGTGCAGGTGATGGTAAAGCAGAGTCAAATCAAAGTGTGACCGCAGGTCCTGCAATCCCACGCAGCAGGAAACGGCCTGACCACACTGCAGCCTTCACCACGCAGAGGGAACTTCAAAGGCCTTAAGAACATCGGGCCATGGAGAAGACAGTGTTTTGCTGGAACAATTAGGAAATCTTGATAAAATGCAATTTGTTGGGGAGAATGACTGAGATACCCATACTTGTGGGGCCAAGGTGTGGAGTCCCCAGAGGGGTGACCCCTGAAGGCACCCTAGCAGAGCAGCCTCATGGGGTCTGTCGAGGGGCACAGCCCCAGCAGAGCCCTGAACCCACTACCGCCCACTGCGCAGGCATCTGCCTCCTTGGCGGCCTCCCAGCCATGGCTCTGCATGTGGTCCGCACCCAGCAGACACCTCCTTCCATAGTGACACTCGAGGCCTCATAGACCCATGGATTTGCTGTGTGGACAGCACTGTCCTGGGCGGGGTAGTGGCCACGGTCTCAGGAGGTTACCAGATTGTCTGAGAGCTGCACTTCTGCTCTGTTTTGCTAAGTGTGTAAGGCTTGTCCCTTCGTCTGCTTTGAATTTCAAGATTAATGAAATGCCATGTCCAAAATCAAAGTAGAGGCATGGGGGTAGGGGGAAGAAGGCCTTGTACCCAGTGACAAGGTTTTCTGTTGTCCCAAAAGGACTTTCTACCCTCCTGTCAAGACTGTTGGTTATGAAGGCAGGAGGGCTGAATGCCCTGAGGTATGGGGCCTCCTTCCTCCCCTGACCTTCCCTGGAGACCACCCTTCAGCCCCTTTGTTTCACAAGTGAAGAGCTTGGGGACTGTAGGGTGGGGTGCAGAAAGCGGGGCTTGGAGTTGGCGACTCCAGTGTGGAACCCTCTGCCCCACGTGCCTGGCTGGAGTGGGTGAGACAGGCATGTGCTATTTTTTCCCCTCCAGCGAGAAGTGAGCAAGCAGAGCACCCCTGGGGGGCAGCTGGGTCCACTGGGGGGCACTGCAGCCCAGCCATGTGCTCTCCCTCTGCAGGGCTACTGGTCAACCTTTCCCTCATCCCGGTCATGGGTGGCCTGGCACTGTGCACGGCCACTGAGATGAGCTTCAACTTCCTGGGGTTCTCAGCTGCCTTGTCTACCAACATCATGGACTGGTGAGTCTGTAGGGTGGGAACTGGGCACGTGGGGCCCCATGTCCCACTGCTGGAGTGCGGGCATCAGGCCCAATGGCTGACAGCTCCACGCAGCCTGCTCCTTGCGCGTCACCGTCTCTGAGGGGAGAAGGGAGGTGGCAGCGGCTCTTGTGTCTAAGCTTGTGTCATTGCTGGTACTTCTAGAGAGACCAGAGGGTTTCTGAGTGGTGCATGAGTAAAACGAGAAACCACCTTTCATTCCATCTGACACCTGCTGTATTTCCTTCAGCCTTCTCTGCCTCTCTAATTCCCAGAAACATCGCCCAGCTCAGTCCTAGTTTGTGTCTTACCTGTTAACTACAGCACAGCATGGTCTCAGAGGCCTCCTCACTCACCTGCAGATGCTTCAGACCTCCTGGCCGCTATCCTGCAGGGACCATCCTCGCACGAGTCCCGCCATGTTTCCCACTGGCCCGCAGTGTCAGCCCTAGAGGGGGCGGGCCTGTGAGTGTCTCCCCCAGCCTCACTTTGGTTTAAGTTCCCTTGGCCAGAGCTGGGGGCAGTGTTGGTGGTCTGGAAGCTGGACACTGTCCTGTCTCCTCTCAGCCACCACTGGCCTTCCCAGCCAGGAGTTCTATCTCTGTTTCCCTGGGTCTTCCTGTGCTCATATTGTCTGTCCTGTGGCTACAGCTGATTTGTGGGAGCTCTGGGTGCCAAGAGGGGTTCTGTGCAGAGCTGGGTAACCCCAGGCATGCCCTCCACCCCCGAGACCTCAGCTTACCCATCTGTGAAAGGGACAGCTCAGCCTGGCTCATGGATGCCCAGGGCTGTCTTCAAGGACCTCCATGTGTACCCGTTTCCAGAGGACAAGGCACTTTGTATAAGGTGGCCTCTGAGCTCACATAATCTCTTCTCTTCTTCTAGTTTGCAGAACGTTTTCTCCAAAAAACTCCTCAGTGGGGACAAATATAGATTCTCGTAAGTGTCACTGCCCCACAGAGACCAGAGCGCCCTGGACCCCAGCCCCAACCCTCCCGGAGAGCCCTGGACCCCAGCCCCAACCCTCCCAGAGTGCCCTGGACCCCAGCCCCAACACTCCCAGAGCTCCCTGTGCCCCAGCCCTGACCCTCCCATTTCCCCAGTGCTTTTAAAAGAACCTTGTTGAAACTGCGAAGAAAAACCCACCTGTTTCCAGTTGCCCTCTGCCAGGGATGCTGTCACTGTCCCTGTAGCAGGGGAGAAGGGGGTAGCGAGGCTGGGGGCAGGGCAGGGTAGGCCGGGGTGAGGCTGCAGGGCGTAGGAGGCTCAGACACCTGCCCTGTCCCGCAGGGCTGCGGAGCTGCAGTTCTACACTAGCACAGCGGCCGTGGCTATGCTCGTCCCAGCCTGGATCTTCTTCATGGTGAGTCCCACCATCACAGTCACCTTCAAGGGGGTGAGCCTGGCACTGTGTGGCTGCCATGCGCCCGAGGGGGCCTGACCAATGCAAACCCAAGCAGGTCTGGTGCCCGTGAGGGCCGGGCTACAGCCCCAGTTCTGAAAACTTTGGCAGGAGGGTGTTAGGCACACTCTTGTGTTTTTGCTTTTTGGCCGCACCTCATGGCTTGCAGGATCTTCGTTCCCCAACCAGGGATTGAACCCTGGGCACAGCAGTGGAAGAACTGAGTCCCAACCACCAGGCCAACAGGGAACTCCTGCAGTTGTTTCTTATTTCTTCTCTTAAAAACATTGTGACCACCATAGAATAAGTCACAGGACAGAAACATGTAAAACAGAGTGGTCTGTCCCCAGCCCCTCGCAGGCCCCCTCCTAGTGGAGCTGCTCCCTCAGTGTGTCTGCGTGGCCACAAACCTGCTTACGTGTGTCGTGAGTCCTGTAGGAGTGCAGATGTGTGTCTGTGTGGACCTGTCTTCTCAACACAGTGGTGCTGGGCTGTCCAGTCCAAGCTCTGCTCTGACCCACCGGATGTGGTGGTCTGGCCCTGCCACTGCTCTGTACATGCAGCACATAACAGGGAACTCCTTGTGTCATGTCTTTAGTGGATGAGGATGTTTCTCTGGGTTGTGTTCTTGGATTGGAATGGTTGAGTAAAAGAACATGCACATCTAACTTATTTTATTATGATAAAATAGCTATCAAATTTACTATTATAGCCATTTTTCAGTGTATGTCAGGTATGCATTCACATCATTGTGCAACCATTACCCCAATTTTTTCATCGTCTCAAACTGAAGCTCTGACCCATTAAATGCTAACTCTTCACCCCACCCCACCCCACGAGGTGGAGGGGACAAGATTTACCCCACCCCGCCCTGAGTTCCAGCTGGGCCTGAGAGTTAAACTGACTTAGGTCAACAGGAGATAAGCACATAGGTTCATTTAATACGAGCTTCATGTGATGCCAGAGCAAATGAAGCCCCAAACAAGTGGCAGACCTGTGAGTGCTTCCACGTCAGGTTGAATGAAGAGGTGATTGTGGGCAAGTGACTGAGACACTGGGGCAGCTGAAGGGGGATGAGGGGAATGAAGACATGGCCCCTGAATCCCCTCTCCTCCTTGGGGGGAAGGGGCAGCTCCCATGTGGGGTTTGTCTCCTGCTTCTGGGAAGGAAAAGGGAGATTAGAGCACCCTTCTGGCACCTGCTGTTTTCTCAGTGCCTTCAGCTCAAAAACAATTCTTATGCCAAAGAGGCATACCTGGGGGAGAGGTTCTGAATTTTGTTACCCCCTCCCCCACTCCTGGCTCCCACCCTCCTTCCTTGTGTCTCTGTGACTCTGACTCCTCCAGGGACCTCATAGAAATGGAATCACATAAGATTTGTCCTCTAGCATCTAGTTCATTTCACTCAACTTCGTGTTATAAGGGCCATCCACGATGGAGCAGGTGTCAGGACCTCTTCCCTGTTTTAAGGCTGAATAGATGTATGGCTAGACCACATTTTGTTTACCAATCTTCCAATGATGGACATTTGGGTTGCTTCCACTTTTAGGCTGTTGTAAGTAATGTTGCTCTGAATGTGAGTGTGTAAGTACTTTTTCAAGACTCTGCTGTCATCTCTTCAGGGTACAGACCACAAATGGAATCCTGGATCACATGGCAGTTCTGTGTGTAATTTTTTGAGGGTTGACTAGTCTGTTTTCCCACGGCAGTTGCACTATTTTGCATTCTTATCTGCAGTGCTCTGGGTCCAACTTCCCCTTTCCTCACCAGTGCTTATTGTTTTCTGGTTTTTGTTTTTTTGATGGTAGCCATCCCGATGAGTGTGAGCTGGTACCTCATTATACTTTTTTTCCCCTGAGGCTTTCTTTTATTTGTTTGTTTTGGCTGCACTGGGTCTTCATTGCTACGCTTGGGCATCTCATTGTGGTAGCTTCTCTGGTTGCAGAGCACAGGCCCTGGACTGCAGGCTCAGCTGTGGCACATGGGCATGGTCACGACGTGGCATGTGGGATCTTCGTTCCCTGACTGGGACGGAGCCCACGTCCCATGCATTGGTAGGCGAACTCTAAGCCACTGGACCACCAGGGAAGCCCCCTCATTGTAGTTTTGATTTGTTCTTCCCTGATGGTCAGTGATGGTGGGCATCTTGTCCCATGCTTAGAGGCTGTGTGTGTTTCATGTGTAAAGATTTGATCATTGCCGTCCATGTGCCGCCCCAGAGCCCTCCGCGGTGTCACTCCCTTGACCCAGTGGCACAGATGCCACTGGAGTTCCCCCGGGGTCCGCGCAGCAGGCGTCCCTCTGGCTCTGGTGCAGGACCTGCCAGTGATTGGGAGGAGCGGGAGGAGCTTCCGCTACAGCCAGGATGTGGTGCTGCTGCTGCTGGCGGATGGCGTGCTGTTCCACCTGCAGAGCGTCACGGCCTACGCGCTCATGGGGAGGATCTCCCCTGTGACCTTCAGGTAAGGACAGGAGATGAGGTGCATCCGGGTCACATGCAGAGGGGAATGCTTGCCATCTGACGTTTTTATCAGAGGGCTCTGTGATTGTGGGTCACAAATGTAGTGATCGCTGTGGCCAGGGGTCGTAATTACTTGGCCACTCTGTATCGGTGCCATTTGAAACATGAATAGGAAAGTCTGTGAAATGGATTTTTAGGGGGATCCCCACTGGGAATCTGTGCACAGAAGAGAGTTCCTTGCAGTGTCATGAGGTACTTCTCCCCAGAACAGCACTGTCTGGGGAATCTCCTGGGATGATGGAGGGTGGGAGCCCCTGGCCATGTGTGGATCCTGAGCACCTGGAACTGGCCAAGTGCTGAGGAGTTGAAGTCTGTTTTTCTGACTTTAATCAGCTCACACTCAGCAGCCCCACATGGCCACTGACTCTCTGCTGGGAACTCAGCCCCAAGCTTGGGTCTCATGAGCTTCTTCCCTAACTGGACAGACTTAGTGCTGATTTGACAGCAGAGGGATTTTGGTAACAGAAAGGAAGGAACCCAGGTCGCTAGCAAGCCTGAAAACCCACCCAGTGATTGTCCTTGGATTTGGCTGTCATATTGTTGTAGAAACCTTTTAGCGGCGTTTTGTCCTTTAACTTCAGAAGAGTTATGGGAGAGCGGGATTGAACACAGAACTGAGGGCCTCAGGGGCCTCATGCTGCTCTCAGACCTGGCAGCGCTCTTCCCACATTCCGGGGGAGGGGCCTCAACGCTGTTGGGGCCGCCTGAGTGACACATGCCTTGACGTTCACACTGTCAGTATGTTTGATGGGTCTGTTTCCTTTAGGACAGCAGGAATTATTTCAAAATATCCCTGAAACTTTGCTTTTCAGTTAGTGATGGTCCATATAGACAGGAAACTGGCTCTTTTTAAGGAAAATAGCTTACGGCAGAAAAATACAAAAGTTAACTTTAAATCATCCAAAATGGCAGCCCAGAAGACAAACCCTTGTCAGCATTGCATCCTCACGAGGTCCCAGCAGTGAGCAAGCAGCATGGTGTCACTCCCAGACCGCTTTCCTAAGGGAACACTTCCCACTCTGGAGAGTAGGCTGCAGTGTTGGGGTGAAAGGCTGTAATGCCTACAGTTCACTTAGAAGTATTTCCGTCAAAGAAAGGACAAAGTAAGGCACAAGGCTGAGCCTGAAGATGGCACCCAGCTCTGCGGTCCCTCTTCTCTGATTTCTGTTTTAGTAGGTAGGACCCCTATACAAAGGGGGGTTGGCGGAGGCGCCCCTGGCCCCGCTGACCTCCCTGCTCTCCTGCAGCGTTGCCAGCACCGTAAAGCACGCCCTGTCCATCTGGCTCAGCGTCATCGTTTTCGGTAACAAAGTCACCAGCCTGTCGGCTGTGGGCACTGTGCTGGTCACAGCTGGCGTCCTGCTCTACAATAAGGCCAAGCAACAGCAGCGCGAGGCCATGCAGAGCCTGGCCTCGGCCACCACCCAGCCCCCGGATGGCAGCTCCGAGCCGCTGCTCCCCCAGGATCCCCGGCCACACCACTGAGCCCTGAAGCCATGGGGGCACCACACCACCGCTTCTTCACTGACAGGGGACCCCCTTTGCCTCTCCCTCCCCGTGGACAGCGCGTGTGGGACCACCTGGCTCCACGGGTCATAGTCATTGTGGGAGGCAAGGTGGGCAGCTTTTTCTGCTTTTTTCTGGGGCTGTGAGTCAGAACTGGCAGGAACTTGAAATGGGTTGGAGAACACAGCTGCCACTGAGCCATGGCCGAGCGCCCTGACAACCTCCTCCCAGCAGCCTCTGCGTGCCCCAGCAACCAGACCAGGCCCTGACTCCTCTGTGAGTGATGACCACTTGGGACAGCTGTGAAGCTGGAGCCGTGTCCAGGTGCCAGCAGGCACCCCCTTATTTGGAGCCAGTGTGGGGAACTGGCTCCTGCATGCCAGCCATCAGCGGTTGCTGGAGTCCACCCTGCTCCTTGGCCACTGGGCGCTCTGCTGGGCTCGGCCAGGCTGAGGCCCCCAGGGCCAGGGCCAGGGCACAGAGGCCACTGCAGTGGGCAGAGAGTGGCACAGTACAGATGGGGTGAGAACCTGGGGTTTCCTGCTCCTGAGGGCAGGGTGTCCATCTCCTCTACCCGAAGCAGAGCTGTCACATCAGTACCACTTAGGGAAGGCGGGCTGCCCCTCCCCACATCTGCTATGCTGAGCCTCCCACCTCCAGAGGGTCCTGTCTCTTGTGGGCAGCCAGGTTGCCCCTCTGAGACCCAGATGTGGTTTCTGGCCTGAAAGCTGCAGGTAGATGGCCACAAGGCAGGGCGGGCCTGTATCCCTTCTGTTCCCATACTTGTAGGTTACAGGCAGGCTCTTTTAAGGGGCTCAGGGAGCCCCTGTTTCCACCCAGCCGGTCTGGAGCCTCCTGGTCTCATTGACAAGGGTGTTACTGATTTCCCCCTCGTGAATGATAAGCAGGATGAATGTGGAGTGTTTACACTTTTGTTATGCTGCATTTTAAATGACAGTGTAGGTTTTAAAAGGAAACAGAGGCACAGATGGCTTCTGGAATGCATGGAGTATGCCAGGTAAACCAGAGTCAGACCCATGGCCCAGCCCGGCCCTCCTCCCCCAGGGCAGGCAGACAGACAGACAGGTGTTTGAGGCTCCACCTCTCTCTTTACTCCTCGCCCCAAATCCTGTTGGAACTTCTGGTCAGGGTGTAGCCCCTCTCCCACCTACCAGACTTGAGCTCTGGGACTTGTCAGGCACAGCCCAACTCAGGGGCCGTGGGCTGGCCACCTGCCCATCTCTAGCCGGCCTGCGGGACGGAGCGACCCGAGGGCACAAATGGCCCACGAGTCCTGGGAACAGTCGCTGCTGTCCAGGCCCCAGCACCTTAATTGCTTCTCTGGTTTTCTGGTTGGCTTCTCAACTGGAAAATATAAACCAGCCCTTCCTGGAGAGCAAGTCTCTTGGAAACAAAGAGCAATAAGTGCGTCTCATTAAGTTCTTTTGACTTTGAAAGTCTGTCGTGATGAGGGATTAAAAATGGGGCCTTTTAACTACAACCTTTTATGAAGCTGACCTCCTTGCTCAGAGGTCGGCAGGTCACATGCAGCTTCCCTGTGCAGAGGTAGCTGGTGTCTTTCCCAGGTTTTCCCCCTTTCCTCTTTTTCTGTTTACCCCTAAACAAAGCTAAAGAGGACTGGGGCAGTGGTTGGGGCGGCACACTGCTCTGTGAGGACCAGAGGGAAAGCACCACTTCCGGGGGGCTCTGGCCTCTGACCTCAGACTGGGGCCACAACACCTGCAGCTACAGGCGAGACATGAAGAAGGGGAGCGTGTGTGTCGCCAGGTGCAGACTGTCATCCGAGAGTGATCAGGTGCCAGCTGCTTGTGTCTGAGTGTTGTTAGGGGCCTGTTGTGATTTTCCAGATCTGGGGACCAGAAAGATTTCCCTAAATTATTAGTAAATGAGGCAGTTTCTAGCAAAGCTGCTTTTGGGGTATCCCCTTATCCCCAGCAGGGAATCCGGGGCCTGGCGCCCATGGGACACATGCTATGGCCACATTCCGTCCATTGACTCTGCCCCAAGTCATCCACATGGTGGGCATTTCTGGGAGGAGAGTCAAACCCCACAGCCTGCGTGGGCGTTTGCTTAATAACTGTACAGACATGTTTTTAATTAACTTTGCCTAGTAGTTTTCTAGTATGTTCCTTTCACTGAACCGTCGCAGGCCAGCTTGTACCAACGCCAATACTAGGTCCATTTCCTCTGGGTCCATGGTCGTTGTCCATGTCTTTGTAAACAAACTCATGAACCAGGCTTCCAACTCTGGTCATCTGCTTGCTTGCATCAATACTTAGAGATCTCTGGCTTTCAAGGAAATTTCCACTGTTGAGTGGCATGAAAGGCTTTTTTTTTAAAAAAAGAATTCTGATAGTCATAACTTCCTGCATATTAGCATTAAAATCATCGCCTTGGAAAGCTGAGAATACTCTTGCATAATCCAAAATGTGTCTTTAATTTGTAAATTGTACAATTAAAAAAGTGCTGCACGAAGAGTAAGCCACATGGAACCGAGCTAGCCGCAGGCCCTTGAAATACTTGCCCCAAACTGAGGGACTTTGCCTCCCGTGTGGCACTGACTATCCTGTGGATGGTCGTTTATAGACATATCAGCAGAGACCACAGAAACACAACATGACTTTCTACATCTGTCCAGGGGATGTGCTTCCTGAGGCCTGGAAGTGTTTTCACTATTTACCTAGGTTGGAAAAATTAAACAAGGATGCTATTACAGGTAGAAACCCTCTTCTGTTTGCCTGTGACCAATGTTGTAGTAAGGGTGCTGTTCTTTTCCAGAATACGTTCACGCCCTGGTTGGGACCTCTTCATTTTCCTAGCTTATAATAAGATGGTTCCTACTTCCCTGATGAGTCGGCCTGTTTCTCCTGAAGAGCAAAGAGCAACCAGGTGGTTGGGCCGACCATTATACCCTGATGCTCTGGGTATAAAACCTTCCAGTTTTCTCTCTCTGTAGTATTTCCTCCTCTTCTCCAGAGGGCTTGGATGCTGCCATTGTATCCTTGCCTAGATGTCCAGACTGACTTGGAAACTGTTCTAATTAGCCAAGTCTTTTTTTTTTCTTGCTTTTCACTTGAGGGAAACTGGCATTCAGTTGATGTGCCATTTCTAGACTGTAGATGTGTGAGTTGAGTCTGAACCCACCCAGGGAGTATTGTGGACCCATCATTGCAGAGGGTCACAGTGAGGGTGACTTTCCCATACTGAAAAACTTGAAAATTATATGAATAAATTTATATCAGAACCAAATTATACTTGCTTTACACCAAAAAAAAAAAAAAAACTGTGGAGAACTAGAAGTACATTATTCAAAATTTTAGTGTTTTTTATTTCACCTATTCCAGTATTTATGCAATTAGATCAATTTTTCCTAGAAAAATGGTGGTTACATAATTTAGTGAGTCACTGTGTATTCTGCTATACATCAATGCTGTATAATTAATCCTGTGGATGCCTACTGGTTACTTTGTCCAAGTTAAGCTACCATGGTAGCAACTACCTAGGACTCTTGTTCTACAAAAGTAAAATAAATGTTCAGTGTGTACTTTGTTTTCTCCTCTGTGTAAGTCTCAAGTGTTTGGGCTACTGAAATGAACATGGGTGGGTTCTTAATGTCTTCATCTGTTTTTTGAAGGCTTTTCCTGTCACCAAAAACTCAGGAAGCAAAACAAGAGCTTGGGCACAGAAAAAACAATTGTTTCTGGGAAGAGAAAGAATCTCACTTCCACACACCCTCTTTGGGCCCTAATTTCTTGTCAGAATTCTTCTACATTTTCCATTTCTGACCAGGTAGTAAACTGGAGGTGGCGTTAAGTGGTAAAGAATTCGCTTCCCAAAGCAGGAGATGCAAGAGAGGAAGGTTCAGTCACTGGGTTGGGAAGATCCCCGGAAGGAGGAAATGGCAACTCCAGTATTCTTGCCTGGAAAATTCCATGAACAGAGGCGCCTGGTGAGCTACAGCCCATGGGGTCGCACAGAGTCGGACACGACTGAGCGCACACACTGCAAGTGAATGATACTTGTTTACCGTTCTCTTCCTGATATTCACGATGTCGCATTACCATTTTTCTGTGACCACAAAGGTTCGAAGAATAATTTGCTTGAACCTGAGCAGCTTTGAGGCCGAACCTCAGGATTCAACGTCTTTAAAAACCTTCGCAGGGGAGCCTGAGTAAGCACTAACTTTGAGTCATCCCTGGTCTTCGCACAGCTTAAAATTCTGCGGTAACCGCTCTCCCGCCCCGCTCCGTAAGCAAGATTCGTCTTCTCTTAGGAAGATTCAGGGTCTTGCCCCGGGGTCACGGGAGTGGGTAAGAGAGGACGCAGTCACAACCACCCAGCCAGGCTGGCCTAGATACCTGCCGGCTCCGATCTTCAGCCCCTAAAGTCGTCACCAGCCTGCGCCAAAGCCGGAAGTGACGCGCAGCGCACTCCCGGAACTCTGTTCAGGTCGGGAGTCGGCGGCGGGGACGCGTCTTAGCTCGTCATCAGCCCGGCGCCGACGCAGGAAGTGACGACATTCCTGTCGCGCGCCGGGCGCTGTTTCTTTTCAGGCTCCGGGACCGGCGGCGGCGGCGCAGGGGTAAGTGGAGGCGGGACGGGCCGGGCAGGGGCCATGGCGCGACCAGCTAGCTCACTCGATCTCTCCGGTCCCGGCGGGCCTCGGGCGCGTGAATCAGGCTGGGCTACACTCCTCGCCTCCCTGGTCCATCTCGCCCTACGCGGAACTCGGAATCGTGGAGGCGGCGGGCCCAGGCGTTCCCCGAGCTAACTCCAGCCCGGCCGAACCCCGGATTAGCACAACTGAAACTCCAAAACCGGGAACCGCTTCCTGGTTTGCGAGCGCGCCCTTCGAGTCCTTCACTCCCAGACCTCCCCTAATCTTGTGATGGGGCTGCTGCCGTCATATGGGCCAGTGGCCCACTCGGCCCAGGTGGTCTTTAAAATAAATCCTCCTGACGGCGAGAACAGTGCTTGGTGAGTGCCAGATACCTAACTGCGAGCTTTACCTGGGAGGTCTCACTTAACCCTCTGTGATAGTCATATAGGTGGTTTTCTTACCGTTTACAGAATGGTAAACTGAGGTGAGGTAACTTGCCCTAGACCGTACAGGAGTGACATAAAAGAGATTGGAGTACAAGCAGTCGCTTTCCGCGACCCATCACTCTTTTTTTGAAACCTTTTTTACCCCCTGTATTTTCAGTTGTTAAAAATTATAGTTGATTTACGGTGTTGTAAATGTTGTGAATGTTTCTGCTGTACAGCAGTGATTCAGTTACACATATATATATATACACACACGCACACACACACGTTTTCATATTCTTTTCCATTATGATTTATCACAAGAAATTGAAAATAGTTCTCTGTGCTGTACAGTTGGATTTGGCTGTTTATCCACCGTATATATACTAGTTTGCATCTGCTAATCCCAAAGTCCCACTCCATCTCATTTCCATCTCTTCCCCTTGGTAACCCCCAGTCTGTTGTATATGTCTGTGAGCCTGTTTCATAGATAAATTCACTTATGTCATATGTTCAAGTCCGCGTATAAGTGATATCATAAAGTATTAGTCTCTATTTCTGACTTAGTATGATAATCTCTAGGTCCATCTATGTTGCTGCAAATGGCATTTCATTTTTTTTTTTTATGGCTAAGTGGTATTCCAGTGTGTGTGTGTGTGTGTGTAAGGCATATATAGGTATATATGCCACATTTTTATCCAATCATCTGTCAGTACACATTCAGATTTTTTCCATGTCTTGGCTATTGTGAACAGTGCTGCTATGAACATAGAAGGTGTGTGTGTAACTTTCTTAATTATAGTTTAGTCTGGATATATGCTCAGGAGCGGGATTGCTGGGTCATAGGGTAGCTCTGTTTTTAGTTGTTGTTTTTTTTTTTTTTTTTTAGTTTTTTGAGGAGCTTCCATTCTGTTCTCCATAGTGGCTGCACAAATTTACATTCCCACCAACAATGTTGGAGGGTTCCGTTTTCTCCACACCCTCTCCAGCATTTGTTATTTGTTATCATTCAGTCAGTCATGTCTTACTCTTTTCGACCCTATGGACAGACACACCAGGCTTCCCTGTCCTTCATGATCTCCCGGAGCTTGCTCAAACTCATGTCCATTGAGTCAGTGATGCCATCCAACCATCTCATCCCCTGTCGTCCCTTTCTCCTCCTGCCTTCAATCTTGCCCAGCATCAGTCTTTTCCAATGAGTCAACTCTTTGCCTTTAACAATTTTCAGAATAAATGAACCAGTAATGATGGCCATCCTGACTAGTGTGAGGTGATGCCTCATTGTATTTTTGATTTACATTTCTCTGATAATTAGTGATTTTGAGCATCTCTGCATATGCCTGTTGATCATTTGTATTTCTTCTTTGGAGAAATGTCTATATTCAGGTCTTCAGTCCATTTTTCGATTGAGTTTTTTGGGTTTTGTTATTGAGTTGTGTGAGCTGTTTGTATATTTTGGAAATTAAACCCTTGTCAGTCACATTGTTTGCAGATATTTTCTCCCAGACCATAGGTTGTCTTTTCGTTTTGTTCGTCATTTTCTTTGCTGTGCAAAAGCTTGTAAGTTTGATCAGATCCCATTTGTTTAGTTTTGCTTTTATTTCTATTGTCTTGGAGACTTACTAAGGAAACATTGGTATGGTTTATGTCAGATATTGTTTTGCCTGTGACATCTTCCAGGAGTTTTAGGGTGTCATGTCTTATGTTTAAGTCTTTAAGCCATTTTGAGTTTATTTTTGTGTATGGTGTGAGGATGTGTTTGAATTTCATTGATTTATATTCAGCTGTCTAACTTTGCCAGCACCACTTGCTGAAGAGATTGTCTTTTCCCCATGGTATATTCTTGCCTCCTTTGTCGAAGAATAATTGACTGTAGGTGTGTGGGTTTATTTCTGGCATAGCCCATCTTTCTTAACAAAGATTTCTGCTGAAGCACTCAAAAGTGGTGAGGCAAAAATGTTCAGGAACAGCATAGCATCAAACCATAGCTTGCTGTGTCCTGATGCAGTTTGAATTCTTGTCTTTTTGCAGTGTTTTAACTCAAATGGGTGATGAAAAGGACTCTTGGAAAGTGAAAACCTTAGATGAAATTCTTCAGGAAAAGAAACGAAGGAAGGAACAAGAGGAGAAAGCAGAGATAAAACGCTTAAAAAATGTAAGCCATGTTTTTTAGTAAGTGTTTTATTTTAAAGGAGATTTAATTTCTTTGCCCTCATTTTTCCATTAGAACAACGCTTCTTCGGTGAAGTTCTTTTGTACTTCCAAATGTCTCAGGTGAGCCCAAAATCTATTCTAAACATTAACAAAAACATTCAGATGCTCAGTTTACTTTGAAGACAGGTTGATAACGTACTAAAAAGCTGTATATAGATGACCACAGCTACATGGAAAATGAAGTATTTTGAACCTAAAATCATTAGTGCAGTTGAACTAATTCTTCTCATTTCATCATTATATTCATGATAGCATTTCCAAGTATTTCTGCTATAGTAGGAAGTTGCCTTGAAATTAATGTTTTACACCTTTCTTGATTTGCCTAATAACATAGGAAAACTTTAGTGATTTAATGAGGAGCATTGGAAAAAAAACCTCTTCTTTAAAATTAGCAACAGACTTTTCTTACATATTTATGAGATATTGCAAATTATTTGGTGTATGAAGTATGCTTTAAGGCTCAGTTTTGGCTCATATAAACAACTAACATACTTGGCATAGAGTCTAATGTCCCTTTACATATATGCTGGTTTTAATTTCTCAGGTTCTGGTTTACAGAGTTATTTGTAATTCTGATGTCAAGGGATTTGAATTAAAGTTTTTTAGATTTTATCACATTGGTCATATGAAAAAGTGTGTATGAAAGTTGGTTTGGGGATTTTGGCAAGGTTTGCGTCATATTAAAAATAGGCTTATCAGTAAGGAAAAGTACTCTCTCCTTGCTTCTTAGTCTGATGACCGGGATTCCAAGCGGGATTCCCTTGAGGAGGGGGAGCTGAGGGACCACCGCATGGAGATAACAATAAGGAACTCGCCGTACAGAAGAGAGGACTCCATGGAAGACAGGTGAGTGGGGTGTGGCCCCAAAGAGCCCACAAGCTGCAGGTGCGCTCACATCTGACTGTGTGTGACCCCGGCTGGCCCTTCTCAGTGTGATTTTGTAAGCTGGAGGTCACGGCCTCCATGGAAATGAGCCTTGTGTGGTGTCAGGTACCAGCTCCCCACTCTGCTTAGGAGAAGTGTGAGTGTGTGTTCCTTTGTGATTGCTCTTCAGTGAAGTCAGCACAACTCACATAGTACATTTAAGGAATTGTGTGTGTGATGATTTCTATAAGTACTGTCTAAAATTATCTACAAATAAACCAGAGTTGCTGCTGAAAGATACTTGAGCGAGGCCTAGGAGAAACAGAAACAGTCCTGCCAAAGCTGTACCTCTGACATTTCTTCCTGTTCTTTGGCTTCTCCTCAGTTTTTTTTCCTTCATGTCCATCATCAAACAACCAAAAACACTATAACCCAGAAATTAAGGCAAAAAGGTATAGACTGTGCATTCTCCCAAGGTTTTGGTTTTATACTCAGTTGAGAATATGAAATGACCTTTTGAGATCATTAAGTTTGACTAAAATTATGGGACCTTCTTTTTTAACAGCTTTTGTAAGTGAGAGACTGCACAGATTTAATGTATGCAGTTCGATAAGTTGTTGTACACGATCAAGATAATTAACACTGCATGTCTGTCACACCCTAGAGTTTCCTCAGAGAGCATTTTTGTTCCCTGTAGCACACGGATATCCACTGTACTTTCCATCAGAATCTGTGTTTAATATACAGTTTGGGCTTAAGCTTCATAATCATTGTTGTTAAAGTCACTAAGTCGTGTCTGGCTCTTTTGCGACCCCAGCGGACTATAATCCACAAGGCTCCTCTGTCCTTGGGATTTCCCTGGCAAGAATACTGGAGTGGATTGCCATTTCCTTCTCCAGGGGATCTTCCCTACCCAGGGGTGGAACACACGTCTCCTGCATTGGCAGGCGCGTTCTTTACGGCTGAGCCACCAGGGAAGCCTGAGTGTTACAATGAGCACAGTCTTTGAGCTGACGGTTGAGGCTCTCCTTTATGTTCTGAACCCTTCCTTTCCCTGGGTTGGGGAGACTCTCTGTTGCCCTGGTGCTCCCTACGTCCCTCTCAGGTGACATAATGCCATGGTGTCTCATTGCAGAGGAGAGGAAGATGATTCTTTGGCCATCAAACCACCCCAGCAGATGTCTCGGAAGGAAAAAGCACATCACAGGAAAGACGAAAAGAGAAAAGAGAAACGTAGGCATCGAAGTCACTCAGCAGAAGGGGGTACAGAGCATTTGTTTCATTTTGTGTTGTGTTCAGATATGGTCTCCTTCCTACTTCATGATCTGCTACGTTCTTCAGAGCACAGATGAGAGAGAAGAGAATAAAATTTTAGCTAAAAGTATAAATTTATTATAGATCATTCTTTTTTTTTTTTTTTTAATTTATTATAGATCATTCTGAATAGATACTTCATTTTCCTTCTGGTGTGTTTTCCCCTCACTTCATTGTTCTGGGGAAGCTGGTCTGTCTATAAAATTGTTTTAATTCAGTGTGGGAAAGCCACTCTTTAGTGCTCAATTGCTTTTAAGAAACAGATGCTTGATAAAGTCCAAGTAGTGGGTTTGCTGTCACACTGTTATCAGAGCTTCTTAGGGGTGTTGGGAAAATGAACCTGGGCCTGATGTAAATCTTGTTAAATGCAGTTGGCTTAATGTGGTTTAGAATGTGATGCAGAAACTAGAAGAAGTTAATCTTTGTCTTGTGTTCTTTACAAGTGATGACTTTTTTAAAATCATGAGACCGATGTAGCCTAATATTACAGCTTATTTAATACAGAAAATTAAGAAGAGAAGATAGAGACCACAGTTCTGTTCAGTGATAATCACATTATTTTTGTTTTTTTTCTTAACTTCAGGTGTACGGCGTAGTTTTATGCCTTCATCTTTTTTCTTTTTTTTAACAAAAGTCATGGTTGTTTCTACTAGTTTTTTTTTTTTAATTATTTTTGGCTGCACTGGGTCTTCATTGCTACTCAGGCTTTCTCTAGTTGCAGCAAGCAGGGGCTACTTTTTGTTCCAGTGCAGGTTTCTCATTGCAGTGGCTTCTCTTGTTGCAGAGCACGGGCTCTAGGGCACACAGGCTTCAGTAGTTGAGGCACACGGGCTTAATTGCTCTGCAGCATGTGGGATCTTCCTGGACTGGGAATCGAACTCTTGTCCCCTGCATTGGCAGGCATATTCTTAACCACTGCACCACCAGGGAAGTCCCTCTCCAAGTCACTGATTAGATATTTTTTCCTTTTTTCTCTGGGTATTGTTGAGTTTTGGAGGTTAAGTCTCCTCTCACGACACATGCTGTTTGCCCATAGGGAAGCATGCCAGAGTGAAAGAGAAGGAGCGAGAGCACGAGCGCCGGAAGCGGCACCGGGAGGAGCAGGACAAGGCTCGGAGGGAGTGGGAGCGGCAGAAGCGGAGGGAGCTAGCTCGGGAGCACTCGCGCAGGGAGAGGTAGGTGCCCTGACAACAGCAGAGATGTGGGCAGGCAGGTCATACACGGACAGGAACTGGGCAGGAAGCAGCCCAGAGGCTTGTCCCGGAGGAAGTGAGGGTTCCCTGCACATGGGACTGCATGTGTGAGGTGACAGAAGTTGACGAGGGGAACAAAAACCTGTGCACCAGCTTCCTCCAGGCGGAGGCTGCTCAGGTGCCCAGGAGCCCGGCTGAGCGGGCAAGAGAGTGTGGTCCTGACTCAAGGCAGAGTCCTCGCCTCAGCTTCTGAGGTGGTCCCTCAGGGAGGGATACTGCTGGAGGGAGCTGGGGGTCTAGGAGGAGCTAAGAGGTGAGGAGTGAAGGTTTGGTTCAGACTTGCAGCAGTGGGGGAAGGAGAGTAGGGCGGGGTGGCAGCCAATAGGAGGTGGGGGGCTATCCACACCCTGAGATGACATCCGTGTGGGGTTGGTAAGGGACGAGCCTGGAGCGAGGCGGGCTAGGCCGCTGTCCCATCCCAGTGGAGCCGTCCTGGAGGCGGCTCATCCCTGCGTGTACCACCTGCAGCAGAATCAGCAAGGAGGGGCTTCGGTGTGAGTGACTAAACCGCCTGCTTGGTTGTGGGTGTGTGCTAGGCACCTGCTCTGTTCTAGGGACCTTGTCCAGGAAGACTGACCGACAAGGCATATTGCTTAGGTTCCCAGGGGTTACAGCAGAAATAGACTCGAGTTCTTCCAAACAAACAAAAAAGACAAAGAAACCCCAAAGGCCCTGAAATGGCCAGGAGTTAGGACACCAGCCTCTGGTGCTTTTGTCTCCAGGGGCCTCTCTGTGGGCTCAGAGTCCCAGAGGAGCGTCTGTTAACCCAGGTCTATCCTCCATGGCCTAGGTGTGACCCTAGACTACCTCTGTGTCCTGTGGTCATTTCCAGGGAGAGCTTGGGAGCGGGGCTGCTCTACAGGAGGGGAGTAGCGGAGTGAAAGGTGTGGACATTCCCAGCAGCTGGGGCCCCACCAAGGACAGGGAAGGCAGGTGTGAGAATGGTCTATGTTTGCAGGCCCCATGCTCTGTCCAGTGTGGTGTGGGCACACAGCTATGCTGACACAGTAGTAACCCCAAGGAAGCCATGCTTGAAAATAAAGAGAAGCACATGGAACAGTGCAGCAGTGGCCACACTATACAAGGCGACACGAGCTGACAGGGTTAGCCTCACAGTCACTGAATGGCAGCAACTGGAAGGAAAGGTTGGAAGGCATGGTTGCTGCAGGACATTGTCTAGAATGTCCAGTGTTCAACACAGAGCTCTGAGACAAAGAAACAAGGTTTAACCCTTTCTAAGGAAGAAAAACACCATAGAAACAGTGTGTTCCAGACTTGGCGAAGACCTGGAAGCATGGAACTTGAAGATGGACATCGTGCCTTCTAATGACAGTGAGGAAAAGGTTGAAGAAAGGCTGAGAGAGACTCAAGAACCAAGGGACAGTGTCTGCGGGACCAGCATGTGCACAGCAGTATTCTTGGAAGGAAGGGGGAACAGCTGAAAATGTCCCAAATTTGATGAAAGGTATTTATGTACATGTCAGAGAAGCTCAGTGAACCCTGAATAGGATAAGTACAAAGTAACAGTGGCACTGGGAAAACCAATGAGAAATTGGGGAAGGGCAGGAATACTGGTACCCCAGAATTCTGTGTCCATCACAGCCTGCCTCACAAGTGAAGGGCAGGTAAGCAGAGGCTCTCTGCCAGCAACGTGGGCCTTCCGGGAAATGGCTTAAGGACAACCTTCAAGCTGAGCAGATATGACACCAGAAGATAAGGCCAGCCCTGGGCGTGGCTGAATTGCAGGTTAAGACGAAAGCCCCTGTAAACATGCTTCTCCTCCCATCTTGTCTGAATTACTACAAGAGACACAAGATTGCATAAAACAATGATTAAAACACTGTGGTCAAGTAGCCATAATGTGTATAAACTGCAGGAGGAAATAGGATTGGGAGCTGTATGTGAACAAGATCTGCATTTCCTGGAGCTTGATCTCATAAGATGCACACTGCAATCTCTAGAGCAACTTCTAAAAAATAGTAAATAGAGGAATTAAAATGGTTTGCTAAAAATCCTCATTTAAACCCCAAACGGGTAACTGCCTGGTTTCCAGTGATTAGGACTCCTCCTTCTGCCGCAGGGGGCCTGGTTTTGATCCCCAGTTGGGAAATTAAGATTCTGTACGCCTCATGGTGCAGCCAAAAAGAACCCATCCCAACTGGGAGAAACAGAGAAACCAAAAAACAAGACAAAAGAAGGTGGGGGTACAGGGGGCAGCACCAGCTGTATCCATAGTTACATTCAGTGTGAGATGGTCTCTGCACCAAATATGGGAGAGCCTGGCAGACAGAAAAGCAAGATCCAGCTGTGTGCTGTGTCAAAGGGACATCTTAGAGTTGGAGTGGGTTGAAAGTAAAGGAGGAGGACTTTGCTGAAAGTCCAGTGGATAGGATTCCATGCTTCCAATGCAAGGGGTCCAGGTTCGATCCCTGGTCGTGGAACTAGGATCCCACACCCCATGTGGCAGCCAGAAAATGAAATGATGGGAAAGGATGGCCCATGCACATAACAACGGTAAAAGGGCCTGAGTGGCTACACTGACGTCAGACAAAATGGATGTTATGAGAGACACTGAAGGTAGAGACCCTCGACATAAATGCAGAGCAGGAAGATGTGACCAGGATAAATGTTTTGGCACCTGGCGTTGGACCCCAACCTGAACACAACTGAAGGGAGTACTAGTCCATTGACTCTGGGTGGAAGCATTGGGGGTCCCATGCCAGTCATCAATAGTAAAGCTGGAGAAAATCAGCAAAGATGTAGATAATTTGGAAGATGCTACCAGCCAAACGTCATGACAGGTGGGCACAGCAATGCAGCTGTAGGGCACAGCAATGCAGCTGTAGGACACACATCATCTGAAAGCTTCTAGGGTGTGTTTCCACAAAACTCCAAGCTGTGTAAGGAGTCTCAAAAGAATTGAGGCCAAACAAAATATGCTATCATCACAGAAGAGTTCAATTAAAGATAGCAACAGAAAGAAACTGGACCAGGCGGGGTATCCTCAGGTGTTTCAAATCCAACAACCTATTTCTGAAAAACCTATGGCCTTCACAAGAAATGATAAGGAAAAATACAAAATATTTGACTTTTTATTTTTCGGGGCCAAAAAATACACACAGCTTGTGGGATCTCAGTTCCCTGACCAGGGATCGCACCCAGGCCCCGCCAGTGGACGCACCTGGCCCTTACCTCTGGTGCCCCAGGACTCCCTGACGGCGGTTTGCACTGAATGAGAACAGAGGCGGTGTGGGAACTGGGGCTGCGGCTGCCCTTGCGCGTGGAGTGCAGTGTTTCGGCTGCAAGCACCTGAGCCAGAGCCCTGCGGGGGCTGCAGCTCCCCTCCTTTCCTTAGATGGGAGGCTCAGGAAGACTTGCCTCCTAGTAGAAGTGGATTAAAATTGTGCGCACCTGGGGAAAGCCTTGGTGCGTCTCAGAGCATCAGATGAGCAGAATGTTCTGGACCAAGTGGGGCTTCAGCCCCAGGCAGTTAACCTCCTTGGGCCAGAACTTCCCTAACTCTCCCCATCGTTAGGGATGGGGTTAACAGGACTTGAGTTCTGGTTTTTAAAAGCCCTTGGTGGGGGACTTCCCTAGTGGTCCAGTGGCTAAGGCTCCATGCTCCCAATGCAGGGGGCTCGGGGTTCAATCCCTGGTCAGGAAAGTAGATCCCACATGCTGCAACTAAGACCCAACACAGTCAAAGAAATAAATAAAAAACAAATATTGTTTTAAAAAAATAAATAAATAAAAGCCCTTGGTGGGCTGAAAAACCCAGTTCAGTTCAGTTGCTCAGTCGTGTTGGACTATGCACCCCACAGATTGCAAAACGCCAGACTTCCCTGTCCATCACCAACTCCCAGAGCTTGCTCAGACTCATGTCCATCGAGTCGGTAATGCCATCCAACCATCTCATCCTCTGTTGTCCCCTTTTCCTGCTGCCTTCAATCTTTCCCAGCATCAAGGTCTTTTTTCCAAAGAATCATTTCGTTGCATCAGGTGTCCAAAGTATTGGAGTTTCAGCTTCAGCATCAGTCCTTCCAATGACTATACAGGACTGATTTCCATTAGGATTGATTGGTTTGATCTCCTTGCAGTCCAAGGGACTCTCAGAGTCTTCTCCAATACCACAATTCAAATGCATCAATTCTTCAGTGCTCAGCTTTCTTTATGAGAGCTTTCTAACTCTCACATCCACACATGACTACTGGAAAAACCATAGCTTTGCCTAGACGAAACTTTGTTGGCAAAGTAATGTCTCTGCTTTTTAATATGCTGTCTAGGTTGGTTATAGCTTTTCTTCCAAGGAGCAAGCGTCTTTTAATTTCATGGCTGCAGTCACCATCTGCAGTGATTTTGGAGCCCAGAAAAATAGTCTCGCTGTTTCCACATTTTCCCCATCTATTTGCCATGAAGTGATGGGACCGGATGCCATGATCTTAGTTCTTGACTGTTGAATTTTAAGCCAGCTTTTTCACTCTCCTCTTTCACTTTCACAAGAGGCTCTTTAATTCTTTGCTTTCTGCCATAAGGGTGGTGTCATCTGCATATCTGAGGTTATTGATATTTCTACTGGCAGTCTTGATTTCAGCTTGTGTGTCATCCAGCACAGCACTTCACATGATGTATTCTGCATATAAATTAAATAAGCAGGGTGACATTATACAGCCTTGGCTTACTCCTTTCCCAATTTGGAACCAGTCCGTTGTTTCATGTCTGGTTCTCACTGTTGCTTCTTGACCTGCATACAGATTTCTCAGGATGCAGGTAAGGTGGTCTGGTATTTCCATCTCTTGAAGAATTTTCCACAGTTTGTTGTGATCCACATAGTCAAAGGCTTTGGTGTACTAAATAAAGCAATAGTAGATGTTTTTCTGGAACTCTCTTGCTTTTTCGATGATCCAGTGGACGTTGGCAAGTTAATCTCTGCTTCCTCTGCCTTTTCTAAATCCAGCTTGAACATCTGGAAGTTCTTGGTTCATGTACTATGGAAGCCTCGATTGGAGCATTTTGAGCGTTACTTTCCTAGCATGTGAAATGAGTACAATTGTGTGGTAGTTTGAACATTCTTTGGCATTGCCTTTCTTTGATTGGAATGAAAACTGACCTTTTCCAGTCCTGTGGCCACTGCTGAGTTTTGCAAATTTGCTGGCATATTGAGTGCAGCACTTTGACATCTTTCAGGACTTGAAATAGCTCCACTGGAATTCCATCACTTCCACTAGTTTTGTGTGTAGTGATGCTTCCTAAGGCCCACTTGACTTTGGACTCCAGGATATCTGGTTTTGGTGAGTGATCACACCATCTTGGTTATCAAGATCATTAAGATCTTTTTTGTATAGTTCTGTGTATTACTGCCACTTCTTAATATCTTCTGCTTCTGTTAGGTCCATGCCGTTTCTGTCTTTTATTGTGCCTGTCTTTGCATGAAATGTTCTCTTGGTATCTCTAATTTTCTTGAAGAGATCTCTAGTCTTTCCCATTCAATTGTTTTTGTCTATTTCTTTGCATTGATCACTGAGGAAGGCTTTCTTATCTCTCCTTGCTATTCTTTGGAACTTTGCATTTAGATGGGTATATCTTCCCTTTTCTCCTTTGCCTTTCGCTTCTCTTCTTTTCACAGCTATTTGTAAGGCCTCCTCAGACAACCATTTTGCCTTTTTGCATTTCTTTTTCTTGGGGATGGTCTTGATCCATGCCTCCTGTAGAATGCACGAGCCTCCATCCATACATCTTAACGGCACTCTGTCTATCAGATCTAATCCCTTGAATCTATTTGTCACTTCCACTGTATAATTGTAATGGATTTGATTTAGGTCATACCTGAATGGCCTAGTGGTTTTCCCTACTTTCCTGCATTTAAGTCTGAATTTGGCAATAAGGAGTTCATGATCTGAGCCACAGTCAGCTCCCAGTCTTTTTTTTGCTGACTGCATAGAGCTTCTTCATCTCTGGCTGCAAAGAATATAATCAGTCTGATTTCGGTGTTGATCATCTGGTGATGTCCATGTGTAGAGTAGTCTCTTATGTTGCAAGAGGGTGTTTGCTATGATCAGTGCATTCTCTTGGCAAAACTCTGTTAGCCTTTGCCCTGCTTCATTCTGTACTCTAAGGCCAAACTTGCCTCTTACTCCAGGTATCTCTTGACTTCCTACTTTTGCATTCCAACCCCCTATGATGAAAAGGACATCTTTTTTTGGTGTTAGTTCTAAAAGGTCTTGCAGGTCATCATAGAACCATTCAACTTCAGCTTCTTCAGCATTACTGGTTGGGGAATAGACCTGGATTACTGTGTTATAGAATGGTTTGCCTTGGAAACGAACAGAGATCATTCTGTCATTTTTGAGATTGCACCCACATACTGTATTTAACTTGTATGCAGAGTACATCATGTGAAATGCTGGGCTTGATGCCACAAGCTGGCATCAAGATTGCTGGGAGAAATATCAATAACCTCGGATATGCAGATGACACCACCCTTATGGCGGAAAACGAAAAGGAACTAAAGAGCCTCTTGATGAAAGTGAAAGAGGAGAGTGAAAAAGCTGGCTTAAAATTCAGCAGTCAAAAAACAAAGATCATGGCATCCGGTCCCATCACTTCATGGCAAATAGATGGGGAGACAATAGAAACAGTAACAGACTTAATTTTCTTGGGCTCCCAAATCACTGCAGATGGTGACCGCGGCCATGAAATTAAAAGACACTTGCTCCTTGGAAGAAAAGCTTTAACCAACCTAGATAGCATATTAAAAAGCAGAGACATTACTTTGCCAACAAAGTTTCGTCTAGGCAAAGCTATGGTTTTTCCGATAGTCATGTATGGATGTGAGAGTTGGACCATAAAGAAAGCTGAGCACTGAAGAATTGATGCATTTGAATTGTGGTATTGGAGAAGACTCGAGAGTCCCTTGGACTGCAAGGAGAGCAAACCAGTCCATCCTAAAGGAAATCAGTCCTGAATATTCATTGGAAGGACTGATGCTGAAGCTGAAGTTCCAGTCCTTTGGCCACCTGATGGGAGGAGCCGACAGGTTGGAAAAGACCCTGATACTGGGAAAGATTGAAGGCAGCAGGAGAAGGGGACGACAGAGGATGAGATGGTTGGATGGCATCACTGACTCCGCGGACATGAGTTGGAGCCAGCTACAGGAGTTGGTGATGGACATCCATTTCTTCTAAGGGATTCTTGCCCACAGTAGTAGATACAATGGTCATCTGAATTAAATTCTCCCATTCCTGTCCATTTCAGTTCACTGATTCCTAAAATGCTGATGTTCACTCTTGCCATCTCCTGTTTGACCACTTCTAATTTACCTTAATTCAGGGACCTAACATTCCAGGTTCCTATGCAATATTGTTTTTTACAGCCTCGGACTGTGTACCTCCATCTCCAGTCACATCCACAACTGGGTGGTGGTTTCGCTTTGGCTCCTTCACTTCATTCTTTCTGGAAGTATTTCTCCACTCTTCTCCAGTAGCATATTGGGCACCTACCAACCTAGGGAGTGCATCTTTCACTGTTATAGCTTTCTGCCTATTCATACTGTTCATGGGGTTCTCAAGGCAAGAATACTGAAATGGCTTGCCAGAGAGGCAGTTTATAAATGCGAGCAAAAGCACTGAGGGCCAAAAAGAAAGCTTCTGCTTTCGGGGGTGAGAAAAGATTTGGCGTACTCCTGTTCCAGGGACCGCCTCGAGCAGTTAGAGAGAAAGCGAGAACGGGAGCGCAAGATGCGGGAGCAGCAGAAGGAGCAGCGGGAGCAGAAGGAGCGGGAGCGGCGGGCCGAGGAAAGGCGCAAGGAGCGGGAGGCTCGGCGGGAAGGTGGGCGGGGCCCCGGAGGTGGGTGGAGCCCGGGGTGTGGGCGGGGCGGGAGGGTAGGGGAAGGCCGGAGGTGGGTGGGGGCGAGCTAGAGGGTTAGGTGACGCTGCAGGTCCTGGAGTGTGAGCTGTGCATCCTGGATAGCCATGTCTGGTGTCCACCTGCCTAATGCCCAATGGGTGATAGGCCTGGGTTTGAGGAGGCGGGTTCTGTCCCCTGCCTTTGACCAGTAGAGAGCAGTCTAGAATGCCCACCTGGGTCCTCTGGTGGCTTCTTGGGCTCTTTCGCCGGCTGTAGGCATGCGTACACCTAGAGGAAAAGGGGACTGGCCCCAGCCCCTGTGCTGTTCTTGCGCAGTGTCTGCACATCACCGGACCGTGAGAGACGACTACAGCGATAAGGTGAAAGCCAGCCACTGGAGCCGGAGCCCTCTCCGGCCGCCTCGAGAAAGGCTTGAGCTGGGGGACAGCCGGAAGCCAGGTAAGGCCGCACAGCGCCTGCAGGCCCAGCGCGGGGTGGTCTTTGCTAGGGGAACACCTGAGCCCAGAGGCTGGCTGATGCTTCACAACATCATGGAGTGCTGCAGCGTCTGTGTGTGTGCAGGGCTATTTGTGTAAGTTCATGCGCTGGAGCATTTGAAGACTTGTCTTCCTCCCAACTGTCTGTAGATGAGCTGGTCCTCTTATATGAGAAGCACCATCTAATGTTATTTTAAAACATTGCCCTACATTCACCTTCAGTGGTTTATTTTATAAGTGAAAGAAGAAAAAGTGGAAGAGAGAGACCTGCTGTCTGACCTGCAGGACGTTAGCGACAGCGAGAGGAAGACCAGCTCCGCTGAGTCCTCGTCAGGTGACTGCTTGCCCGGCCCTGCCCAACTTGGCCACCACAGGGCGGGCCCCAAGTTCACTGCCACCTGTTTTCTTCCTAAAGCGGAGTCGGGGTCAGGTTCTGAGGAGGAGGAGGAGGAGGAGGAGGAGGAAGAGGGGAGCAGCAGTGAAGAGTCGGAGGAGGAGGAGGAGGAAGAGGAAGAAGAGGAGGAGGAGGAGACTGGAAGCAACTCTGAGGATGTGTCCGGACAGTCAGCCGGTAAGCTCGAGCTTGAGGCTTAATGTGATAGGAGCTTAGAAGTTACAGAACAATAAAGTCTATGTAAACAAATATCCATCTTGAAAATGCCTTGCTGACTGGGACCACGTGAGACCCCCAGTGATCATGTGAGGGCCGTTTGCTACCTCTTGTAGAGGGTCTTAGCTGATGCCTGTTTCTCTTGCAGAAGAAGTGAGTGAAGAAGAAATGAGTGAAGATGAGGAGCGAGAGAATGAAAACCACGTCTTGGTTGGTGAGAAGCCCCCAAGTGGTGGTTCACCTCTTCCTCGTCCACCTCTGACCTGGGTGCTTGACCCCTGTCTGAGTTGTTGTGGGACTGTGACCCACAAATAACCCTTGTCTGTGGCACGCCCCACCCAGAAGCCACAGGGACACCCAGCTGCTATGTCCAGGACCCAGCTGCTGGTTCCCTGGGCACCCTTCTGGGGACTGCTCGGCCTGGACATTGGGATGGGAACTGGAAAACACCAGCTGGGCTCTGACCACAGACCAGTCACTGGCATGGGACTGTGCCGCCTCTGCCAACAGCCAGGCCAAGGCCTGGGGCCACTGGATGCCTATTCTGGGCCGGCCTTCTCAGACAACTGGGCATTAGCTCACAGTGGTCCCGGCCTGGCCAATGGCCCCGAGACACAGCGTCCTCTGTCCAGGGCAGTGGGACACAGTGTGTCCTGGCCCCTGGAGGCTCTCGTGCTCATAGTCCCCCCAGAATGGGTGAGGGTTGTGACACTTGTCTGTTTCTGGTTCTGAAATTGGGTTTAATTTCTGAAGTTCCAGAGTCACGGTTTGACCACGATTCTGGAGAGAGTGAAGAGGGGGAAGAGGAGGCGGGTGAGGGCACCCCTCAGAGCAGCGCCCTCACCGAAGGGGACTTTGTGCCTGACTCCCCAGCCCTGTCGCCCATCGAGCTCAAACAGGAGCTGCCCAAGTACCTGCCTGCCCTGCAGGTGAGGCACTTCCCCTTTGCTGCTCATGGACATGGCTGGTAGCTGAGAGCAGAAGCTGGGTCCTCACTGTGGGTGTCTGTCCCTGGCCAAGCCTGGCCCCTAGCCTCCGACATGTTCCCTGTCATGGTCTAGGCTCTTGTCCGACAGGCTTGCTGGAGGAAAGCTTGTGCAACTGCAGCCAGGACGCCCACAAGGGGCCCCATGCATAAGAGTCAGGCCGCCTCGCGTGCAGTCAGCTCTGCAGTCACTTCTCCCTCGGCCTGGGAAGATGGGCCCTTGACTTCCCTTGGCTTGTTGCCCTGTAGGGGTCAGAGGGCAGTGGTGCATGTTGGCCTGCAATTCAGTAACCAAAGTGCTGCAGGGAGGGACTTGGGGGAGGGGCAGGTCCCAAGAACGTGAGGGCCCAAGGTGCACTGAGGGTCCACTGCTCCTGAGGGGCTGCTGCGCCAGCTGAGGGTGCAGCACAGAGGGTCCCTGCTGTCTTGGCATCATCTTAGGATCAGTGGCTGGAGGTGTGGCGGGGGGCTGGTGCCCAGGGCCCGCTGTTGAATAGAGGGCGCCTGCTCACTGAAGGAGCAAGCAGAGGCTGAGAAGATAATTCCTCCCAGGTCCTGCCTGAGCACTACCTGGGCCTCTAGAGATGTCTAGTTGAGGCTTTGCTGTGGGCTGTGAGCCTGGCTACCATACCCTCATGCTGGTGCCTCCCCTAGGGTTGTCGGAGTGTGGAGGAGTTCCAGTGTCTGAACAGGATTGAGGAAGGCACCTACGGGGTGGTGTACAGAGCAAAGGACAAGAAGACAGGTGGGACGCAGCCCAGGATGGTCCCCCACAGGGAAGGGGGTGTAGGGCATGGACCAGGTGGCCCAGAGTGCCAGCCAGCACCACAGGCCCCTGGCTGTGTACAGGGCCCTGTCACCTTCAGTGTCAAAGTCACTGGGCATAGTTCCTTCTGATCCCAGGAGTCACCCCTCCCCTGGTGCTGGCCCTCACGGGGCCTCACCTGGCTGGTGCACACCTGAGCAACTAGCTCTTGGCACCCACAGAAGTCAGCCTAACCAAGAAGCTCTGTGCTGCTTGTGAGTATGGAGTCCACCAGGCCAGGCCTGGAGTGACAGCACCTGAGCAGGTGTGTGCACCGGGGCCAGGGCCTCAGAGACGGAGGCGGTCCAGGCTCTGAGCCCCCAGGGAGGCCAGTTGGCCACGTCCTGTGATTCCAGGGGACAGCCGTAAATGGGAGCATTTGGGTAGAAGAAGGTCTCCTCAGTGTCTGTCTTCCGGTGACTTTCTTTTCAGATGAAATTGTGGCTCTGAAGCGACTGAAGATGGAGAAGGAGAAGGAGGGCTTCCCAATCACGTCACTGAGGGAGATCAACACCATCCTCAAGGCACAGCACCCCAATATCGTCACTGTCAGGGTGAGGCCCATGCACCTCTGCCTCCGGGGGCCCCAGTGCCACACCCTTAGTGGCCATCACACTTGGGGGCTCCCTGTTGTGTCACCGGGTATCCGGGCCTGGGATCTCACGTCTCTTGGGAGCGTTGGTGGTGGCAGGGCTGGCTGGGGCCCTGACCTCTCGGACCTGCTGTTGTTTCCTAGGAGATCGTCGTGGGCAGCAACATGGACAAGATCTACATCGTCATGAACTATGTGGAGCACGACCTCAAGAGCCTCATGGAGACCATGAAGCAACCTTTCCTGCCAGGTGGGTCCCAGTCAGTCCCATGGGGTGACCCTGGACCCACATCCCCTGAGGGATGTCCCACCCTCGGGTTGTTGGGGGTTGGGGGGGGTGGGGGCTGCTGACGTTGAACTGTGACCCTATCCCACTGGGTGTGCATATGCTGGAAAGGCCAGTGGCTGCCACGGCGGCGAGTAGCCAGGCACCAGCCCCGTGCTGCCTGTTGCCACAGGGGAGGTGAAGACGCTGATGATCCAGCTGCTGCGCGGAGTGAAGCACCTGCACGACAACTGGATCCTGCACCGAGACCTCAAGACGTCCAACCTGCTGCTGAGCCACGCAGGCATCCTCAAGGTGAGCCCTGCCGGGCGGCTGGGGACAGGACAGCTCCCAGCCTCCAGCCATCTGCAGCCCACCCTCTCCCCTCACAGGTGGGGGACTTCGGACTGGCACGGGAGTATGGGTCCCCTCTGAAGGCCTACACCCCAGTGGTTGTGACACTGTGGTACCGAGCCCCTGAGCTTTTGCTGGGCGCCAAGGTGAGTGTGGGTATTCCGGAGCCCCCAGGGCACACCGGCCCTCAGCCCCCTGAGCACTCCCTGACCCCTGCCTGACCCCCCAGGAGTACTCCACAGCTGTGGACATGTGGTCTGTGGGCTGCATCTTTGGGGAGCTGCTGACTCAGAAGCCGCTATTCCCTGGGAAGTCAGAAATTGATCAGATCAACAAAGTGTTCAAGGTAGGTGCCCACTGGGGGCATGTGCAAGTGCCCAGGCCGGTCCACCCTTCCCTGCACAACCCGAATGTCTTGAGATGCTCCCTCTTCTAGGACCTGGGGACCCCCAGTGAGAAAATCTGGCCTGGCTACAACGACCTTCCAGCTGTCAAGAAGATGACCTTCACCGAGTACCCCTATAACAACCTCCGCAAGCGCTTCGGGGCTCTGCTCTCAGACCAGGGCTTCGACCTCATGAACAAGTGTGTCCTGCCCTGTGCCCCACCCCTGCCCACCTCGATCCTGCCCCCAAGCTGCCCTATTGATGGCACCTAGCGCCTTTTTCTCCCAGGTTTCTGACGTATTTCCCTGGGCGGAGAGTCAACGCAGAAGATGGCCTCAAGCACGAGTATTTCCGCGAGACCCCTCTCCCCATCGACCCCTCCATGTTCCCCACGTGGCCGGCCAAGAGCGAACAGCAGAGGGTGAAGCGAGGCACCAGCCCACGACCTCCAGAGGGAGGCCTGGGCTACAGCCAGCTGGTAAGGGGTTGGCAGGCGCTGGGGTAGGGGCTCCCCAAGGCAAGACTTGGCCCATCCTGGGCCCTACATGCCCTGTGTCCACAGGGCGACGACGACCTGAAGGAGACAGGCTTCCACCTCACCACCACAAACCAGGGGGCCTCGGCCGCGGGCCCCGGCTTCAGCCTCAAGTTCTGAGGCTCCCAGCCGACCTGGACCCACCCTGGGGAGCACCGACCGCACAGGGGCTGGAGGCGCTGTCGGCGCTGTCTGGGTCCAGACTGTGGACCGGGGCGCCACTGCCACAGGGCTGCCACGGGTACAACCTCAAGTCTTGGACTGCTGGCCTCGTGGGGTTTTCCACGTTTTCTTTTTATCTTGGCTTGTAAATTTGTAGAATTAAATCACATTTTCCTTTCTGTGGGAGGAAAGGCTGTATTTTTTCATATGAATTGGACTTGCCCTGTGAGGGGAGGGTGGGCATTTGCACCCCCACACACTTGGCCATGGAGGGGCCATGCCGGGCGGTCACCACTGGCGCTAGGATCAGAACTGTGGAGATGTTTGTAGTTTTAAAATCTTCAGGCTGCTCCTGGGTGGGGCTCCTTCCTGCTCCTCAACGCAGGGCCCCTAGAACCAGGCATGTGAACTCTAAGCCACAGTGGGTTTTTGTACAAGGTTGTTACTGTGTTTTAAGATGTAGTAAAATATTCTTGGAGGAAAGGTCTGATATATCCTTCTTTGAGCGGCTAGTCCTGTGCTGGATCCTGAACTAGTGCTCCCTGGGGGTGTGGGGAGCCAGGGCCCCCACATTCTTGAGAGGAGGGATAAAGGGTGGCCTCCAACCCCACTTGGGCCCATCTCTTCCTGACTTGCATGACCTCCAGCTCCATGACCTCTGGCTGGACAGGATTTGTCTGGAGTCCCCACATGCTCCAAACTAGTTCCTTTTGCTGGTGCCCCCAGCCCTGCTCCCCAGATCACCCCACTCTTCAGGGAAGCCTTGCAGCCACGGGGGCCCTGCCTCCCCAGCACTGAGCACGTGCCAGATCCTGGCTCAGCAGGCTCCCCACCCGCTGGGCGCAAGAACAGCCACCCACCCTCCTAAGAAAGGGCAAGGAGACTTGAGAGACAAAGTGCTTTATCAGCGGCCTCAGCCCGAAGCGGCGCTCAACTCCGCACGCGGATGCGCCAGGAGTAGGTGCTGAGCACGCGCTGCCGCCTGCGCACCACACACGTGTAGGTGCCCTCGTTGATCGCGTTGGCGATGATGCTCAGGTGCGCTTCGCCCAGGGCCAGATAGCCGGGGTAGGAGAACTCCAGGGGCTCCTGGTCCTTGTACCAGCTGCGGAGAGGGCGGAGGGCTGGGCAGGGAGGATCCCGCCCGCCCCTCTTCGCCCCCCCCCCCCGCCCCGCCCCCAGTCGGGCACCGGGGCCGGTCACTCACTATACTTTGCCTTTCTTGTGGAGGATCTTCTGACCACAACGGAAGGTCACATTCCTGCCTTCGGGCACCAGCTTGGTTTTGGTCCTGGGGGGCGGCGGGGTGGCGGCCACCGTGGGGAAGGGGAACTCTGCTCGGGGTGGGGGAGCCAGATCAGCGCTGGGCGCCCCCGCGCACCCAGGCCAGGCGGACACCCGACCTCACCATAGCAGAAGTCGCAGCTGCTGGGGCACAGCCTTTTCATGAGTCGCCGGCGGGCATCGCAGAAACCCCTCCGAGCCCAGGACGCGCACACGAACAGCCGGTCCAGGCAGCCTGCGGAGGCAGACTGACCTCAGGACGCCCCCGCCCCCGCCCCCGCCCCCGCCCCCGCCCCTGCCCGCCTCCCGCAGCCCACCACCCGCCCCGCACTCACCATAGAGCCGGTGAAGTCCCCACAGCTCGTCCTGCGACAGTGCCTTCCAGCCGCGCAGCGTGGCGTTGAGGTGCATGAGCGCCCGGCCGTGCTGGGAGTGCATCAGGCCCAGCGCGTGGCCAATCTCATGGGCCGCCACGTGCACCAGGTCGGTGAGCCACACGCCTGCGGGCCCGGCCGGTCAGCCCCCGGTACCCAGCCCAGCACCCACCCCCACCCTGCCTCCTTGCTCCCCGCGGCCTGCACAGCTGCTGCAGCGCAGGGAGCCTCCCTGCCGCAGCCATGGAAGATAAGAATGTTCCAGGCCGGCGAGGCGGTGAGCTGGCCCCCAGGAATGCGGCTCCGGCTCCGGCTCCGTCTCCAGCGGTGTGGGGGTGGGGGGGTGGGGGGGCTTCAGGACTCCCGGAACCCAGGCCTACAGCCTCCAATCAGCCTTCCCCTCCCCGCCAGCCTGACCTCAAATCCCCTGCACGACTCCTCAAAGACCCCCGCTGTTCCCATGTAGTGCAGGGCCCCATGGGAGGCCAGGACCGTGTCACCTTTCTTCCAGCTGTAGCGTGTGGGGCCCAGGACCCAGTACTCGCTGTCGTCAAAGTGGATGCCGCCGTGTGGGGGAAAGAAGGCGTGGGCCAGCTCGCCCGTGGGGCCGTCGAAGCAGTGGTGCAACGGGGAGACCAGGCAGTCCGTGTGGTTGATGGGGTAGAAGCCTGGGGGAGCATGGGCCTGAGAGAGGGCCTCTGGGTGGGGCGGGGGCAGGGGCACGGCGCCCACCTATGCGGAGATCGCTGGGCTGCTCGGGGGCCACCTCGCGGAAGCTGAAGGGAGACACGTCACTCCACATGCGGAAGGCGGCAGCCAGACCCCGCCGAGTCTCGCTGGGGCTGAGCAGGTTTCTCGGGAAGGAGAGGATCCTGGAGTAGGAGTCACGGTCAGGGGTGGCAGCCGGAGACACCGTGCTCCCCCACCTGCCAGGGCCAGGGCCAGGGCCAGGGCCGCACTTGTACGTAAGGTTGAAGTGTTCCCAACGCAGCCTGGCCGGGGTCAGCGTGTAGCGGCGTCTGCGGGGCCCCGGGGGGTGGGGCGGACCGAGGCTCCCGGAGGCCAGGACGCCCGAAGTCTGGGGCGCAGCGTCGCCCTTGAAGGGAAGCAAGTGCTCCGTGGGGAGGCAGTAGGGACTGTCCCCAAGCCCCAGGTCTCGAGGAAAAGAGCCTGGAAAGGGGGCGCGCTCCAGGGAGTGTTCATGGCCCCTCTTTCTGCCTTTCGGCTGTTTCTGGTTTTCTACCCTGAGCCGGGTTTACTTAACAGAAAAAGTTACTAAAAACACGCCAGGTCGGAGTGGGCGGAGCTGGCGGCAGATTTGCCCCCCCACCGGCCCCTCCCCCCGCATCCGCGGACACGCGGACTCGCGGCCGGACCGTGGAGCCGAGCCGGACCCACCCGTTCCCGCGCCCGCTCTCACCTGCGCTGCTCTCGCCCCGGCCCCGTTCGTCGGGGTCCCTGGCCAAGCCAACAGCACGAGCGCGGGGAAGAGGCACAGCGCGCCCAGCACGGCTCCAAGCCGGCGGGCTGGGTCGCGGGTCCCCGACGCCGCCAAGGGGACGCAGGCCCCGCGGCCCATGGCGCCTGCGGACTCGCTGTCGGGGCTGGGGTGGCGGGGCGGCGCGGCAGCGGCTCGGATTACAGCCCCGGGGGGAGGGCGCGCGGCCGCCCCTGAAGGGAACCAGCTGGCCGCCCACTGTCGGGAGCACCCCCGCCGCCTCCAGCCTGGGGCGCGGGGACCTGGGCCTCTGGGTCGGTGGCGGTGGCCTGGGCAGGGCCCGCTGGGCGGGGTCACTTGGCAGTGGGGGGGCGAGGAGGGCCCCGGACGCCAGGGAAGGGACAGACGCCAGGGACTCAGGCTTAGGCGGGAATGTCAGCTGGGGTCCCCAAACGCGCTGCAAGTTGAATGACTCGGCAACTTTTCTCCCAAACGGAGTCCCCCCAAGCCCCTCGACACCGCATGAGACCCGGCAGTGGAAACTCCATCCTGGTCAGCTGAGGACATATCCCCCGCAGGCGCTGGCGACAGGGACCCCGCAAGAGGGGAGGGACGCGACGGGAGGGGACGTGGCAAGTGAGTACCAGGCTGAGAAAGAGGGACGGCGCCTGCGGAGCGAGCGAAGTTTGTGTGCCAGGAGGGAGAGGGACCGGCCGGGGCCAGCGGAAGGACCTGGCGGGCGACAGGGAAAGCGCACAGGGTGCGGGGGTGGGGGCCGTAGGAGCCAGGAGTCTGCACCAGGCGCTCCCTGCGGAGCGCAAGCAGGACCGAAGTCTGGACAGTTCTGAGTAGGGGCTGGGGGCCGGGTGTCCTAAGAGCAGGAGACTCGACGGGACGGCTTTCAGGCTGCCCCTGGCTGAGGAGCCGAGCTAGGCGGGAGGTAGGCGCGGGCGCCTCTGGGCTGGGGGAACCGGGATCCAGGGCCGGGCGGGAGGCCCGCCGGGGCGGAGCGGACTGCGGGGAGGGGAGACAGGATGGGGGCTGGGGGAATTGCTCCGAGTGGAGAGGCGCCCAGCCAGAGGAGGCCGGGGGTGCAGGCCCTCCCTATTCTCCATCCAGGCTTTGAGCCCAGAGTGACAGTGGCGCGCCGGGCCAGCAGGGCCAGCGCCAAGTGGCTGGCGGACAGCCTTGAGGATCCAAGGGAGCATTTTGGTGGTTCTTGGAAAGCGACCGGCCGCTGGGTCCAGACGAGGGCAGCCCCCCCTCCCGCACTTCATGACGAAGTTCGAGCCACCACACCGACCCTCTCCATCCTGTGTCCTGCCCTCTCCCCAAATCCCTATTCTGCCTCCCACGCTCAGCGGTCCTGAGACCCTGCCGGGGCTCCTGGCTTGAAACCGGAGGCCTCGCCCAACTCCCCACTTAGCCAGGACCGCACAGTCTGCCGCGAGACCAGGTTCTGCTTTAGCCAAAACCCGACTCTGCAACCCACCCCAGGGGCAGGAAGGTGGCTATTGCTGGGGTTTCGGTCCATTCAGTGCCCCTGGACGACACTGCAAGCCCGGGGCCCCGTTCTTTCTGGCCAGGGTCCGGGCGGCATTCTGGACCCGTGAGTCCTAGGAAGAAGGGCAGAATACGCCGGTCGGGAGAGGCCTTGCATGGCCTCTGGCCAAATCGCAGAACCCAGCGCTGGGCCAACGGTGTAAGGGGTGCGGTCGGAACGGTCCACGGTGGGGGACCCGCACGGCCCCGCCCCAGACAGGCAACCAGACACAAAGTCCAGCAATCTTTTTATAAAACACAGAGAAAGGGCTCGCGAGGGCGGTCGCGGGGAGGCGGGGGGCGCAGGCTACACGAAGATCTGGATGCGGTCGCGGATGGGCTGGCGGCAGATGGGGCAGGCGCTGAGCGCCGCGCCACAGGGCGCGCACGCGCCGTGGCCGCACTGGAACACGAGGCGGATGTGGCTGTCGATGCAAATCGGACAAGTGATGCGCTCCTCCATCTGCCGGTAGCGGCTCTGCAGCTCCTCCACCAGCTGCCGCGGCGGGCCGGGCACCGGGGCTGCGCTGACCACCTCCGTGCCGTCTGCGGAAGAGGTCCAGGTCAGGGGCGGGGGCTCGGGGCGGAGGTCTTTTGAGAGAGCCGCGAACAGAACGTGAGCCACGACAGGGGGCGGGGCTGTGGACAGCGGGCGGGGCCGCGGGCGGGTGCAGCGGCCCACACCTGCGGGCAGCGGGGCGGGGCGGGCGCCGGGCCCCACCTGGGCGCAGCTTCTTGCTGATGACCACCTGGCACCTGATGCACTTCTTCATCCTGCGTGCGCACTCTGCGGGGGGAGGCCACGGTTGAGTGAGGGGCCGTCCAGCCCGGCTGCCGCGCCCCCCTCCCCACCCTGCACTCACCCTCGCACACTGTACGATGCTGGCAGGGCGAGAACAGCACCAGCAGCGCCAGCTCCGAGCACACTAGGCACTCGGCGGCCTCGGGCCCCGTCGGCGCAGCCACATGCAGGTTGGTCACAGTGTTCGGAGCACTGAGCACCAGTCTTGGGCCCTGGGCCGAGCCCCCGTTGCCACCGCCGCCAGCCTGCCGCTCCCTGCGTGGGGACAGGGGTCTTGAAAGGGCCCGGAGCTTCGAGCCCGCCCCCCGCCCCGCCGGCTCACCGGAAGCGCTGAGCACAGCCCTGCAGGGCTTTGAGCAGGCGACCCTCAGCAGCCAGGTCCAGGGGGCTCCTGCCGCGGTGGTTGGCATAGCTCAGGTCAGCGCCCTCCAGCGCTAAGAAGTAGGCGATCGCCGCGCCTGCCGTCAGCTCCGCGCTGCCCGGAAGGCCCGAGGCCTGTAGCTGGATGGCAGGACAGACGCTGGTGAGGGCGAGCGCCTGGAAACGCTGGCCTGAAGGAAGCCTCGGCTGGTACCTGGCTGCAGAGGCCTGAGCACCTGCTCCCTGAGGCCCCTGGAGCCAAAGGCAAAGGGCCCCACTGGGCAGCTGGTGGCATGGAGGCCGTGTTCTGACACACCACTCAGCCTATGGCAGGGCCAAGCCCTACTAGACCCCACTCCCTCTCCCCAGCTGGTCAGACTCTCAGGAACATTGAGCCAGCAGTGGTGACCAGGGTCACAGAACAAACCATTGTGGCCCAGCCTGCCCACCCTACGAGGCCTGGTCCGGCCATCCTGAGGGCAGAGGAACCTGTGGCCCAGTTCTGCGTCCCCCTCCCCAGCACCCAGAGTCACGATTCCTCACCCTAGACAGCAGCTGCAGGGGACCCGGGTCCCCTGCGCCCCCATCAGCTGCCAGAGGCAGCAGCTGGTGGCGCTGCAGGGCCACGTGCAGAGCCGTGTCCCCCTCCTCATCCTCGGCGTTGATGCTGCAGCCGGCGTCCACCAGCAGCGGCACCAGCCCCACGTGGGCCTGCTGCACAGCCAGGTGCAGCGGAGACTGCAGCTTACGGTTGCGAGCGTTCACATCACAGTGGCCCTGGGGAGGGGTGGGCACAGGCTCAACCCAGGGACCCTGGTGGGCCCTGACACCCCAGTCCACGGCCCAGGGGACTCTGTCCACACCTCTCGGATGAGAACTTGGGCCACCTCCCTGTGGTTGTTGAAGGCGGCCAGGTGCAGTGCCGTGAACCCATCCTCCTTCTTGGCGTCCACCAGCTGCCGGGCCCGCGCCAGAATCCTCCTGACAGCTCTGTAGGAGCAGGGAGATGCCTCTGGGGTCAGGGGCGACCCAGGGTGGCCCAGTGGTACAGCAGGAGCTGTGTCACCCCAAACTCACAGTGTGTGGCCTTTGAGGGACGCATGGTGCAGCAGGGTGAAGCCCTGGCTGTTGGTGGCAGTGACATCGATGCCCGGCACCTCGGTGAGGACCTCCACAATGCCGCTGGCACCAGTGCCCGCTGAGATGGCGCAGTGCAGGGGTGTGTCAGCATGGGCATCCTGCCGGTGATAGGCCAGTGATCACTTGGCAAGGAGGTCTCAGCCACGACCTCCTTGACCCCAGGGCCAGAGCCAGGGGACCCAGCACTCACAGGCAGGTTGACGTCACAGCCACGCTCACAGAGGACCTTCACCACCTCCAGGAAGCCCCTCTGCACGGCCACATGCAGTGCTGAGCTCCGAGTGCTGTTCAGAGCATTGGCCCCACAACCCGAGCTCAAGAGTACCCGGGCAGCCTCGGGCTGGTTCCTGGCAGGAGAGGAAGCAGGAGGGGCGTTGTGCCCGCTGGCTGGACCTGTAGGCCCAGCCCCCTCGCACTCTGGCCGGGCCTCACCCCAGGGCTGCGTAGTGCAGTGCTGTGTTGCCCTCGTCATCTGGCAGGTCAACGCCTGCCTGAGCCTGCAGCAGGAGCCGCACCAGCTCCACCTGGCCTAGGTAGGTGGCCATCTGCAGGGCAGTCCTGCCCTGATTCTTGGTGTCCACCTGCCGGGAGAGGCAGAGGGTCAGCCCCTGGCCCTTGGCCCCCTCGCTGGGGCTGGCTGGGCCGGGAGACAGGTCTCGGGCTCGCCTGTTCTGGGTGCCGCCGCAGCAGGTCCAGAGCCCGGGCCACATTGCCCAGAGCCACCTCCACCACCAGCCTCCCTGGGTGCTCCAGGTCACTCTTCTGGGCTCGAAGCTTGTCCAGGACAACACTCAGGGAGCCTGGGGAAGGTGGGGTTGAGGGTCAGTGGTGGCCAGGGCAGCCCTGCCCCAACCAGCTGCTCACTGGATGCCCTCACTTTTGTTCTCCCGGGCTCGCCCAGCTACGTCCAGGTTGGCATCTTCCTCAGGCCGGTAGGCCACCAGGCAGGAGGGGCTGAAGGTCCACAGCTTCCCACTGACCAGCACACCCACATTCCCGTCTCCGAAAACCTTCAGCACTCTCCCAATGCGGCCCAGAGCCTGAATGAGGAGAGGGTGGGGTCACAAGCGTGCCTCCCAGGGGTAAGTGTGATAGGCATGGAAGTAAGGGTGGGAGACTCACAGGGGCCATGTCATCAGTCCACTCCCCATGGCCAGCCTGCAGCCGCTTCACCGTGTCAAGGTCGTCGATAACCCGCACCACCTCACCCACCAGGCAGTTTTGCTGAATGACAGAGAAGCACGAGAGAAGCACGTGAGGAGCCCCAGCGGGCATGGTTGCCCAGAGTCAGAGAGCA